CNCATTGCCCATCAAAGAGCGAAAGCGAAAATCTGTGATTTTGACACCCTATCTTTATGATGTAACTGGACGACGCAGGTTTCAAGGTTGGCATGATGGAATATTTCGGAACAAGCTGACCTTAATTAATCGCCAATGTGTTTATTCCAGGCTCGGATACTTTTTTGCGCCACTTTTCCCAGGTATCTATGTAATCAGATTGTTTGTCATCTTCTATGTCAAAATGGTAAGTTCCTTTACCTCATCCATTGACTTTCATTTTCATCAATCCGAACGCTTGCGTTATAACTTAAGATATTAGAACTTCCTTGGTTGGGGAACCCAGATAATTCAAGATGTGCCTGAAAAAAAAACTTGATACAATTTGTAAAATCATTTCTGTTCAGTTAGTGGGTGAATGTGCCTGTACAATTCATGGCGTTGGGAGGTCGAGGTCTCTCTTGAGGTTCTCCTTCTTGATTATGGGGTGCTAATGGGAAGAAATTATTGGGAATCGAACAAGAGATGAGATCGGGAATCGATACATTGCCAATTAAAAGGAAGTTAGTTTAAGGTTTTATAAGAGATACAAGTAGAGACTATGGATTTCAGCATTGGAATACATCAATTTGATAAGAAGTTACCTACTGCTGGAGAGATTTACAAGATAAATAATTCAAAAATACAAAGTGGTTGATTCAGGGGGTTAATGAAAGGGGATCTAATCTACCATGGACAAGAACATTACTGCGGTTTTTTATGTTGTATTTATGCATACAAATTCGTAACATTACGATTATTTTATTTTCAGCTCTCAGCATTGTACGCATGTGAACCACCCAATCGACCCTACAGAACAACAAGGAATAACAATTTCTTTATGATTGTATTGATATTTACCTTCTTTTTATCCAGCTTCCCTGTTATTTATGCCATATCAAAGTAAGTAGGCTACATGCAAGGTAATTATTCATATGATTATTCATATTTTGCACAGTTATATCATATAACTCTATGTGCACGACTTTCTGACATGATTTGCAACAAATGACATTACATTTGACAAGGCTATTCTCTTTTAAACGTCATTCCAATTCGTATAAAAGTTGTCTCCCTTCCTTTTCAAAATTATCATTTTATCTGTCTATCAATTTAATGTTAATTTTCGTGACATTTCTTGAACTCATTTATTTGAAACATAGGTTACCGCCGTCATAACGTCGTATCTTGGTTATTAAACGATTTGTTAAATTTGTATATCCGAATATTTACATAGAATATTTTATTTCAGAAAGGTTTTACACCTTCCATTGTCATGTTCATTTTAGAAACTGCTTTGATGTTTTGTTCATTTGATTTACAGCATAAGTTCCTCCCATGGATGTGGACCGTTCCGAGTATATGACTTTCCATATATGGTAGTAGGTAAAGGTATAGAAGATGTTCAACTAGAAGGTTTTACTATCGCGTACACAATTCTTACGTCGCCTGCTGTGACGTCATCATTAATCATTATACTATTGTAAGTATTATAATCTGAATAGTACTAGTACAGTCAAGTAACCTAATTTCGTGCTAACCTGTTTTTCGTTCATCTCCTGATATGATTATTAATTTACATGTGCGACAACGGGTGACCTCCGTATTTGCTTGTTTTGATAAACATGGGTTATTTGTACAATGTCAGCTAGCAGAATGAATCGAGTAGTTTCAAGCAAAGTAAAATGTATTAATGTATACTTTGACATAAACAAAATGGCGGGTTTCAGTTATTACCAAATATCACAATTTTTATCGACCGAATTTCCTAATTATCCCAAGCTGTAATCGGAATTCCAAGCGTCGTCTGCTACAATATATTCCAGCGAATGACGTCACGTGAAAACCTAGCGGATTCCGTGTAAGCAAAAAAATTCTATGGAACACAATGTAGGCCATATTTTTATGCAGATTCAATGACTTTTAGCAATAAATCACTCTTACGTTTTACTTATTTTATTTTGTCAGTCATATTTTTATTTCTTAACTCATTTATCTTTGAAGGAATTGTCATCAGTTATAATGTTATATTACATGTTTTTAAGACAAATACAAAGAAAAGTTTATTATACCACTGGGTTTCAATACAACGGGGTTTTCTCGACTTATTTATAGATCAAACATTGTACGCGAAAATAGGTGACGCATTTTGCTGCCGTTGTCGAGTTGGTTACTCATGAAATATGGGCCAAAGTGAGGGATTCATAAAGAAAATCGAAACAAACCAATTTTAATTATTTCATACAAAATCTGAGGAAAGATTTTGTTTTAATCTGACGAAATTCGGTGTTGAATCCTTATATGCACGAAAATAGGTTACACCACTGTATATAGGCTACATGCCATTTTGGAAACAAACATTACTTCCAAATATCGTAATTTACATCTATGTGCGAACAGTCGTGAGACAGAACGAGATTTTAGGCTAAAAGCATTGTAAGGGACTATGTCACATACTTTCATTAAGTATTGAAATCACTATAGGTAATTTGACTGACCAAAATTTAACTTCATTTTTGTGTATTCCAGGGTTTTGCTATTCTACTGCTCGAAACTGAGAATTGCTCACAAAGATACAGTAAAGTTTCTGAGAGATAAAATAGTCATTGTAAGTTATCTTATTAATTTGAACATTTATCATAAAAAAAGGTCATCCATAAGGATAACATCCATGTTCAGCAAGTTGGAACTACAGTGGTCTGGGTAAAGAAAAGCAAAATACCAAGAGTTATTGCCCTTTACACCACATCGCAGGCTGTTTAAGAACGGCTTATCGCGTGAGTGATATATTTTCCTTGTTACCTCTTTCAGGAAAATCACGACCGACAGAATATGTTTGAAGAGTTGAAGAAGTATCGGAAAATCAAATAACTGCTTGCTAATCAAAGGGATAAACTAGATTTTGTGATAAATCAACTACAGCCATTTACCACTATACTTTGTGATAAATTAACTCCGTCCATTTATAACCAGACTCTGTGATGAATCAACTCTGTCCATTTACAACTAAACTTTGTCATAAATCAACTCCGTCCATTTAAAACCAGACTCTGTGATGAATCAACTCTGTCCATTTACAACTAGACTTTGTCATAAATCAACTCCGTCCATTTATAACCAGACTCTGTGATGAATCAACTCTGTCCATTTACAACTAGACTTTGTCATAAATCAATTCCGTCCATTTACAACTAGACTAGATAATTCATCTCTGCTCTAATTGACTGTATTCGTTAGTGTACAATCCAATCAAATCGTTGCATTCCGTGTTACAAGAAAAGTGTCTTATGTTGCCAAGGTATAAGATACAACTTTTATCAATACAATATATTATATGGTCTTTGGTGTCAACACTAGTATGATGTATACTATGACAGTAAGGAATATTTTTGGTGGTAGAATGTTGACTTTCAACTGCCGAACTGAATTAGGTTACTGCTACTAAAAATCATTTTGTGACAAATATTTTAATTATTAATATCATTAGCATAAAAATACATTTTTACATTCCTGTAGAAGGTTGAAGAAGTAAGTAAGAAGTTCACATCTTACCACAAACGACCTCCGTGAAAGTTACACTAGCGCTCTGCAACATTTAGCTTACGGAAACTGCCGAGAAATGCCGAATGGTCCTACCATTTTGGGGATAAGTGTTATAGAAAGAATGAACTCTGTCCTGTAAAGTCTACTATACATGGAAGTGCTGCATGATAGGTTAAATTTAGGGTATGTGAACGTTCTCGCCTTCTCGGTGCACATTGGCGTAACAAATAGGAAAGGTTTTATCGTCGACATTTTGAACCCAATCTTGTAATATTTCAACCATCACGGGCCCATTAACTATAAGCAATATGTTGCTAAACATTAAATCAAACTCTGTGGTTCCATAGCTTGTTTTTCTTCTTTCTGCCGTTTCCGTGACATATTTTTTGTGATCAGTTACCTCCCTTGAACTGTTAAAATTATATAGAAATATTTTCAACAGTTACCTCCCTTGAACTATTAAAATTGATTGGTCAAATCACTATTTTCGTCGTTACCTTCGTATTTGTCGTGTATGTCGAGCAACAATGATGGGATAGACCAATGCTTACACTTCTAGTTCTAGACACTTGCACCATGTGAAAAGCTTTTCCAATATATATGCCAATACCATTAAGGTATTAGGCCTACTAATATGCTGTATTGAATTTTCAAGATGGTAATGGTAGGCTACTTTACACTGGTAGTGGTACGTACATGATTGCACTCTCAGTCTCTGTATACATTGGAGATTAAGAGATGGTACACCATTGCACTCTCAGTTAACATTGGAGATGGTACATCACTGTACTCTTAGTAAAAATGGTAGACCAATATAATTATGGTACACATTTGATCAAGAGATGGTACGGTACATCATAGCCTACTCTTAGTAAGCATTGGAGATGAAGAGATAGTAAACTACACTCTCAGAAAACCTTCGGAGATCAACAGATGGTAGGGCTCGTCCCAGCAAGCATTGTGGACCTACATTACTCAGTAAACTTAATCAAGGGACCAGCGTACATCATTGCACTCTTGATGTACAAAATAGATCAAAGGGTGAATATTTCTGTCATTTTGTTCATAAGAAAACTACATAAAAAAATTGTGATTGTCACAAGGCCTAACCAGTAGTTCTTCTTGTCTCGGTGGAAATTAACAATATACACTAGAATTGTATTGTCACTTGATTTTATATAGGCCTAAACGACACAGATACTACGCGTGTAGACTAATCCGTTGTAGGCCTACATGACTATGTATGTATAAACTATAGCTAGATAGTTAAATTAAAACAGGCTATTTAATAATTGATATGGCCTACACAAGCACACAAGGATATACATTCCGATAGTGTCAAATGAATGCACTATTGGGGTAGCCATAACTGTTAAATGGTTGTTCTATCTCTATGTGTTTGTAGGTCACGAACAAAATTGTGTCAAGTGAGGATGTTTGGTGAGGTGAAGAGAGAAAAATGTTATGAAGGAGGAAAACCGTTATACTACTAGTAGAACTTGTATAAACAACTTTTCGCTATCAGTGACTTGACATTTATTTTCTGTGAATATTTGGATATAAACTAACCAGGAAATATTATACGACTAAATATCTTCTAAAGTGTGATCCAGCTTGTTTACAAAATGTCAAGGGTATAGAAACGTCTGCAGTATCTGTTAACTGTTATAAAACTGCAATATTATGATATATTATTAATGAGTAACATAGGTCTATAAAAATATAGTCTTGATCAGTGACTAGTACAGTTAGTACAAGGCTATCTCTATAGGTCTTGATTATATAAACATGCGCGGTCGATTGATTGGTTGTCTCATGATAAGAAGTTGAAGTGTGCCTATAAATATAAGTTGAACATGATAAGTTATTTTATTAACATGACAAATAGGTATTCTAAATAGTAAACTAGGCTTGGTAGTTTTCATTATGCATAAAATTATCTAATAACTTATCCATCTGTAAAGGCTAGTGTCTCATTTCTGTTACAAAAGGTTGATTGTTGACTCTAACAATCGGTTTATTTAAAGGGATAGTCACCGAAATATTCACGTTACCAGATAACATTTGGCTATTAGTTTCCAGCTATATGCGTGTTCCTTATTAGAGGCAAAATCCTTACAATTGAGCAAGAAACTTAAGCCACAACAAGGCTATAATTTGATCTCATATCACCTGTTAAAGCAAATAGTTAGACGACTGTTTAACGCAAGAATATCGACAAGATTAGAGGTAGCCTTCGATTTGACTCTTAATTGTAGTGTGTTAAGTGTAGAAAGTTGGTTGTAATCCTTATCCTTGTTCTCTTGATTAGTTGTAGAAAGTTCTTATCCTAGCCTGATCCAATATAATTGGTTGTAGAAAGTTCTTATCCTAGCCTGATCCTATATAATTGGTTGTAGAAAGTTCTTATCCTAGCCTGATCCTATATAATTGGTTGTAGAAAGTTCTTATCTTTTTATCCAGCCTGATCCTAGTTCACATGATTGATTGTAGAAAGTTCTTAACTTAGCCTAATCTTATAGTTCTCATGATTTGTTGCAAGCATTATTATTCATTGGTGTGAATTGACTTACAGGGGAAATAGTTGATCGTCCACATGGTGCCTCCATCGTCAAACAATCAGAAGTTTCCAACTTCCTCGGTCAGTTATCCATGGTCAATTGTTCTTTTTTATCGCACTTATTTACAGCAACGGGTAGGCAAAAAGTACGGTACTTTTGTTTGTATGGATATTCAATGCCCGTGTGGTACAACAAAAGAATTGTGTTCAAATTGTTTGGCAGATAGTCTAAGTTTAATTGGTTTGTTGACAAGAGAAAATGATGTCAACACGAGAATTTGTTTTGACTTCGACTAAATAAATAGTGAAATAAGGAATTTCGAGTTTCACATCAAGACATACGTATGTACTCAAGCCCTCGTTGACTTCGTCGATTTATTACAATATGTAAATAAGGTACAATTTGGAGTGTTTAATTTATAATCCATGTAATCATAGTAAAATATATATGCCTTAATGAAGCAGTTAGGGCACCTTGTCTGGAGAGTCAACAGGGAAGTCAAAATATCCTTGAACATTTTCCCAGCTCTTCCTTAGAATGTGCGTGATGGGTTGTTGTCATGGCTATCGTGGAATCACAGAGCATCAAATGCGTGTCAGCTATTATAATAGGCCTATAGACCTACGTACGAAGTAAGTCTGCAACGCACTCCCTACTGCCAGACGTGGGGCCTACCTTGGAAAAAGGCGGGAACATTTAGTCGTCAGTGAAGGTTAGACCTATCTGTTAGATCATTATGTGCGGAGCTGCAGTGCCTTTTTTTCTGAAAGCACAGTGGTATTTCCAATAAATACATTTTTGTAACTTGTTTTTTTTTGTCAATCTATTACAATTAATTTTAACTTTTCATAATAATTATGATTAGGCCTAATAGGAATTTATTCACGAAATTTGTTTGCAGTTCTTTTTGAATAATGTATGCGTTGCACGTGTACGATTGTGTATATACACATGTATAACCTAATGAATAACTCATGTATTCTGTTGAATAGTATGCCTTTACCTTGAAACCACCCAGACCTCTTGGATTCAGTACTGAAGTTTTTAACATTATTCGGGTGATTAGTGCATATCAGTAGCCGCCTAACGTTATCTGTGTTGGTGAGATAAGTTTTAACTCAGGGGCATTTTAATTTCTAATCAGATGATACAAAGTCAAAACAAAGCACACCTTTATGATAAAAATAACCACACGTTACGGTTGACTTGTTAAACAGTTGTAAATTTGGTGATTTCGACTCCAAATGGGGAAAAATGACAAGTCTGGTCACGTGATACAGGTTAAAAATAGCAATCAGCATGCGGCAGTCTTTGATGTATTAGAATATTAGAATATATAGAGAGGTTTGGATGAGTGAGGTCCGAAAACTGACAGGTACATCATCTGTGGTTTAAAACATGAAAACATCTGAAAATGGATAGAGATCTTGCTAATAATAATCATTGTTATAATAAAAGTTATATGGATTATTCTTTTGATGACGGTAAGCTATTGAACATGTTTGAATTGATTATATTTTGGTTATGATTGATATACGGGTAAAGGCTTGCAGTTCTATTGTTAATACGTAAGGATATTAATTGAAAATGGCCTTTTATTTTCAAAGAATACATATATATAATGTATATATACAGTCCCATATTATGATAAAATTCAAGTCATTGTGAATCACAACAAATCAATAGTTAGTCCTATATAACTAATGTCATTGTCAGAGGATAACACTGTTAAAATTTATTGGGTTACTGTTATGTAAGATGACAATAGGAGGAATACTGAGAATTCACTGGTATCTAGTAATATTTTGATATTTCATTGTCCATGATATTTGTGATTCAATGGTATCTTGCATTATTTTGATAATTTATACATTACTATCCTATCATATGGCTACAGTGGATATGGTATCTTGAATTATTTTGAAAACTGATACATAACTATAATATTTTGATATTCAAATATCAATAATATTTGTTTATTATGTTTATGTTAGTGATATACAATATTTAATAACTATGGAAATACTGATAATTTACTGGTATTGTGAAATATTTTGATAACTGATACATTATTGTAATATTTTGATATCCAATGTCAATTATATCTGTTTATTATCTGTATGTTAGTGGTATATAATATTGAATGTATTATGTTATCAAATGATAGAAGTTAATAGAAGAAATTTGATATGAATACATTTTCATCCTTTTACCTAAACAGGCTAAAATGGTTAGTTAGAACTATCAAATAACCAAATTAGCCTATGAGTGTCATGAGACCCTATTGTTATAATGATTAGGGGCCCATAGAAATGTAAGGTTTTAAGACTGGAACATAGCACATTTTTCAGATTTAAGTTTGAATATAGGCCTGCTAAGGCTGAAATTTTGATGTAATTGATTCAAGGTTTTCTGAAATACCAGAAATCACAGGTGTTAAACAGATAAGTGAAATGGTACATTTACTAGCTATCTTTTGCTCCAAATACACATACTGAGGCTAGAAAATAGTTTTGAATTTGAAAACTTTGAGAAATAAACCTAGACATAAAAATAATGCATTTACACTGAAATGACTTGTAGTTAATCATACTCATTATGGTGTGACACTATTACTTCAGTTATGGATTGGCAATATAACCTATCCCGTATAAGTTTTTCTATGAATTTTTCTGATGATCTTCCTTTTAAATAGGTGTTTGCATTGGGCTAATAATTTATTGAAATTTCCTTATGTAATATTGTAAGAGTCAAAGATTTGAGAAAAACTATTAAGGGCAGGTGAAGGTCATTAAGTGATAGTGCTAATAAACTATATGTTGACCTTTCAAAAATATCTATCAGAGGAATGTCAGCAAGTTGTTGACCTATCAAAAATATCTATCAGAGGAATGTCAGCAAGTTGTTGACCTATCAAAAATATCTATCTGAGGAATGTCAGCAAGTTGTTGACCTATCAAAAATATCTATCAGAGGAATGTCAGCAAGTTGTTGACCTATCAAAAATATCTATCAGAGGAATGTCAGCAAGTTGTTGACAAATATCTATCAGAGGAATGTCAGCAAGTTGTTGACCTATCAAAAATATCTATCAGAGGAATGTCAGCAAGTTGTTGACCTATCAAAAATATCTATCAGAGGAATGTCAGCAAGTTGTTGACAAATATCTATCAGAGGAATGTCAGCAAGATGTTGACCTATCAAAAATATCTATCAGAGGAATGTCAGCAAGTTGTTGACCTATCAAAAATATCTATCAGAGGAATGTCAGCAAGTTGTTGACCTATCAAAAATATCTATCAGAGGAATGTCAGTAAGTTGTTGGCATGTCAAAGTATTTATCAGAGGCTTGAAAGAGTCTGTAAGTTGTTAGCCCATTAAAATATATTTCAGAGGCTGGCAGGAGTCTGCAAGTTGTTTACCAATAAGAAATAGCTATCAGAATCTAGTTAGAGTCAGCAAGTTGTGAATCATCATTGTAAGACATGACTCAAATTGTTGGCAATTTGTTTGCCAATTGAAATGGCTACCAGAGGCTGGTAAGAGTCTGCAAATTGTTTGTCCATCAAAAATGGCTATAAGAGTTTGGTAAGAGTCTGTAATGTGTATACCTGTCAAAAATAGCTATCAGAGGCTGATAAGAGTGCAAGTTTTTTGCCATCAGAAAGTGGTAGAGTCAAATCAAGATGGCTAGCATTGTTAGGCAAGACTCAGCAAGTTGTTGGCTCATTAAGAAAATCTTTCTGAGGCTGGCAAGAGTCTGCCAGTTTTTACCAAAAAGAAATAGCTATCAGAGTCTGGTAAGAGTCTGCAAATTGGCCATCAATAATAGCTTCAAGAGGCTGGTAAGAGTCAGCAAGTTGTTGGCCATCAATAATATCTATCAAAGTTAAAGAGGCTGTGACTGTTCTGTCAAAAACATCTATCAGAATATGGTAGGATTTAGTTACTTTAAGATTACAATTTTGCTTAGTTGACATTAATAAAATGCTGAGTTTTATGAACTGGTGGCATCAGAAATTCAAAAAGAGATTGAGCATTTCAAGATTGTTTCATAGTTTAGTATCAGTATCAATATAGAACAGCAGCAAATCTGTTATTTACAAATTATATAATATGTCCATGGGAGCCTCGAGAGCCAAAATTGAAAATCGGTAGACAAACAGGGTTTATGGTTTGTTCAAGAACATTTGAAGACCTGTTAATAAAATTTAAAGTTTATTCATTGTCTCCATATTGAAACTGAAACATCAGTTTTCTTTGTATTACAAATGTTATAGGGTAAAGTCTGATTGGTAGAGATGAAATGTTTTAGAAGAAGTGTTCATTTAGGTCATTAGAAGTTCTTTTTCAAGGTATTGGTAAAATATTGGTTTTTAGATTCCAAAATATTAAAACTGTTCTGAAATTCTGAAAAGTGAGGTATTGTAAGGCTGGTTGAAGTTCTTTGTTGAATATTTGTATGCTATTTCATTTTATTGGTTAAAGGAATCAGCATATAGACCACCAATACCAACCTGGCCAACAGAAGAGACAGAAACAATTGGTGAAAACCGTCCACTTTTAACTTCTTACAATGAAGGTGATTCTATAATCTGTATTATTTAAACATTGTATACAGTGTTTAGATAGTGTGTTACGCAGCAAAAACAGAGGCTATGCCCCAACCCCACCCCCAAAAGTGAAATATACATTTTTGCAATGTAAAAATTTAATGATTTTGAAAGAATACTCGATCAAATTGCATTACTGGTAAATGCAGGATTTTAAACCATTTATTTACGAAATATTTTCCTCTGAAATAAAGTGCTGCAGTGGGCATGTTATGTTGCACAGCAAAATGCAAATATAATGTTTGTTTTTAATAATGTATGGGCAGAGATATTTGAAAGTTTTAAATTTGGATTTTCATATTGATTAAAAATGGGTTACAATATTTATCACTTGTTTCCGTGATAACATAGTTTATACATAATTCTCAAGTTCAAGACTGCTAAATAACTTATATTTACATTTTAAATTGTTATCTCAGGTTTGTGGTTAAAATTATTTTTAATTTTATTTTAAAAAATTTTTCAGATTGAAACAGTTCTTCTGCCGCTGTGAATGACTTTTGAAATTTCCTCACTGTCTAAGACTTCATGATATGTTAACTTTGAAATTTAGTTTCTTCTTTGTCTAAATATGAATATCAAAGCAATTGTCAGGAATGGTTTCAAAATTATGGTGTCAAATCTGTCCCACTTTTCACATACTGATATATTTTCAAATTAGAAATAGAATTGTCACATTTGTAATGCAAAGGGAAAAACTGAAACCTCTTTTGGATTAAGCTTTAGATATTTCATGGGACATAACTCTGTCTTGACTAAGAAATTTCGATGTTGTGGTTAATTCATCCTAATGTATACAATATTTTCAGATTGATATCGTAAAATATTTTAATTAAATATCAAGACCTTAATAAATTGCATTCCTTTATTTATGTTATTTCTATTTGTATAGTCTATAGCCTATTTGTGATTGTGAATAAATAGTTTTGAATGAATCTCTTCTTGCATATATTTCAGATGTATTTGCTAGTCGACTGCAAGCTGGTGATGATGAAGCACATGATCATCCAAATCAAGCAGCCATTGTGTCAAGATTGCCAAGTCATCGTGCTTATTGTTGTGATGGGGGATATACCTTAACCCGAACTTTAGCAAAGAAACGGAAATCTCGTAAAAGTCAGAGGGGTGGTGATGGAGTAAGTAACAGTGGAACGTTAGTATCTCAATCTGTGTCCAGAACTCTAGGTCGTCAGTTGACATTAAATCGATCAGGTATCGAGTTATTTGATGATGAAATTGATTATTTATCACCAGAAGAACAGAGAGAAAGTCTGAGGTCCATGGTGGCTAAACTGTCAGTTAAAAGAAAGTTTATTAGAAGGTAGGTAGTCTTGATTTTTTTTTATCTTGTGTCATGTCAAAGATGGTTACAGACTTTTCATACTATCCTATTTCATAAAGTATGAGAACATATGAAGGGTAGAAACATTAATGTTATATATCACATCATAAATATAGAGATCATCTCCACTTCACTGCTTGTAAATAATGAACAGTTTTGCATGATTAATCACATTTTAAAAACTCTCAAAGAAAATGTTTTCTAAGAAAATGTGTTTTAACAGGAAGTAAGAAAATGTTTATGAAAATTTTATGAAATTTTTTAGTCTTCTCAAAATTTGACATACCGGTATGTAACAACATGTCTGAGTGATTTTGGGTATTGATCTTTACTAATGCAAATTACACGGAAAAACAAATTTGGGGATATTGTTTGAGATTTGATACCAAAATGACCATTAAAAGTATACAGCATTGGAAATTCTTGTCCTTTTCATTCTTTAAAAGTAGCCTACATGTACATTCGATGTGAAAATGAAACCATAAACCGTGGCAGTAGCTCAGTCGGTAACAAGTTGGATTGTGGTCTGCTAGGTGATTAGGTGGAGTGAGTTCGAATCTACCTCAAGGTGAGAAAAAATTCTGATGCCTGTGCCTGTGCTTTTGAGAGTCGACCTAAAATCTCGGCTTTCAACCCCTAATACCTAAACCATTTCAATATTTAAATTAACAGTAGGGCCTACATATATATGATTTTAACTTGTCAGACCAAATTATTTCATGGTAGGCCTTTGTTCTTTAATAATAAGTAATAAATTTTCATTGATAGATAGGTATAAATCAATTCAATTATAATTTTTATTATCTCTTACCTATTCAATGAGTGTAAGTACATGTACTTTCATATCTGACTAAAGATATCTCTAACTTCCTTGTTACAATAGCATTTTATAATCATTTTATCATCGGGTATTTTAATGTTAGTAGACCCTTTGATAAAGCTCAGTATATCTTAGCTTTTTAACCAATTGAAGCACAGTTAACGCTCTACAGCATATCAGGACTTTTCATCTGTGAACACTTAACTTGCTAAACATTTAAGGAGTTTACGTTGTATACATAAGTTGCATTGTTATATACTTGAGTTTTATTTTAGTAAACTTAAGTTGTATGTATATTATACATTTTTAGGTTTATGTATTCAATTGATTTTGGGATGCTGAGATCGACTTTGTTTTTAAAAAAGGATGTCAATAGTTTTAGAATTGTGTATTTATAGAATTATATGGAGTAACATTTCTTTTGGACATCGATTATAGAAACAATATCCAGTGTGTTTAATAAGAATGGTGTCCAAATCAAATTTGTGATGATGGGGGTACTTTAAATTAAAAAGTACAAAAAATATTGAGTGTTTGGTCTAACAAGGTTTCAGACACTATTATTTGCTTCAAATTTGTTGTAAAAGTTTGAATAAAGGCTAACTGATTTACTAAATAGGATTTTTACATCAGTGATAAAGTTTTAGGGTACATGTATGTCTCATAAACTATATATATGAACAATGACTGAAGATAATTTGATAGCCTCTCATGATTTGTGATTGTTTGCAGTCACGATAAAGTTTTCTATGTTTACTTATTGAAGATCAGTGAAATACTATCTTATACAATGTCAAGATATAGGGGTTATGGAGAGTCATCCAGGTATGGTCAGGATAACCAATGGAGAGAAGATTTAGCCCCTGATTATGACGATCAACCAAGTAGAACTAATAACCGCCAATATTCTAATATTGACAATAGTAGAAGTGTAACTAGAGGTCCACAATTTCCTCAACCACTTGATAATAATGAAAACAACTATTTAAATATGTATACAAATTATCCTGAACAATTTAGCCAGTATCGATCTGGGAAACAGCCAATCAGAGAAAACAATGTTGATAGCAGACGTGTAAATAACTTGAGAGAAAGAGATGAATATGGTCCACAACAGCCCTCTTCAGGTGTAAATGATAGAAGGGAACATCATTCACCAAGAAGACAGGATTACCCTGAAGATGATCCTCCTCAAGATTATCTAGAACCCCACGTTCTAAACTATGAAGAAAGTTTTCCAAACTATAATGGGAGCATTAATGCAGCCTATCTGCCTGATATTGACTCAAGTGGTAACAATATACAAGACTATTCACATGATGGGGGAAATAATTTGAGATATCGCAAATCAGGAGGTTTATATCAAAAACATCTGCAAGGCAGACGTCGAAATATGTCTGAAAGGGTGGAAGAGGACAGAGTTTCTAAAGAACGATTACGAGATGTGTTAGCTACTATAAGAATTAAAGGTAAGAAGGTATATAGAGGTGATGAAGATGAACAAGATAGAGAAGAAGAAGAAGAACAGCATGGATTACCAAGCCTAGCTAGGATTAAACCGAAATCTCTTCATGAAAAATTACAGGCCAAGGATGCAACTACTACTGATCTAGCTGAAGGACTGAGGTAAAGAATTTTTATTGTTTATCTGCCGGTCTTCAGTTATATTGGTCAAAAAAATTAAAATTGATATAGGGTTTTGAGTTCATGCATTGTTTTCTATAGTGTTGTCTTTTATAGTGTTTTCTTCAAAAATAGAAGCTATTATATGACCATGCAGAACAAGACAGTATTTCTCTTTAATCTTTCAAAGGGTTTTGACAAGCCAAACAAAAAACTAAACAATTTTCCCATTGGTAGTTCAGGGTTAAAACTTGTTAAAAATATTGTACGTAGCTTTAATAGTACATAGTCAATCAAAGTCTCAATGAAGATATTTTTGAAGAATATTAAAGGAAGAAAGATTATAAATATTTTATTGATTTCTGTCTAAGTCAAGGTTCAGAAGACTTGAGGAGAACAGATGAAAAGGAGTACCAACATTGTAATATTTATTGTCTAGGTTAAAGCTTATCAATTTGAGATAAGATTTACTAGCTCTCATTCTATTGAATGTTGGGGGCAGTAAACTTTCTGCAAAGATTTTTTGATGACCTGACCCGTTTGAATAATGTCAGACCATAGTCATGACAACAAATTTGACTATAGAAATGCTGACAGTTTCTTTAACATTATTAAGTTTTTCAGTGTAAAATGCTCATTGAAGGAGGGATGACCTTATTTAATTGTTGAGTATTCAGATGATCTTAATATAGAATATGACTGACCTTGATCATAGCAAATCAAGTGTTAAAAGTAATAATGAAAGAGCGTACCAGGGTGTGGCTCTCACACTGTCATCCTAATCATTTTCCAGGCAATTCAAAGTAACTTATGGTCTGATTGAATTTTTGGGCATATTTTAGCAAATTTTGTGGATTTCGAAATTGAAAGTCAAATTTATGTGCTTAAACATTTATGGATTATGACTCAATGGTATTGAAAAGAGCTCTCCCATTATTGTATACATATGGGGAATACTGTATCCTGTAGCTTATATTTACACCTTTCCTATTTCTTTGTGTATCCTGTAAATAAAATCTAGATCAGATTATTATCCTGTAAATATTGCAAAAGCTTGAATGATACTTTTAATTCTCATGTCCCTAATCAATTTTGATATTTGAATCATGAAAATTGAATATGTAACATAAAATTGAGTTACATATTTTAATGTACTCTTATCTGTAAATGTTCTCTAAACAGTTTTCTCTATGCACTATTTATCTTTAGAAATTTGTCTTGAAAGAAATATTGAGTAGTAGAAAACATAATTTTCATGTGAAAAATTTAAAAGTATAGTTAAGGGATATAGGCATCTGAATTTTTGTTACCAAATGTAATATTGAAACAAGCTTTGAAAGTAATGCAAACAATTCAAACACAAGAGAATAATATTCTGAGTACAAATTATGGACAAAACAGACTCAGAATTTTCATTAAAAAGGAACTTTAGACAGCTCAATTGAAGTTTTTAAAGGTAGGAAACTATATAGGTAGTTAAAAGTATGTTAAAGCTGATTTGATTGGAATGAGTTGGTTAACCATATTAATATGAAATGATTGGTAAGCTTTGAAGATAAATGGAAAAGACAAAAATATTGTTACATCCAATTAGGTTGAAAATCAAGTAGTTTATATAAGAAAATCAATAGAGACCAAAGTTTAAATTATAAGCTATTATGTTATAACATTCCTATATTTATAATTGTCCAATCGTTTTGTTATTGATCAGTGAATAGTAACATATTGTATGGTCCGTTAATAGTTTTATTTCATCAATAAAATGATTAAACAATGTGCTGTAAACGTTTGAAATAATTGATATTATATCAACCCAGTTCCTACCAACAGTTGGGAGTTTAGAGTGAGTTAGACACTTTTGCTAACCCAAAGGCCTATGATTTTCTTCTGACAATAAGGTACTGACGTCACTTATCACAAAGGTGATACAAGCAATTTGCGATTAGTGATGTCATCAAAAACTTAGTTTTAGTGTTATTGCAGGAACTGCAAATGTCTAATTGAAAATTGGAATGGTGCAATTAATGCTATCAGTGTTACAGATACACATAAATGTTTTGTTTACAATACCTTAAAATGCAATGTCATTATAACTATTATGTCATAATTACATATGTATCATCACACTGTGTGTCGATAATTATACAACAATTTATTCTGGGATAACAACTTTATGTAGGTCGATCTAGCGGATCTATTGTTATTGATTTTGTCATATTTAAATTCAGTGTAACAATAATAAACATGTTAACATGTAGCAAATTTACATTAGATATCAAAGGTACAAACAGTGACATAGCAATGATTTTAATGACTAGGGGCGGCCATGTAAGCGTCTGGGTGTCCTTATGCAGAGGGTACAAGTCATGGTTGGGGGTCAGGAGGGGCCTTTCCCTGGAAAATCTCTTCTCTGGAGTGAAACTGGAGAATATATCTAACCATAAATTTTGAAGTGAAAGTAGAATAAATTTTTCATATTTGCTGATCTGATGCAGGGGCTGTAACCCAAAGAAATTACTTCTAAATACACCACTTGGTCCAAAAGTAAAATTAAACAAGAGTTTCCAATTTTTCTGCCACATATTTCCATTATTGGACTAATTAAAGTGTACAGTAAACTTCATGAAAAACTTTGTCTGCGTTTATTGTTGGTAACCATATGAAATTAAAAACAAATATTGTCCATAACAATATACCAAAGTGGCATTAGGTGTCTTGAAAGAAATTTACCCTGAAAGGTTGCTGAATAATTAAAAGCATTGATGTCTTTGTAATGTTTTAACTTGAGATTTCTGTTATCAAAATATTGCTTGGGCCTTTAGTCCTACTGACAAACGACCAATAAAACAGTCAGAAAACAGTGGAAATATGGATTGAGTTATAAGGAAATAATTTTAAAAGTTTTGAAGTATATAAAGTAGATCGTGTATATAATAATTGCTGTATCTTGTAGATATTATAGCTGTGAATGGGATATGTTACTGATATAACGGAAATTTGTTCTACTTAACATAACTTATTTTATTACATTGCACTTCAATGTGCTTCATAATGATTTATAACGATTTCTAATGATTTATAATGATCTGAAATAAAATATTGAGTTGATTGAAGTTGAGTAATGTTTGATTGAGTTTATTACAATTGCCTCTTCAATACGTTCAATATGATTTCTAATATGTTTCACTTTAGTAGTAAACCTTCTAAAAGAGACAAGGAAATAAATAGTAATGATGTCACATGATTTTCAAAGCATCTAATCAACATGCCTCTTCTTATGGTTTGTTTTGTAATTTCGAACACACTGTGTGTGTAACAGACAGGTTATATCAGGACAACCCGTTTTGGTTTTCAAAGATATTTTGACAAAGTAAATCATTGTACCATCTCTAAGTTTCTACAAGGTATAAAAAGTTGGATGTGTGATTAAAATCGGGGAAAGCATGACTATATCTATTTAATATCAACATTTGGTAACAGTGTGATCAAATTTATTGTTATTTTAAAAGAAATGTACATTGGTAAATTTTCTAGCTTATATGTCTGGTAATGAAAACTTTGAATCAAAAACCCTGATATAGAAAAAAATTTATGAAAGTCAAGTTTTATTTGTAACATCTGGACTTGATACATCATATTAAGATAACATGCCTCTATCAGAAAGAGAGTTAATGGACTACTTTTTGCCAACATGGAAGATAATCTAGAAACTACAGAATATTCAGAAATTTAAAATAAGCCACTTTAAACTGTAGTAAATGATAGATTCTAATAATTTCTAGCAAGTAAGATTTATGTAGGGAAACTATTCACTATTTTCCGCCCCCACGTTAAAATTAACCAATTTTCATATAACTTTGACATCAGAATCAAAAAACTTAACAAATTAATTTCTGAATCTTTTGCATCCACGCTTTTGTTCTATTCTGTCAACAAAATATTGAAGTATGACATGATCAACTGTCAAAAACATTACCATTTTCTTCGTTCCTGCTGTTCAATTTCTGTTTTGGTTGTAAATACGAATCATGGTGATGTGTTCTTTGAACTGTATAGACCACAAACAAAGATCAGACAAGAAAAAAAATAGATGACATGAACGAAGGCAGTTGTACTTCAGCTAATCAGATGTTAGCTTGCTAATTTTCATGATGCTATCTTGGCAAAATTGTCCTCATTATACACATGATGACATAGCATGTCTTAAATAGCCTGAACAGGAGCTGAAAAGGGTATAAGGAAGGTATATCTCCAGGCCATTTTGTTCCCAATGAAAACTCTACATTGTATATTTGTTGAATAGATATTGAAAAGATAAGATAATGAATATGTTACTAAGTTAAACAAACTGCACTGTGTCCTACATACTCACTCAAATTTACAAAATGGACATTGAAACTTTACTAGAAAACATTTTTTTCCTTAAGGCAGAAATAGTCCTTATGTAATCATCAGTGTTTTCCGATAAATTGAACATGGTGACCATGTGAACGTACATGTCATACACAATGGAATTCAGAAAACAACATTGCCATCATGTAAGAAAGATACTCATTTAGACAAAGGATGGCTTAGACATATTGTACATCATATTTGTCATGATATTTTGAAACCAACCAACTTTTTTGTCGCACATCAGTCCTTCTATTATGTGTACATGATCCTTAAGTGTTCAACCGGGTATATATTTATGATTATAGATGTTATTTGATACCCTGGGGTGTAAGCCTGTTTAGTTATTATCCTCGTTTATTCTTCTATTTTCTGCTATTCAGTTTTAGTGGTTTTACGTTCAAGATATGACCTTGCACATCTTATTTTGTTATTGAATATTATAAATATATCAAAATACTAAATACTGAATGATGAAATTGTTTTTCTTTTTTTTATTGCTGATTAGCAAATTATGATGGTCGATATTTTTATCATTATGTCCTTCAACAGAATCTGAAAAGTCATGTCCAAGCAGAAGCATATTAGATAATCAGAAGGTCTTGCCTGCAAGTATGAAAATTAAATCCCACAAATAAATGTTTGGTTGATATTTGACCAGCTATGTTGGGAAGGTTATACAATGAACAGACAGGCTTCACAAGCTAACACATTTTGAAATATCAGGACCATAATTATTGCAACAGTCTTAACCGAGTTTTTAATTTTTTTAAAAATCTTTTTGATATATTTTTATATAAACAGGATATAGATAACACCCTACTAGCATACTAGCATACCAATAAATCTTAGTTATAAGTTTGATATATAAATTTTTTTTTAACATATTAGCTCTCCTGCGTTTTTTCTGTGGTGGGGCCTGTGGAATTGGTTCAACCTGTGGTAGTTGAGCCACTAATAAGGTGTAAAAGCTATTCGTTAGATGACTGTTTGCCTCTACAGATTCAATCAGTCTATTCAAGCATCACACGTAAGATTATCGTGATAATTTTGGCAGTATTTAATGAGATCATAATATTTTCACCTAGATCTCCAGTATGTTTTTCAATCAATGTATACAAGTTGTTGAGAGCTGTATCTATTTGTCAGGTGATAACATTACCCTTTGCAGATAAAATTATCAGATTTAGAGGGTGTCAATAAAATGAACATGTTGCTATATTTATTATACAGTAAAGGCTAACTATATTTGAAGTGTTTGTGAAACAGTAAACAATTTGTTTAGATTGTTTGTTACACATGTAAACATATCTTATAAAAAGGTTTTAATAGTCCAAAATAATTTACAATGCTTTCCTTAAGGAAAGGTTTTCTTGGGCAACTTTCAAAAATGGCAAAAAAAAACATCTGTGAAGCACTTTTGCCTATAGAATAAAATAAGACAAAACCATTTATGAAATGTATTTCTTATTGGCATGAAAATATAAAACAATAATAGTTCATAGTGCTGTGTGATCATGTTACTGTGGGTTTATGTTATTCACTTGGCAGACAACCTTCAAATTTATCTTTTTAATTTCAGAGATTTAGATGAAGAAGATGGTTTTAAGTCAGTAAAACATAAATTTAAACAGGTAAGGCAGCTGTAAGTCATTTACTTTGAGCAAATGATGGTCGTGGGTTCTAATTTCAATCAGCAAGTGAAAGCCTGATGACCTCTTTCTTCATTATTCAAGTTCAAGTTGAAAATGATAATCCGGGGAAAGATCAATGCTAAAAGGTTTTGCCAAGAACCAGCTTGTAGAAAGGATCCTAGGTGAACCCGGGTTATTTTTGAAAAAAAAGCTTGTTTCTTTCTGATATGAATTTATTGGCTCTCTTCAGATCAAAGAGATTTTAGAATTTGAGGTACAACTTTGTGCATAGATAATAAGTAGACACGAATCTATCAGGTCAAACAAACTGAACTCTGTACCATATACTAGCTCAAACTGAGAAAATCAAATTTGTAATTTGACTCCTAGCCATCATAGCTCACATTATGAACCTTTTATTTTATTAAATTTTTGTCTCCTTTGTTAAATAGATAGATAACATACTTGTCATTACCATGCGGAAAATGGTATTTATTTGCATATTTTATCTATTTGCAGTCTTGGCAAAGACAAAAAGCTGATATAAAAGGCTATTTTTATCAGTTTGAATTATGGGCTAGTACTTTTAAAGAAATTGAAGGTAAGTAATGATCTACTGAAGATAAAAGTTTCTGCTTATATTTCACAAACTCGTGTTATAATCTAGCTCGAATTACCTTTTTCTCTACTATCTATCTGTTCTTGCCTTTTTTAAAACGTTAACTCAACTGTCCTTAATCTGTGTCATTTTGCCCTTGTGCTTATCACTCACTCTTATTCTGCGCATCATCCTTTATGTCTTCTTATATGATGTCAATCATAGTTCAGAAAACAAAATTGTCTTATTGTTACTAAAGGAGTCTGCCTTGCAATGTAAAGTTTTAATGATCTGAAATAATGAGAAATAATGTATAGTATTACTATCAATGACCTAAATTTTGGGGGAAAGTGAAGTTGAAAGTCATATTACTGAAATAGCAACGTACATTTTCAAGGTATGATATCTATTGTTTCCTAGGCCTATAGACTATAATACAGAGGGGGACAGACTTATTTAGATTTAGATCAAATTTGTGATTTTTCTGTGAGTTACTACACTAAGTAAGTAAGTCTTACAATCAAGATCTGCTGAAAAAATGATAGATATTTAAAACACATTGATTTTTCAGGTAAATTTGGTACAGCTACGGCATCCTACTTTCGCTTTACAAGATGGCTGATGTTTTTAAATATTTACATATTTTTGATAACTGTACCTGTGATAGTTTTACCAACATTTTTTTCATCCAATCAGAATTTTGTCGGTAGTTACAATGTAACTAATGGAGATGATAATGGAACCTCAGTATTTTTTGGAATAGAAGAAGCTGTAAATTGTAGCCATGCCTATAATGATCACATTAGAAATTTTGAGAAAGACACCTTGGAGAAAGTTTTGAATTTTTTCAAGGGAGCAGTAAGTATAGAAATACATGTTACATACATTTCTATTCTATGTTTCTGGCATGAAAATGTGGTTGATAACTATAACTTTGTAGTGGGGTAAGTGGAACTGCACAGGCAATGCAATGCATAGCAAATACATGTTATGATATTTCATATTTACACAACAAAGGTTGAGATTTAAGCTATTTGGGTAGTGATTTCCCATTGCAATTCACTACATGCAACATCCTTCATGCATTATCACATTGTCATGTTATGGTATATCCATATTAAAATTTCTTAATGAATGATCAAATTGAGCCAGTGTCAGGGTTTATGATACAAATCAAATACCAAACATAAAACATACAACTCTATTTCATTTGATTTTCAGGGATGGATGGAAAAAACTCATTTATTTTATGGTTTATATTTCAATTTAACATTTACTACTGATGAAAATGAAGTTCAACATTTTAACATTGGTTTAGCTTATTTATTAGCAATTGGCATCACATTTTTAATTAGTTTTATACTTATTCTTAAAAAGTAAGTTGATTGTTATATTATTTAACTTCTGTAAGAAAAAGCTCTCTTGAGTCATTTCAGGTAACACATATGAAAATTCCTCCTGCACTTCTAATAAATTTACCATATCAATTTCCTTTTTTTACTGTTTAGTTCTGGTAAAAGTGTTAAAGAAGGTGTTATAGATCAAGAAGAATCCAACACTCTGTATTGTAATAAAGTATTCAGTGCTTGGGATTTTTGTATTTTTAATGAAAAAGCTGCCAAAGTTAAACATGCTAATATATCCTATGAATTTAAGGTAAGTGTTGAAATATTGAATTTACTAAAATGAATATCCCACATCGATTCCTTTTTGAGTAATTAAAAATGAAATTTGATTGATAACTGTGTAATTTAGAAATGATAATACGATATTAATCATATTTGCATGTGAAAATGTTAATGTCCTTGAAGTCGCTTAAATTTCTTTCCATTCCAAGGGCCTCATTGCTCCTCAACAGTGACATTGTCTTGTGATATTCACGTCAATATCTAATAATATTTACAGCATTAATTTGTAATATTTACAGGCTGATTTAGAAGAACAGAGATTAAGATTAAGAAGAGCTGATCGCTCTGCTAGAGAGAGATATAGACTCTATGCTGTTAGATTTTTTATCAATATATTTGTTATTGTTGTACTTGGTGCTTGTTTATATCTTATCTACTGGACAACAGAAAAACTTTTAGAAGTATGTAACATTTATTATGACAACAATTTGCGAATGCATATAAGAACTGGCATTAGCCAATTGTTTTCATTGAGGATGACTCAATATTGTGCAACTCATCACTGGGCTACTCCACTGCCTAACAATTACATAGCTACTTGGATAGGACTTAATAATAAAAAGTGTTTATTTCGATCCAATTTTTAAATTTCTTACAGATTACCCTACTCAGGTGAATTTTCAAAGTAAAATGCTATAGCATTATTACAATGTCAGAGGTTATATGGTGTAACTTAATTGGCATTTTGAATTGGTCTAAAAATAAAATTATGTATACTTTCAGCTGAATAAAAAAGAAGATTTAGGAGAATTTTTAAACTTGGTGATAGAATTTTTACCATCATTAACTATTACACTATTAAATGTTATCATCCCTCTAATCTTCTCTTATATTGTCACTCCTGAAGATTATAGTCCAGTATTTGAGTTAAAAATAACATTATTTAGGTAGGTACATTTATCTTACTTAATATAGCAATATAGTCGTCTAAATATTTGGTGATAGGATGATTCTTGGAAGCACTTGCTTAGACATCAGAATTTTACATTGCGGGGGATTTGAACTATTGGCATGTTCATGACAATTCAACTCCCTTCTGACTGGGCTACCACATTTGGTTTGATACGTACACGGAAATTAACATCAAGCTGACAGAGAAACAAATAGGCTGGTATTTATTCAATGAGAGATATTGAAAGATATATTTTGATTAATGTGTTCAAATTATGCTTTTATCTGAATCTATAAGAAATTGAATGTTAAGCAAGATTTCAAGGTTTTCCTATTAATATGTAATGTTTATTTCTGATTTCAGAACAGTATTATTACGTTTAGCATCGTTGGGGGTATTAGTATTTTCATTATATTTTCAACTGGTATCAGTAGAGAATGCTAAATGTATCCCTGAAACAGGTGTTTGTTGTGGTAATTATCAGTGGACCAATACAAATGATAAAGGCAGTATTAAAGTAAGTGGTGTTTTAACTTTCTCGCTTTTCAAAAGATTCTGAGACTGATCTAGAAAGATTCCATCTAATTTTCAGCTGTGTCTCTCGTTATGGTGATTCAGGTGTACCAGAGCTATGTGGAAAAAAAAACCAAATAGTCTGTACTTACTTTATGGGTGTTTAAGTGTTTTGACAGGAGAGAGATTAATTAAGATTGAGAATTAAATTCTGATTATTTTGTGTTAAATATTTTCAGTGTTGGGAAACTTACATTGGTCAACAATTTTATAAGTTGGCTTTATTGGATTTTGCTGTCGTCCTGATTGTTACATTTGTATATGAGTTTCCCCGAACGTAAGTTATAGAGTTACTTTTATCATGAAATAAATTCCCTAAAGAATTTACATCTGAGGAATGCACCAACTGTGAAATAATCTAGGTTTGAAATGATCTCACGGGTTAATAAGTAGTTGGAAATCATCTTGATAATAAAATGTTTCGAAAAACAAATTTTTTCCATGTGACTTTTTAATGAGATTAATGGTATACAGCTTGTGCCAAATTTCCGATCAGTATCACTTTAATTAAACAATTATATCTCTTATGATCAATTATTATGAATTGATAATTTATTTGTTTTATTTTAGTTTAATTTACAGTAAATATAATCATAAAAAATTATTACAACAGATTGGTGAACAAGAATTTGATTTACCTAAAAATGTATTAGATATTGTTTATTCTCAAACATTATGTTGGTAAGTATTGGATTTGATTTGTCTAATTATGATGCAATATCTAAAATATGAAAGCATTTCAACTTTCAACTCCTTATCATTACTGTTTATCACATTTTTCAAATTTCAGGATTTCATTTTGCTTTATGAAAGTAATTTAGTTTTCTGAATAATTGCTTTATCTGTTGATAGAACATGATTTCAGTATAACTTCCATTTTTGGAAACAAATTACTATTTTAAGTTATATTCCCACATAATTGTTCCACTATATATATGTAAATAATGGGAGAATTTACTTTTGTTTAAAAAGAGATCTAGGTGCAAGATATTAATTCTGAAAGTTGCTACTGTGAGCTGAAATTTATCAGCAATGACATTCAATGCTTGTTAAATTATATCAATAACATTGCTATTTTCAGGTTAGGAATGTTTTTCTGTCCATTAATACCACTCATCACTATGTTAAAATGTTTTATTATTTTTTATGTTAAAAAGGTAAGTGTTACTAACAAATTTATTTACTGACACTCAGCTTATTCACAGAAGCACTGAAATATCAGAATATGAAACTTAACAAGCTTTGTTCAAAATTGATCCATATTTAAATATTGTTATTTTTTACAGTTATCTCTGATAAAGAATTGTGTTCCTACAAAAAGACCCTACAAGGCATCCCGCTCAAACTCATTTTTTATGACAGTATTATTGATATCATTTATATTATCAGCAGTGCCATTAGGTTATATGTTAGGAAAGTAAGTATATGTATATCAGTATTATTGATATCATTTATATTAACAGCAATACCATTAGATTATAATTATGTTATATAACAGTGATATCATTTATATTATATTTCATATATATTAAACAGTGATATCATTTATATTATCTGCAGTGTCATTACGTTATATGTTATATAACAAAAATAAATTATATTAGAAGTCATTAAATAAAATAAATATCTTGGTATTTCAGTATTCCACCATCACAGAGTTGTGGACCTTTCCGAGTTTATAGTGCACCAGATTATGTCATGTTTAATTCTATAACTGATGAAATCGGTACGTGGCCAAATGCAGCTAATCAAGTCTTTTCGTTTATGGGTACTGTTGGATTTTTCGTACCAGCAATGATTTTATTATGGTAAGAAATGTCACATTTTTAATATTATCATAGATGGATAAAGATTAATATGTGAACATTTGTGGGCATCATTTTGTTCATTACTTCTTTTGGCTTTTTCAGACTTATATTTTCAAAATCAATTAAAATCCGAGTATATGTGTGTTTGAAATTTAAGAGAACAAGAAAGAAACATTTAAGAAAATTTGCCATAAACGAGTACAAGAATTCTTTTTCTTATAGTTTGGTAATGTATTATTATTGGGCAGCAGCACAAGGTTATAAGAAAAAACAGGAGTTATTAAAAGAACAGTTGAAATTGGTGAGAAATTAAAATTTTCTTGTATAACTTTTAAAATTGAGAATGGAGATCAATAATTGATATAACAAATTTTGAAAAGATACTAATTTAAAGAAATATTTTCTACATTAAATTGAACTTCTCAAACATGGCCAATAAGATTATGATATATTCATCATTGAATTTACCAAAGCGTTTTTCAATAATTAGCCTACATAGTTCTATGGATTATTACTTAGTTTTATGGATTTATTGGAAAATAGAGGGATTCTGTTTTAAAGTTATGGCACTAAAAAAGTCCAAAGCTGAATGTAGTATTATTGGCCAAGTTTGAAAATCTAAATCTTATTTTCATTCTAAAAAGCAGTATTTCTTTAAGTAATATCTACAATTCATGGTCATTGTATTTTAACAGGATGGAAGAGATAGACAGTATTTATTAGCCAGAGTAAATGAAGTCATAAAGAAAGGAGATTTGATGTCAGATACAACAATAACTTCCTAGCTCAACACTCTACAGTGTCTTTTTAGTCTTTTTATGCAACATGTCAATTATAAACATTATTCTGTGATATTACACGATTTTTAACTTGCATGTCATAATACTTACTCACTGAAGACAGAGTTGTTTTCAAAAAAGTAAGTCTAAATTATATTAATGAAATCAAGTACTTGTATGATGTTAATATTTAGCCTTAATTGACAATCTGTATCAACAAAGTAAATTGATATTGTATGAATCAAATCAAGTATGATTTTATCAAAATTTTGTGATATTTAGCTGTAATTTAAATTGTATGAATCAGACCAAGCGCTTGTATGATTTTATCACAATTATTTTGTGATATTTGGCCTTAATTGGCAAACTTTATCAACAAAATAAATTGATTATGTCATAACTTGTATGATTTTGTCAAAAATGGTTTTAAACTTTTGTGATATTTAGTGATAATTTAATAAATCAAATATTTACCACTGGTTTAATTAATCAAAACAATTTGAGATTATATCTAATATCCATGAATTCAGGAGTGACTGTGTTGTCAGAAAGGAATACACATTGTCTTCCTTAATAAAAGATATTGAAATAAGCTGATGTAGCTGTCCTTTCTAATTGAGAAGAGAGCAATAGCTCTTTGATTTCAAGAGATGAATTATGGATTGTAGCTATATGTATTATGTTTGGATCTGGGCCATTTCAAAAATGTATTTGAGCTTGTTTTTTTTTATAGAAATATAGTGTACAAATTATGATTTATTTTATAAAGAGACAATTAACTTACTACCTATACATCTGCATTGATTTCTTGATTTCTGAAGAAATGTGATGTATGAATCTCTACAAGTTTGATGTATGAATATTCTACAAGTTTGAATATTCTACAAAAGTTTGATGTATGAATATTCTACAAGTTTGATGTATGAATATTCTACAAGTTGATGTATGAATATTCTACAAGATTGATCTACAAATGTTCTACAAGTTTGATGTATGAATATTCTACAAGATTGATCTATAAATGTATTACAAGTTGATGTATGAATATTCTACAAGTTGATGTATGAATATTCTACAAGTTGATGTATGAATATTCTACAAGATTGATCTATAAATGTTCTACAAGTTTGATGATTGAGTATTCTACAAGTTACATTGTATTCTTTTCACATTGTTTTAATGGAAGTGTATTTAACTCAAATATCAAGTTATTCTTAAAGATAAGCATAGAAATATAAATGTTAAAAAGTTATGCCTATTCTGCATGGAAACATTTATGTTGATTATCCACAGCTACTTTACATTGCTGTGTTCAATATAAGATGTGCCTTTGACTTGTGTTCAAACATTTTTCTGTATTCTTGTCATAATTCATAATTTTAATAGAATTATAGTGATATATGTTTATAACTAATTATATTTTATACAATATTTATCCATATTCTATTCATATGTTGTCCTTTATATTAAAGAATATCTGTCAAAATCTAGGTACAATTATTGTGTTCAGAATGATTTATCTAAATAATTTGAAATCCAAAACATCTTATGTTGATGGAAGGAGGATGATGTACTTCTTGTTTTTTGTGTATTTGATAATTATATTTTGTCTTGACTTATTTAAATGATAACCTACATTATCTCTCATGTGATTAATCATTCAATAGGCTAAATAATGGAACGTAATTTTATGGTATATATATTACCACTGGGTTTCAACTATTTACATTGTCATTAATAATTATACCTGATGATGTAATTGTAAATTATTGAATTATGTATTATAAAAACCAAACAGGATTAAATTAGCCTACCAGTAAAAAATTGTGTCCTATTATTTAATTGTATGTGAATAAGAATGCTTACATTCATTGATTTTTATAGGGTATTACTATTAAAAGGGTTGTTTCAGATAAAATTTAAAATCATAAATAATGTAGTCATAAGGATAATATGGATTTAATGCAATAATCTGACATTCTTCCCTCCAACCACACCAAATATGTAAGGCAGATAACATACCAACTTAGGATGTAGGTGTTTTTATTGTTTCATTTTACTAAATATTCTTGGCTACTATCTGTAATATCAGTAACATCAATATGTATTAAACATTATTTATTAACTCTTAACTTGGCAATAGATACATTTTATTACTAATAAATATACTTTTATTTACAATGTAACATGTGTTTTTTTTTGGTGTTGATAAATATGTATGATAAGCATGTTAAAAACTTGTTTCTGATGGTGTAACTTGAGTTCACTCAATGAGGATCCAAATGAGCTCAGTCATACCCAAATATTACATTTAATGTCATCAAAAACAAGTAAAAAAATATATTCTTTTTATCAAAAATAACAAAATAGTTGATCAAACATATATATATATAAATTCTTGCATTAATATTACAGAAAAATAGGACTTAAAACTCCATTCTTTTTATTTCATTGCATGAATATTAAATCTATGTTACCCTTTATAAACAGTACTTAGCAATATAGCAATCTAAAAAACCTTCAGGTATAAAATAGCTTCAATTGGTGAAAGTAACGTTAAAATATTCTTTTTTAATTCATCAATTTAACCATTTTCTACATGTGGAATGGCAATAGTTTTTCAAATTTTGAATGTCCTAAATCTATCAAATTCTCTTTTTAAAATCTTCTATTATATCTCTCCATTTTCCATCAGTCCAGTTATTTAATCTACGTTTTCCATCTACTTCTGAGGTTAGATTATGACAGGCATTAAATACTATATGTTCCCATATTGGTGATTTACAACTTCCTGCAAAAAGTAGATAAATCTTCATAAGGATACAGACAAATTCTGTCAACTGTCAGCTCAATTGTAATCAAACATATTATACTTAAAGGGACAGCTGCACAATTTTTCTTATCAATCATACCTTAGTCTTAAAAACAGGAATTTTAGCTAAGACAATCAGTAATAGGGTTTACAGTTCAAGACTTTAATCAACACCCCCAAAATGGCACACCTTTTGCTTTAAGGACATTTTTTGTGAGCATCTGTCATCCAGTCTCACTTTGTCTTGGCACATTTGTGATGAAATATATCTTCCTCCTAGATACAAGAAGTCTCAGACTAATTTTAGAAAATATAAACAAATTTTACGAGTGTACTAATTGATATTTTAGGATTACCTTTTATTCTTGGTCTGTCATCAATTAGGATGTGACCATTAATCACAGTTTTGTCTTTAGTTAATATAACATAATCTAAAAACTCTGGTCCTAGATGTTTCTCTATCCACTCAAACTAGCCAAAATATATAATGATATTAATAATTTAACATTCATAAACATCAGTATCAGATACAAGATACACTATTTTTAAGTAAGTGTTAAGAAAAGTCTTATGTCAACAAAACCACAAGATAACTTAGTTAAGTGCATAAGAAATTTGAACTCCAAAATTAATCTTAATAAAAATCTGCTGAAAACTAAGGCTCTACTGCACGAACAAGTTATCTAGAAATTACTTATATTTGAACAATGTCAAGGTCATACCTACATAAAACATTTTTCAGTTATCAAAATACATTTTTACCAGGTGTTTTGGAGCAACTCAAATAGTGAGGATTTTTTTTCAGTTTTCCCATCTGATAATAATTATGTCTTTTATACAAACTAACCTTCTCTGTTAAACAGTATTGATACTCTGTTAAAGGGCTAGAACATAAAAACACTTCTAACCTGTAATATGGTAAATATATTGAATAATATCAATCTAATATCAAGTTAGTATGCATCCATTCTTAATGGCCAGGAATAGTGTGTGTCATACATTTATATTTCTTTTTTATTTCAAATTGACTTAAAGACATGACTGTTCATTCAATGAACAAGTTACATATTTGCCATGAGCTAATTTGGATGGTTACTACCAGTCACACTATTTTAAGTCATGAATCAGCATCTTATAAGATTATGGGATCATCCATTTGGGATGACAAAGATTTTCTGTCTATCAATTTGTGTTGATAGTTCACTAAACATCAACTATGCCCTTCAATTTAAAATTAAATTGCCATTAGGGTGATCTAGTTCATAAGCGATCTAAAGGGAGACATTAAACAAGCACTAGTATTCACCTATTTAAGAGAAAGGCATCATAAAAAAATTTAATACTCACCCTTCCATTTTGGACATTTCTAAAGCAGCAGATACAGCTCCTTCTATTTCAGGTAAATCACGGAAAAATCCTTCTTCATTATATACAGCTCGCACTTTATCCTGAATAATAAAACATTAAAATCACACCATTTAGAGTGTTCACTCAAAAAGTTTAGCAATATTTAGAGGATTGAAATCTCTCAAATGGTCAGTGACAAAAATTGTTTCCAAATCTTGCCAACTTAACTATGTTTCTACAATACATAGAGGGATATACTAATGTAGGAGGTGGGACTATCAAACATTGTGAATAAAACAAACCTACTGGTAGATCATCTCTTAGTTTAGCATATTGATCTCGTATAAAAAATCCTTTTCTTTCTTCTAGTGGGATGAATGGATCATTGGGAAATCTTTCTTTATAACGTTTCAAAAAGTAGCCTTCAAAATCAGCCAAAACTTGATCCATATCTAACAAAACTATGAGATCCTTGTTGCAAAAATTGGAAAAACGACCTCGAGCTCTTCTTGACATCTTGTTATAGGCCTAGTTGTTTCACATCCAAATTTTTGATAGTATATTTTTATAGACTACTATAAATATAAAGAAAGTATGGGAGTGATAAACTGTTACCCTTTGTCAGTGATAGATGACAGAGGTCTGGCATGGGAAAAGTTTCTAGTTCATTGGATGGAACAATAAACCAAGACCCTGTGGTGTGCTACAGTAGGCTACTAGGAGGGTGTACACAGATACCTCAATGGTTAGAAATTGAAAAAGTGTATGCTAATGTTGTTGTTCTGGCAAAATGCCCCTCATTGCACATTACATGGCATTGTCTATCTTTACAAGCCCAAATAGATGCAGGACTTGACAACCCATTTAATTTCTTATAAGTTATTTAATCACGACTAATTTGAGTGCAATTGAGTATTAACACTCACCCAAAACCCTAAATTGAGCTATTAAGTTTAAAATTATATGGTTTAAAGCCATTCATTTCACAACGTTATAAATAATATTGTTATCAAAGAAACAGACAATGTTATTTTTCATAAGTATTTCTTTTAACTTCCAACAATCAAAACAAAACGTACCAAATTTGTTTTTTTGTTGTTTTTTTTTTCCATGAAATTTACTACTTTCGATTTGATCGCTTATGATCATGATAAATTCTTAACAACAAGTCAAACGCACCCCGTTTAAGAAAAAAAAGCACAATGAGAAATAAAAAATATTGTCAGATAGTATCATATCATAGTACGATCCCAAGTCCATATCACCAGAAAATCGTGATCGACAAATAAAACTGAATGACTTTTATGCAATGATACAAGCGGCAGAAATTTCAAGATGGCGAGCGCCTTAGAACAGTATGTAAATACAGTACAAGTTTTTTCCAGTCAAGGTAAGCTATATTTGAGAATATTTTGTAGATTTTTTAAAGGTATAATGTATAGTTGATCGACAGAGAACATATTGACATGAGTAATTTCGCAAATATGCCAATGTTTTCAATGTTATCTTGATGATTTTGGAATGTCATTGTAGACAGGAAGGCCTGTTACAAATCTTTTTTTTTTAGATTTTGCCTTATTAATGGGCACTTTGTTCACACTTAGACAGGATTTATGGTAATTAGTAAACTTATCATGCAGAGAGATGAATCGAATTTGCAGTTCATGTTTAAAAAAAACTTATCCTCATGAATGTCCATTAATGTTAACACCTAATTAGGTCTATTTAAATTGATAATATATGATCAACTTTAAATTGATCAGCAATTACAGGTAGTAGAAAATATGGTTTATTGTATTATCCATTTTTCTAAAGCGTCAGTCGCCATCAAGAGGCATCAGAGATTGGTCATAGACATCTGATAGAATTTAGACTTATTATAAGAACAGGCCTACTGGTCTGGTAGTAAAAAAAACATACTCCAGGTTGACAGGTTCCTTTCCTTTCCTTAGTTAGACCTAGACCTACAAACAAATAAAATTTTGCTATTTAAGTTCATTTAACTTTCGATTTGTGTATTTTCTGTGTTTATGATGTTATTTGATATTTTGACAGGAAACTTTACTCTACTATGTGAGCATATCAGTAAAAGTGCAGAAACTCTGGCCAAACATTTCCATCATCTTGACAATGTGATGGGCACATTAAATGTCCAACAACATTCACTAGGGATGTTGGGAATATTGTAAGTATGATACTGTCTTCTTAAAATCATGCCTTTAGCAACCAACACTGGAATTAACAGCAAACTAGTGTCCTTGGCCTCAGGGACATTTATGGAGGGATTTGAATCTGTACTACCTGGTAAATTGGATATTGAATAAATAATACATGTTTTAATGTCTATTTTTTATATGTTCTGTTTTACTCTAGATGTGTGAAAATAAATATACCAAATATACCTGATTTTGAAACATTATTTGTCCAGACTCAGGAATTTGTCAATTTATGCAATGGTGAACAAATTAGATATGCTACAGAGAGTTGTAAGTATTATTAAAAAGACATCTGTTATGATAAATGAACTATGCTCAGAACTTGATCTTGAAACATGTTGTTACTCAGTGTTTCATGCTGTGTGATCTTCATTTCTATTCAATTGTTAATTGTAATTCTCTTACAGTTGCCGATTTGCTTCATAAATTTGCCAATAATCTGATAGAAAGAAAAACTGTAAGTAAATATAGAAATAAAAACGTTTGATTTCATATTGAAACAAGTTTTTATGAAAAATCTTATTCAGGAACTTAGATAAAGGAAAATTTTGATATGGCTTGGAAAATAAATCATACACCATAGATTTGATTACCTTAATGCAAAACATTCCTGTGTCTTTGATATCCACTCAGGAATATTTGCTTATGAGGCTTAAAGGCATTTTCAAATCCATGTGTGTCTGCATTTGAATGCTCAAATTCCTGTTTCTGAGACTGAAGTATGATTGGTCAAGAAAATGGTGCAGCTGTCCCTTTAAAACATATTATTTGACCTGTATTTTCAGCCTGTGAGAGGTATTGCTATATTAGCAAAAGGTATACAGAAAATACAGTTATTTCCTACTCAGTTAACATCAATACATGCTTATTTATGTCAGGTAAGCATTCATGTCACTTCTAAATGTTAGTTTAGCAGTTTTGTCAGTCTAAAAATGAATATAAATTTTGTAAGAGAATTGTCTATAAGACAATGAGAATGTTAAAACAATAGTCTCAGTCAATTCTGAAATGTCTTCATGTTTTTCTCTTTAATCAGTGTACTAAATAATAATTTCTGATTGGTATATATTTAGTTGTGTATAGAACAATGAAACCAGGTCATATTTTTTGGTTTATTCTAGTTGTGTTTATTATCTAAAAATATGAAACCAGCATTACAGTTTCTAGATAATGATATAACAGATATTAGTAGAGAGGTAGGTTTTATACTTTCTTAATATTATGAATATTGTGGCCTGAAAAAAGTAAGTTACTTTGAGGGGAGCTTTGTATGTGATAAAGATAGAAAAGGTTGTTATTGTTAACGATTCTGGACTAGATTTTTAATTGGAGTCGAACATCCTCAAACCTTTGCAATCCTAAGACACAAAACAGTGTTGCCAAAATGTATTTAAAACTAAGTAATACTAATCTATCAGAATGTCAAATTTGATCTTCAATTTACACAAAAGCTTAATGGTGTCATGAAAATGAGTTGAAAATTGTAGATTCTAGATTTCTATCCAGTTTACAAGCAACAGTGAACCAACAGACTGACATTGGTGCGAAAAATGTTTGTGTATTGTGTACATACAAAATGAACACAGCAAAGTTGCAGTCCAACTTCATAAAAAGTGTTTACATTGATGTGCTGAGTATTATTAAATAATTGTTATGTCTTAAATTTTATAGGGAGGTAATTATGATTCCAAAGATTTTCTGCAATTTTATTATTATGGAGGAATGATTTATACTGCATTGAAAAAATATGATCGAGCTCTGTACTTCTTTGAAGTTGTAAGTATTAAATGATTTCACTTTTTCTACTTGTTTCACATTTTACACAAACATAACAAAGTCGCAATTGGTGCAAAATAACATTGTCTGTTTTATGCATATTTGCATTTTCATGATCTTTTCATTATATTTCAGTCTATCGCTACTCCAAGTTTCGCTGTTAGCCATATCATGATGGAATCTTATAAAAAATATATTTTAGTGGCCTTAATACTTCAAGGAAAGGTAAGGAATTTTGTTTTGAATACTGAACTGAACAGTTGCTTTATATCAAAGTCTTGATCCAGTCAGCCTGGTAACTATATTAAAACAAACAATTTTATCTTTATTTGTAGGTACCTGCCTTACCGAAATACACGTCACAAATAGTAGCTAGATATATAAAGGTTTGTAATATATTTTCTAATAGTGTGTCTAAGTTTACTATTCTATGAAACTCTATATCGAAGTAGCAACAGAACTATCTTCAGGAAAACATTCTTTATGAACTCAAAAATAAACTCTACCATAAAATTTATTGTTTGAATTAAAAAACTACATTATCAAAGGTTACTTTTACAATTATTTAGTCATGTACAGAGCTTATTTGGAAATTCTTGAAGTTATAATGATTAAATTACGAAATTTTATGTTTTGAAGTGCTCAATGATTAATTATTGAATTTTCAGCCTTTGTGCCAAGCTTACCATGATTTAGCTAATGCTTATTCTACCAATAGACCTAATGATTTACGTATTATTGTGTCTAAACATAATGATTTATTTACTAGGGTAAGATTTCTTTCTAGTTTTTTCTCTGTCTCTGATGCAGATCGGATTTGCTGACATGGAAAAAGTGTCTAGTGTCATGGTATTGATGAAAATTTCATTTAAAGTTCTTGACTACAAAGAAAGCTTTTCTTGATATGTTAGACACAGTCATTGTACAGTTTCAGTTAGACATGAATGCTAACACAGCTAAATTAACAGCCCAAGCCTTAATTATTTACTCAATAATATTAAATTATAATAATAAATGTAATTTAATTGTAGGATAATAACATGGGTTTAGTTAAACAATGTGTTAATTCTTTATATAAAAAAAACATCCAACGTCTAACAAAGGTAAGATTCTCAAATATATTTTGCAGTTTAGGCCTATTTTTTATGCAATAATGCATTATACTTTTTATTTCTGGAGCAAAAAAAACCATATATATGAACCTTCCATGTTTGCTGCTATATAATGAGATATATGATGTCTGTTATATTAAAGAAGACAATTTTGTGTAGATGTTTTCTAGATGACGTCTACATTTCCTGTATGCAATTTACCCTATATAGTCTGAAAAGTGCTCTAAATGCATATGAATTCTGTTTCAGACTTTCCTCACACTATCATTATCTGATATGGCCAACAGAGTTCAACTCTCAGGCCCTAAAGAAGCTGAAAAATATGTCTTACACATGGTAAGTATTAAGACAAAATCAAGGGTAACTTTAAAAATATTACTAGGAGTTAATTATCACAAGGTGATTCTGGTGTAAATATTGTTAAGCAAAGCTACACACATACTACATAGCATTTAGGGCTTCAATTTAGAAAATATAGACCTCTGACCATCATAGTTTGAGTGTTTATGTCCCTTTATTGCATTTCAGTTGTACAGTTCACAGTATTTTTGATTTGTATATTGTAGTATGTCAATGTCACCTAACCCATGAATGAGAATTTCAGACTATTTTTACTTTTGGGAAGATGAAAGTAAATCTCTGGAGTTATACTATATTAAATCACTAATCCAACTTCTTGTTCACACTGTAGATAGAAGATGGTGAAATTTATGCCACTATTAATCAGAAAGATGGAATGGTACAGTTTCATGATAATCCAGAACAGTATGATAATTCAGCTATGTTATTATCAATAGGACAAGAGGTAACAATACTCTAGGATATCATATATTTACTCAGTGATGACTAACCAAGCTATTACAGGGCTTTCTCTTTTTGAGAGATTTCATATAGAAATAATTAGCAATTGCTTCAGTTTAGTTCAATGAAAAATTTTGAAAATGTCTGCTTTTGTAAACATAAATGAAACACCAATAAAAACCAAGAATGATGTAAAGAAAACATTATGAACATATATTTCATTTAATATAGATGCAGAAATGTATGTTAGTTGATGAAAAAATAAAAGAAATGGACAGAGAAATAACAGTAAATCCTCAATATGTACAAAAGGTGGGCTATGATAATCAAAATTATTTTGCTTAGTCAAGAAATGATTTGTATATCAATTTTTACTAATTTTCAAATTATTCAAGAAAGTATTTATTCAATTTCTCATGGAAATATATTTTTTTCCAATTACTCAAAGAAATACATATTTTCAAATTACTAGAAAATAAACTGTGTTCATTAATTATTTATGTAATAATCTTAAGATGTTACTGGTTTATCAGTTTTAAGTTCATCTCTTATGTTGTAAATTTCAGAGTTCCAGTATTCATGATGAAGATATTCCTGGATCTATAAAAATTCCTGGACATTAGAGTTGATAATAGACACCATTAACTAGTGCTATAAACATTGTGTATATAAACCATCTGAGTTATTTTTCCATCCTAGTTTGTGATCTTCTGTAAATCTTGTATTTTTGTCAATAACAAATTATTATATCAGGTTCTGTGTTATTTTCTATTAAGCCCATGTTCTATTTGTGGCTCGGGCTCAACTAGTAATATGGAGGTTTGGGCTTTGATATTGTCATTACAATCACAGGGTCAGTTTAATCAACAATCTATACCAGCAAAACATCTACTTTGTAACTCCTCATTAGCAATAAAAGTGGGATGGACTATTGGACTTTAATTGGAAAATGTGTACAACAGACAAATGGTCACTAAAATGGAAAATTTCATTTTTATTTGTATCAATTATCCTGTTAATGATCAAACAACAGCTTGTCCATTGGAATTTTAGCCTGGAAGACACAGACACAAAAAGACAATCACCTTTCAGTCAGCCATATAACATTATGAACATTCACAGTTTGTGCTTAAGATCTGACCTCCTTCAACATCATTCAGAATATCCATTATAATTTGATTTGAGATGTGAAAATGAAAGAATGAAGTTTAATGTCCTACTCTTCTGCACCTAATTCATTGGGCTTAAGAAAGACAGGCACAGGCCATCAGCATGTAATGTAGGAAATTTTGCCAAGACAGTTGTATTGGCATACTCTATTTCGATTCCCAACTATCGAGGGATCTTTATGATGTAGATTTTAAGTTAAAATACAATCAAAATGTACATAATCATTAAGAAATGTACTATTAGGCATAGATCAATCTGGAACATTTAAATCCTTTTACACCATTTTTAAAGGTGAACCAATTCACAAATTCGCACTTGACTCTAGGAACTGTCAAGAGGGAATGAATCTTCAAGGCAAACAAAATCCTCACAAAGGCTGTCACTGTAATTTCTGAAAAAAGTCATATTCTTCTTCAAATTTGTCAAAGTCCCTATCTGTAAATACAGTATCTGATTCTTCATTCATTTCTTTAGGCATATCTTTAGACAATTTTCTCTGGTGTTGCTCTATAATCTGTAAATAAAAAAGATCGAACCTGACTAACCTTTTTTATTCAATCAATAATTTGCTTATTATAGCTTACAGCCCAGTATGGATAATCAAGGAAAGATCAATGCCGAAAGGATTGGCCAAGGACCAATATGAATTTACCTTTTTACTGTACACTGACTTGATTTTCCCAACACTGGAAATTTGTTTAAATATTTTGACATTAGATTTGGTATGATCTTTTTCTTGGTTATCTTTGTATTCCTCTGAAATTAAAATGTTGAGTTGTATTATAAGGTTTGTTACAAACATTCTTCTCTACATCAACCTTGGTAGCTTTTAATAGTGTCATCAAGAATTTTGTTTTTAGACTCAACCTTCTGTGAAGGCAAACCGTGTTTAATGTGAAGGGTTACAGAAATACATTTTAACAATATTGATTTTACCACATCATGTCCAAAAAGATTCTCCTTAACTATCACAGATAACATTTAATTTAAATGAAGAGGTGCACCATTTTTTTTTAGCTAAACCAATCTGTAATGGTGTTCGCAGCTCACCATCCAAATTTGAGCTTTAAAATCCATGTGTGTCCAGAATTATTATTATTTTGAAGAATAAAATTACGACTCTTCATTTTTAGATACTCTGTGATATTTAGAAAAGACATAAAGAAATAGTGAGTAAATGTCCTAGTTTGAAGTATTTTTAAAGGAATTTTTACGAATTTTGCAAAATCTACATTTCTAGTACCGGGTATTGCTGAAGACTATTATTATATGTTCAACACTAAAATTAACCGCCCAAAATGGTGCACTTGCCCTTTTAATAGTACCACTGGAAGAATACACGACAAATAGGACCAAAGAAAACTCAGAGTTGTCCTGCAATCCTACTGGAATACCAGATACAGCTATCAACTAATAAGCATCTCTGTTGGAGAGTAGTTATACTGACCTAATCTTGATTTGGTCTTCTTTAATAGTTTCTTCTTCTTAGTATCATGAGCCTGTTCTACATGTAATTGTCGTAATTGTTTCCAAACACCATGTTTATTACTATTGATTAATCTCATACCATCTTTTACTTTTCTACTCTTCTTTTCTTTTGCTTTTCTTTCTAAGAAAAAAAATGATGTAGCTAATTCATTCACTCCTTGACAATTGTCCATGAACTCTTGAAATAGATCTTTATATGGTTTATCTATACCTTAACCTGTGACAAACACAACAGTACAGAAACACAGGCTGTGTTTGCTTTGACAAAAAAAAAATAGATTACTCTTTACAAAATTGTAAAATAGGCTGCAATATTATTATAAAAGATGCCACTAACCATTAGGCAGTTCAATTTGATCATTGAATAGTTCAAGACCACGTTTTACAAGATCTGAAGACATAATATCTATGATGTGTAAGACGGAAAATCAGTTGACATTAACATTTTTGTTTACGTTTTGAGACCATGTGTGAGTTTTTACTTCCGGTCCTAATACTCTCTAATCATACAGTTTATAGTAAATTAAATCATTCCTCTGCATTTCAGACATAATTTTAATGTTTAGGCTATTTGATAATAACAAATACTTTTATTGATAGATACAATTTCGTGTTATACATTAGGTGCTTGAAAAATTATCTTTTGTAATTTATACACAATGTAACGCTTTGAAATAGAGAGTATTTCAGTAGAAAACAAACAAGAGTGTCTGACTTTTCTAATTTTATATAATTTTTACATCAAATCTTATCTACAATAAGAGACAGGCTATATATTTGCAGTTAGAAGGTAGACTTGGGTCCTAGTTTATAAATTATGATGAAATAATCACCAAACTAAATTGAAATTTAACCTGGGTAGATTTATTACTTTATAATTTGGACTCAGACCACAATTTTATCCTGCACCCTTAGATGAATACTTTATGAAATTTTTACAAACTATTTAAAAAATTGTAGGCCTATACAGCAATTAGGTCTGCAGATGAATGATACAAATAGTTGTAGATGGCAACCAGCTTCTTCCAGATCTTTTGCTTAGCATGAGAAAATAAAATTGATAGGTTACAGTCTGTTGTCTCACAAGAGGTTTAGCCTACATGCTTTTGCTTTCGTAACATTGGCATATCCCTCTAGGCCACTGTTTCGTAACATAACTCAACAGCAATGTCACAACTTAAAATTCATTAAGGTACATTAACAGTCATGAGATAACACATTTTACTAACCACAGGGGAACTTAGAGGACAGCACCTTATGTTATGAAGAAAGTGGGTCTGACATGAATCTTTTCTTTTCAGATAACTTGTGTGGTGTTACAATGTCAGAAACTAAAGATATTCCTGCTGCTCAAGTTATTAATAATGCTACAATCTCAGGCTCACCAATAAATAAATTTTTGTTACCAAGTCCTATTCCTCATCGTAGAAACAGAACTTACTCAGCGTGAGTTAAATATTTGATCAAATTATATTATGTAGAGGCAGTAATCTTATCGTTTGTTCTTTCTGATTGTTTAATGTGCAGGATGTACTCTCTGGATTATTGCCCTTGCCAAAACAAAACAGTCCATTCTTAATGCAAGTCTAGTATAAAAAATGTTTTATCTAATTTCATTTTTTCATTTAAGATCTGAAGCTGCCCTGGCAGGGCCCACTAAGCAAGGTTTAGTTAAGAATTTTTGTAGAACCAAAGGTCATGGATTTATCACTCCATTAAAACCTGATGAGGCATGTAAACAAGATGAGTTATTCTTCCATATATCTGAGTAAGTCGAAAGATAACATAATTACAGTGACTAAGTTCTCATTAATATTCTCTCATGCAGATGTCACGAATAGGAGAACATTGGTAATATCTGCTCTGGAGAATTTGATCTTGTAGATGTAAATTCTGATATATTTTTCTCTGGGTCTATTTACATTTTAATGAAGTATTTATGTGTATGTGTTAGTATACAGGACATTAGCAAACATATGGTTGAACCAGTGACTATTGAAAAACAGGCTTGCAAAATCTTTTTGAATGATTTAAGTGACAATATACTGGTATTATAATTTCCTCTCTTACAGCATCGATGGAGAATATGTCCCTAAACCTGGTGATCATGTGTCTTATAAACTCTGTTTGATTCCACCAAAGAAAGAAAAATATCAAGCTGTACATGTACAGATAACTGAATTAATGCCTGGTATTTCACATGAAAAATGGAGTTCACCAGTTTCCAGTCCTGATAAATAAAGTCATTCCCTCTTGAATTTTTCTATGTATCATCTAGACCCACTGATATTCGACAGTTTCACACTATTTGAAATAAATGAATAGATGATATTTGTCTGTCATGTTCACCAAAAAATTATGTAATACTTTCTTGAAACCAGTCCTAGGCAATGTGGAAGTACACTGTTTCACGCATTGTAGGGCATATTGTATATTGCTAATTATAAAATTAAAGACTTACAGTTGTCTGGAATTCTTCTGGTAAAAGTATGAGACTTATTGTATGTTGATTAGGATTCATGATGAATTGATTCTGATCTGATCTATTTTGTAAAGTATTATTGTATCCATGTTATTTTTGTAGAATATAATCATCACTTTCCTACCTAATTCTTAAAGATACTCAATTATAATGTAAAATATAGTCCTCCTAATAGTTTCTTTACCAGCTGGTTGGACTGATGTTGAGATTTTTGTATTACTATTTAGAAATACAACTTGTTATCCAGTTCTTTTGCAAGTCAGTTATGATTCTATGACCTCATGAACTTCCATGATATGTTTTGTTGAATTGCAGAACTGGACATCCAAGTCTGAAAAGGACTTTAGATAGCTGAAATGAGCTATATCAGCTGATAAAGTAATAATTAGGCAGGTATATCCTTTTTTTTTTTTTCATTTTCCCATTATTTTAAGTACATGTGTGAAAAACCATGAAAAGACCACTTTCTACTTTTGTGTATATGACAGTTGCGCTAATTTTGTTTTCATTGTGGTTTGGTCTATGTTACGATTAATGCATGTAAATTTTATGTTGATTTAGGGGCCTTTTGATGACAGTGTCTTTGAGACCGTTTGATTTGACTATAAACTTAATCCTGTGTGCAAATTGTTGTGCACATTAAAGATTCACCAAAAAAAAAATCTGCCCTTGCAAAGTATTCATGCACAATGCATGGTTTTCTCCTTTTTTATGGCCAATTGATGCAGAATAGTGTAGCATGAAGTTTACTTTAATTTCCTTGATTTTTTTAAAATATTTTTTTTGATAATTATGCTTATAGTCACATCTGTTGTTAAGCAGGAAATTTTTTTTCTTATACAAGTAGTTTGAGGAAAGTGAAATAGATATATTAGATAGTAGTTTTGATGAATGTTAGGCTAATGAGTCAATTTTTAATGAGATATATTCTAAGACAAGCTCAATTTATATCAAGTTATATTTTAGTTAACTGGATTTTGCTCTGTTATTTATCAACTCTTCCAATGTAAAGTACAGATATCTAGCTGAAAACTACAAGTAAAACAAGGTTTGCAACTTGTAGTGAAAATATTTCTGAAGCAAGTACACTTAATTTGTGAGATCTTGTATATTGAAATTTTCGAAATTATTTTCTTATTATACAAGATCTGCAGATTACAGATTATTAAGGATACATATTATTTTTTTTGAAAATCATCTAAGGTATTATTTTTATCAATAAAGTATTTTCATATATTGTAACAAGGTTATATGAACACTGAAAGAATGTGTTTATAGGTGTTACTATACAGTTGATTCTTGTGTTCTTGATAAGATTAGTGTTTCTATTACTACAAGTAATGATATTAACTTATATTGTGGGAAGTCAATATGTAGGTTTTGAGTGTACAGAGTTTAGAGATGATGTATCTGGACAAGAAAAGAAAGAATGAAACTATGAAATAAGCCACTATTATTGTTATTATTAATGTGTATATTGTAGACTATTGTTACCACTGACTTCTATTATATAAGAAGTATTTTAGATGAAATAAAGAAGATTTCAATATTTTCAATATGTTGTATTTTGTTTTAGTTTTGGAAAGCAAATATGTAACAGAGTCTTCTTAAACATCATTATCAATCCAATTTAAATAAGATTTACAATATCGTTTCTTTATTCCCGATGTCTTTCGTCACCATCGTAATCTTAACAAGTTTTCTACCCCAGTCCCGTTCTAATGACGTTATTTTAACCATGGTTATGAACCTGTTTCTTGATAACAATGACAACATATACTTTCATATTGCACTATGTATTTTAGGATCGGCTATATCGCAATTTCGCCACTTTGGCAACACATATTTCAAATAAGGATATTGGAAATTATAAATTTCTAAAACTATATTAAGCTGCATTTGAACTGTTTTCATTCGGGGGATTCCCGGGTTATCAGACCTGATTGTTCACTAATATACACGGCCGATACTGGCTCTTTAAATCTCAATACCTTCTCAAGCGGTGAAGTAATTTAAAAGATCAATGTCTCTTGAGATTGGTGTAAAATTAGTTTGTAATTTATTTCTACAAGATACCAATTTATACTGACAATAACCAATCGATATTCTATGTATTTTAATAGAAACTGTTTATAGGATATCAATATTATCTGATTATATTCTTTATAATTGGCCATATAACACTTCTATACATTCAGAATGGTAATCGTTGTTGTAAAATACCAGAACAAATGCGGAAACAGATTCAGGAATTTATCTGATAGGTATATTGGCCCCGCAGTACCATGATTGTGTAGACAGGTCGATTGCAGACGTAAACTTCCTGGGGATATCCGCGATTCAAGATCAAAACAGACCGCCTCTCTCATTCTAACCTTCAGTTACAGGTTTTTTTCCACATTTGACTTTCGCTCTTTTCACAATTCTTTGGATTATAGATTCAGTTTTCAGAATTCTCATGAGATGATTTTAAAATGTTCACATAATCTATATTCACGATTAAAGAGACTTATTTTCATACGTCATCATGATTATCTTGCACGTGCAACTTCGCCCGAATAAAAGAATCTGATGGTTATTTTAATGGGCGTCGCCATAAGGTCGTCTAAGGTCGTCCGTGTGATTAGCAGAATTTGAGAGGAACTAAATTTTAAACGGGAATCTATCACTCGCTCAATAACGAGTACCTGAGCGCACCAATGGTTGAAAAATTGCTGAACCAAAGTTGCAAAATTGAATCTATGCAGTTTGCCAATTGTAACCTATATTACCAGAAAGTTTATTCATTATTTAGTCATTACAGACAATGATGAAAATTTGTCATGTTTAACAAGGACGAAATAGTAGCCAATTAACTAGTTAGCCTTATTTAACATGCTTTGATTACCAGACAACATAGTGTATCAGATAGTATTGATTCCTCATTTTGATAAGAGAAAATTCCTAATGTTACTACCAGAAAGTTAGTCAGCCAGCCGAGTCAATACCAACAGTTCCCGTATATTGACTTTTGGTACATATGAATTAGTTATTGGAATCATAGACTGGAAATCCTGATAACGGGTTATTTGGTTTGGAACATGATTTTACCATTAATTTTGTGATTTACTACTGTCGTTTACTTTATTTATTATTTAGCTGTAGGTACATAATAATAACAGGAAACGTATTCTTTCGCCTCAAGTTTAAATTTTGTGAGACTTTCAATGGTGGAAATTGTACGGAATTGAAGGATTTTCAAATTCTGCAGTTTTTGGAAGTGCTGACAAAAGGAATTAAAGATCCATATCTCAGAATAAAATATCCTGTCGTTTTATTTGTTTGGAACTAGATTTAAATATGTATGACAGTGCTTTATATCAATTATTAACGGTTTCGGTTGGTATCTATAGAAGTGGGTGGTTCATCTTTGAAAACGATCATTAAGCGAAAGGATTCAACATCTTGGAGAATTTTTTTTAAAAATAGAAATGTTTCTGGATGAGCGATTCCTTTAACCATATAATAGAGAAAATTCAATTTCAAATCGATACTAACAAATAGATCAAAATAGATCGTCTGGTCTATGATCGATGATTTTTATTAAATATAATTTATTATGCATGACTTAATGAGTTCAATAAAAATAATTGCCATTTAGAAAGACTGAAAGTTGCGGAAGCCCAAGAGAGCATTGTGAATAATTAGATAAATATATTTATGTCTTATATACATGAATGTAACTATTGATTTTTATCATAGTATACCATGATGATATCGTATATATAACTTTCATAGCCAAAGATTGGAAAAATTACAAAGGCCATACGCAGATCTTGGAAGAAATCTTGTTAAAATAATTGGTTGTTTTGGGTTCGCTTATGTAGCCTGAATGTTGTTTTCTGGATTATGAGAAGAGAAATGGTTCAATAGTCGAAAATTGGTTGATTTGAAGTCACTTTAACTTGAAATGGAGATGAATTGCAGAGAATCTGAAGCCTACTGATATCGAAAATGATTCAAAAGCCGAAATTCTTGTGAAAATTTGTTGATTTGGAGGTCGCTTTAACATGATATATAGACATGTTGTTTCTGTATTAATAGATAAGAATCTTACTGATTGCTATAATGGTTCAAAAGTTAAAGATGAAAAGATATTGTGTTTATCTTCTACGATTTACTGTAGTGTTTTATTTGTGTTTCATTCTACTCCAATATTCCAATAAAAGCAATTTAAAACTTTTATTTGACAGTTTAGACGATGATGTGAGTTCTAAGCTTAAATCTAATGTGAAAGGGTATTATTATTCCACGCTACAAACTTCACAAATCGACAGACTAAAAGCAGAAATCAATAGAAGGTCAACGATTCCATCATCCCGACTTATTTCTGGTAATACTTCACATTTGGCGCCAATTCTGTTAGTGGTCGTATGCTCCCATCCATCACACGTTCACAATCGATTGACTATCAGAAATACTTGGGCTTTTAACTTTTCAAAACAGATAAGTGTCGTGTTTTTGATTGGAAAAGTCAAAGACGATTCCTGGAACTCTGTAATAAGAAGAGAAAGTCTCATACATAAAGATATTGTAAAAGTGGACGTGATAGAAACGTATAGAAATCTTACAGTCAAAATGATGGCTGGTTTTAAGGCAATTTTAACTCAATTTCAATTCGTGAAATATATTCTGAAAACAGACGATGACACTTTCATAAATCTTCCGTATCTTTTAAGAGAATTAAATACCAATATTAATTTTGTTCCAGCTGATCAAGTAGTCGGTGCCTTGTGTATAAAATCTAGAGTGATAAGAGACCCTCGTGATGTTTGGTTTGTTCCATATAGTATTTACTCTAATAGCACATATCCTCCTTATGTACACGGCGGTGCATATTTATTACAATATTCTACTTTAAATAAACTCTTATCTTATTCCATATCACCATATTTACAGTTAGAAGATGTTTATATAACAGGAATATTATCTAGAGATAGTGGAATCATTCCTGTTAGTCACAGAGCCTTCTCTTTCTGGAATAGTAAACCAGCTTCTGTATGTGATATAATTCAGAATAAACTAATCTCAAGTGTAAATCTACAAATGAAACAAATACTCAAATTGTACAATGGGATAAGACAGAAATCAGTTCGTAAATGTGAGTCAATTCATCAACAATTAAGCCTCCAAAATACTTGAATTCGTGAATTTTTCTTAAAACAATTTGTCATCTTGATCCATATAGTGCCTTATTTTTTTCGAACCATCTTGTTTGATAACAGGACACAAACCAACTTGACTTTTATTCATATTCCTTGATTCGTTGTGATCTTCAAAGAGTTAACGAGTCAACAGTGATAGTACAAAGAGGAGACATTAACAAATTGACAAATGATGAGAAGGCAAATCAAAGAAATAACAAGATAACAAGACGACAATCAAAGAATTGAGAGACAAGAAAGAGAAATAGAATAAATCAGATGTGAGATCTATCAAAGTAGTGAATATTACTATCTCTAACATAAATCAATACAATTCTCATGAATTTCTATAATTATTGAGAATTGTAAGAAGATTTGGGTGAGAAAAAAAATGAATAATAATCTTGTAAAAATAGAAATAACTCGAACCAACCTTTAACATTCACAACTATCAAATCTGTAATTGTAATTTGTTACAATGACATTGGAAGTTCAAACTAGGCAATATCCTTTTGAAATGATGATTTTATGCAGAAATTGTATTTATATTCAGTGTCTATGATTCATGAGGGAAATCTCTCAGAATTTTGACAACTATTATTTCAGAACTTATATCCTTTCAGTTTCATGGCTACAAATTATATTAAATATTTATATAATAATTAGCTTTTATGTTGTCAATTGTAAAAATAAATCTTTGTGTTACACAAATCTTATAAATATTTAATACGTTATAATGGTTTTTATGTCAAACATTTCGTCGCCAGCCAAGATTTTAACACCAGCATTTACTTTTTCTTCTTGAGATGTATTTTATATGGACTTTTGATTCGAATTTAGGCATTTTTCTTAAAGATAGTTTTGCCTGACCGAGCGTAGTATTTACCGGGTCAACTAAACCCCATCCAACCTACACAAACACCAATTTTTTCCCTCTTAGGAAATCTGTAAATCTGTAAAAAGTTTCAACACCAATTTTTTTTTCTGTTTATTTATTCCGCCCCAGTCTGGACTCGAAATCTGAAATAAGTAAAATATTTCCGAATAATACCTATTTATGTGGTCGTATTTCGATAATACCTCTATAAATGTTACTCGCCCAACACAATTATGTTGGCCCTTCACTTAACAACTGAACTTTGGATCGTCTGCTCTTGGCGTTTTATTGTTCAGAATCCAGGAAGAAAAAAAAAATAACAATAACATACCTTATAAGCACATATATAACTAATATTTTCTCCCAAGACAAGCATCTTCTTTTCTTGAGGTACTTCAGCCTTCGACCTCTGATCTACAAAAGGTCGGTGTTGGTTTTCAATCTTAACCCCTGATTTCAGCTCACATCCAAGAGTGAAGAGATATGTTGAGGGTTCGTTTGAAGGGTCAGAAAAACAAACCCTATCAAGAATTTTGAACTGACTGGAAAAAAAAACACTTTTAATCAACACTTTTTAACAATGGTTTAAAGTTTATTAACTGTATTGTACTGAGCATGATTCACCACTTATAGTAAAGACTAAAACAATAGACTTTCTACTCAAATCAAGTATTTGTCACATTTAAAAAACGATGGGTGGGGATAGTATGATCTTTAGTTTCAGAGTGTACAAAATAGATTCTATTATTATAAATTTTTCTGAGGGAATAAACTCAAAGGTTTGCGCCTATGATGCTTCAACCTTGCTTGAGCAATTGGAATCTCAACCCCGTCAGTTGCACTTATTGTCTCTCTGGTGCAAAAAAAAATCGTTTGGCATCTTAGCTCAATCTGGAAAATATTTATACCTTTCAGTATGGTGGATTGAGGGTTGTGTAAGCACCATATTTGGATGAAAATTAATTGAATTGTCTCCCAGTGTGGATCATAATAGAAATGTGTTTCTCAAAAATAATCTTAGCTTAATCTAGAAAATGTTTCTACCTTACTTGAGCTGCCTTACTTGAGCGGCCAACCAAGTGAATTTAACAATCAATTATTCGGTGATAGCACTATGGCAGTTTTCTGCTACCAGAAACAGGTCATTGTTTTCTGAAAATTTCGCAAGGAAGACAGGCAGATGGCTTTGTCAAACGGTCTTCATGGAAGTTTCTGAAACAAATCACGGTAACGAATATCAGCCGTTATATTACCGGTACCGTTTCCAGAATGTACGTGCATATGTGATTCTAGTAGTTCATTGGCTGGTCGTTCATGAATAACAACATTGTCCACTAAGTCAATAAAAACCACAAATACTATCTTCTAGGGCAATGATGGAAAAAAATTCGGGGAACAACCCGAAAACAAAGAAAAATACAAGTAAAATTCTACGGAAAATTTTGGACAAAACAGGCCCATGAAAATAACAACTTCGTATGATATGAATTCGAAATGAAAAATTGGTAAACCAATAGCCACCAAAATGTCGAAAGTGAAAAATCTCGCCCCAGAAGACACAACGAAAGTTATCATTCATTACAGAGAAACAGTCAGTTTTAAACAAACAGAAGATGGTTTCCAAATGTTAACCCATATATAACCCAATTTTTATTTTAGGATATTCAAAAGAGGTACTTAATCAACTTGTGGAGAATTTGAATGGGTCAAATAATGGCAATTCTATGTAATTGTACATTATGAATATAAGTAACAGAAATCAGTTTGAGTTTTTATTATTCAATTATAATATATAAACTGTACATTTCTTTTATATTTCATAATAAAATAACATCAGAATAGAAAACAACAGGCTTTATTATATTATATAAACTGTGCATGTTTATAGCCCACATGTGTTCAAATATATACAGATTGTGTTTATAAAAAGATTATAAAAATATTACTACAATGCTAAATAGGTATTAACTAAAAAATAAATTCTCAGAAAAACTTGTCCTTTTTTATCTTGGGTGAGAGAGCTGCATTTCGTAGTTCATTAACTTGCAATAATTCAAAGCTATTGCAGGATAGTACTCTACTTATGATCCTTTCTTTTTATGTGTTATGGTCTGTATTTATAATCAAGCTTATCAAAACTGTGCCACATATAATATACTGAGAAATATATCCTGCTATAGAGCTCTTCTAAGATAAAAACAAACAAAATAGCAAAGAATATGATGTGCTATCATCAATAGTATTTTATAAGATCTAGATTATATTGTTATATTTATCATTACAAGTACCATGAGATAATTTTCAATTTATTTAAGTCTTAAATGAATCTGTATTTCCTATTCCAATATCTTTGATAATAAGGAAACAACAATACTATGTAAAACAATGTATTGACTCATCCCCAGATGTGAAGAACATATTTGGGTAGAAGTAAGTTGCTATAATAATATCATATATATATATATATATATATATATATATGTGTGTTTCTTGAAGATAAAAAGAGTATTTTTTGAACATATAAACTTAAGCACTTTTATTTTGAGCAGATATTTTGACAAATGGACATGAATCAGATAAAACAGTGTAGGTGTAGGTTTAATAGAATAATGTAAACTAAGAAAATTGCAAATTGAAATAAAAAAGGAGCCAGCTCCAAAATTATTACAGAAAACTAATCTGAAGCTGATTAATTACTTCTTATAACTTTTGGAAAAAAAAGATTTACAACTAGAAAAAAACTTGTATAAAAATATGACACATATAAGGGACAAAATACACTTGCCAGGAATGTGTTGAATAAAGGCACAATAATATTTCTAGAAATCTATAAATGTGATGAGCATTATAAAATGGAATTATCTATAAATTATATTATACAAAATATTTCTACAATCTATATACATTATGATGTTATGAGATCTTGATGGAATCTTTTATAATGAGACTTTATTTTGCTTTTTAATTTAAGAACTATGGTTGCACCAATTCAATCATACTATAATTAGGACAAAGACAAAATCATAACAAAGACACAGGAAATTTATTTCTTATAATGCTGTGATTATATGGTGTTTTATGGTTGTTACTAAATTGGTTGTGGCAATATGAAATGGGATAGGAAATATCCAATTTGGCGCGAGTAATATAACACGTCAATTTGGTTTTGATCCTCCATGATGATTTACACAATTATGTCACCTCCTCAGTTAACACAATATATTAATAACATAGTGATGTCACTTCCTCAGTTAACATAGTGGTGTCACTTCCTCAGTTAATGCGATATATTGATAACATAGTGATGTCACTCCCTCAGTGAACTCAATATATTGATAAAATAGTGATGTCACTCCCTCAGCTAACACAACATATTGATAACATATTGATGTCACTCCCTCAGTTAACACAACATATTGATAACATAGTGATGTCACTCCCTCAGTGAACTCAATATATTGATAACATAGTGATGTCACTCCCTCAGTTAACACAACATATTGATAACATATTGATGTCACTCCCTCAGTTAACACAACATATTGATAACATAGTGATTTCACTCCCTCAGTGAACTCAATATAATGATAACACAGTAATGTCACTCCCTCAGTGAACTCAATATAATGATAACACAGTAATGTCACTATTCTCAGTGTCATTTGCTCAGTTACATCAATATATTAATAACAAACAGCTTGGTGATTTAATCTATAAACTAAACATAGTGCTGTCACTTTAAAACACAATAAATTGCTAACACAGTACTGTAAGTTTCTCAGAAAACAAAAACTAACAGTATTGAACACAAAACACTTATTATAAACATCACACAGTCTAACATATGTCACAAGACATCACACAAACGATGAGAAACCAGCTAATGGAGTTCGTGACCTCGATTGATTGAACTGTATATTGCCTGTATTAGTACTCATAGCATAATGACTACTATCTGCTTCACTGTCTGTATAAGCATAAGCATTATATGGGCTCTGAAAGCGCCATGATTGTCTTGACATGTCATTATTATTGGCATAATGTCCTGGAAATGGAGGAGGTGGTGGGGAAGCAGGTTCTTTGACAATACTGATATCATCACTTTCATCATCACTTGGCTGAAAAAACAAATTGAAAATTAAAATATAATCAAAAACATTCTAAACAGAGTGGTAGATATCCCATAAATCAGAGCTCAGAGTTTTTCCAACATGCTCTCCTAAAATATCTGTTATTTCACTCTTATCTTAATAATGATCCTTTGTATTGAATACAGAGTTAGATCTACAGCCATATAATGCTACATCACTAATTGTGGTAGAAAAACAAGGGTGGCTCCTGGCCATTGGAACATTATATTAGCTACTGTATTTTCTAATAACTTACCTCTGTAGAATCACCAAAATCTGAAGGTTTTTCTGTGACACTACTACTATCATCACCAAAATGTGATTTAGATGCACCAGTAGCTAAATCTTCACCAGAATATGTGACACTAGCTGGACTTGGTCTAGGTGGTACTCTACTGTAATATAATCAAATAACATTGTGCAAGCAATGAATAAAACCGTATTGTACTTGACTGAAGAATTACTTTACTTATATACACTGGTAAAAATTATTCACCCTGAAACTAATCAAACCTTATTTTAGGATTTGATCATCAGTTATTATCATGAACTCATACTAAACTTTAACAGTATGAAAGCTATGAAGCTAAGTATATTGTTAATAATTTTCCTCTGAAGGATTCAATTTCATTTGCATTAAGATCTGTATACCTGGAAGCATATATATTTCGGTTGTGACCATTTCTTGTTAAAGTAGCAGTTCTTCGTTGTGATTGACGTAACATTTCTAAGGTAGCAAATCCATCATCTTCTGGTTCAGGAGGCTCAGACATTACTGTAGTATTGGTATGAGATCTTTTCATTTCTCCTAAAATATAAGTAAAAATAAGATCATCTGTGATTTGATTCCTTGTCAGACAGAATATGCTGACCCTTCTAGCTAATAATGATTACTATTTTTATTACTATATAGTTTGGCAAAACATGTAAACCAATCAACAGAAGATCAAACATTATGATAGAAAAGGCAATACCATTTTTTTTTATTTTCAGTTTTCTTTGCAGAACTAATACTTAATTTTCTTTTTAAAACTTTAATCTAATTAATAAGGGAGAAATGTGTTTTCCTTTAAAGGGTAATGTATATCGAAAAAGTCAGTAATGATCATGTACTGAATGGTTAGACTGTCTAATGAAATGTTAGGACATGCTTTGACCTAATATTGGTGGATGAGTTTAGGCTAAATAAGGTTAGGAAAGGAAAGCCAATAGAGAATCTGACTTACTCCAATGAGTATTGTTATCTGAAAGTATAAAGATTGTGTTAACATTTGCTATATCTAAAGGAAAAATCAGAAATTTACACCAATTTGATCTGATATTAATATTTGACTTACTCTGTTTATTTCTGCGTTTTCTACCAACCAGGCATAATAATGAAACAATTATCAATATCATTATTACACCAGCTAAAGCTACAATAACTAAAAACCACCATTCTGTATGGAAAGGTTTGGCTTTTAATGCTATTGCTGAAATAGAAAAAATAAAGCCCAATTAAGGCTTACATCTTATAATGATAATAATGCGGATTCTGAGCACAATTTCATTATCTTGTTTAACAGTTTATTCTCCAGCAAATGTTTTGGACTAATAAAACAGGCAGAGCCATTCAAATTGAAATTTAGGATACTAGGATACCTACAGGATGAAATCTAGAGATCTTAACTTATGAGTGGTCCTACATGTACACTGTACACAGATGCATTGATCCATCTACGAAAAAATTGTCAATTAAGGTTAAATCTTTCTTACCTGGGCCAGGTGTACCTAAAGTATCAGATATAACACTAGGTTCACTTATACCATGATCATTCATGGCCATTACACGTAATTTATATTCTCTACTTGGTATTAAATTCTGGAAACTCAGGACTAATGATGTCTGTTGTGAATTTTGTTGTAAAACTGTCTTCCATTTTTCATCATCACCTGAAAAATTGATAAAGGTGTGAGTATCTAAATATATATCTAACAATTTGAAATTTTCTCAATTTTATTGAAGGATGAAAAATACTTTACTAACATGAAATTTAGAATGATATATACCAAAATATCAAGTGATATGACATTACTCTACCTGTTAATTTAGCCTGTGCTATATAACCATAGATAGGTGATCTCCCTTCACTACCCTTATTCCATGACACTGTAACAGCTTTATCAGTTGTTGATAGACTGAGATCCAGTGGAGCACCAGGAGAACCTACAATTATATTGTAATCGTCAGCCACTGCTCCAAATAGTGAATTTCACTCTAATAAGGGATCAAATCTTTTTTCTATGATTAAACATTACACATGTCATTGTCTACCAATAACACCAAAGACTGTAAAGTATTAAGTACTCACCTTGTTGAGGTCCAGTTTTAACACTAGCAACTCTTTCTTTACCTAAACCTTTTGATGTTCTAGCACTAACTTTAAATGTATAGTTACCATATTCTTCTAAATTCTCTACACTAATACGATGTTGACTACCATTTAGTGTGAGTTTTACAAGTTTAGCATCAACTTTAAATAGAATCATATATTTGTGCAATTTCCTGTTCAATGAATTCTTTTTTTTTCGCGATCGAATGGTTAATATCATGAATGTTCAAGATGGCTGTTGTTAGACCCGAACTGAAGTGGCTATATCAAAAATAAAAGCTAATTAAAAAAAAACGAAACGAAAGTTTGGTTTAATTTCAATTAGACTGCTAATTTTAGCAATGATAATCGAATAATAAGTATATACATACCACCACTAGGTTTATTAAGATAATATGTCAGTTCATATTTACTAATGATACCATTAGAATGTATTGGTGGTGACCAGGTTACTGTTAATTTTTCATATGTTATATTGGTAAATACTAATGGTCCTGTTATACCAGGTACTGAAATACATTTCAAATTCTTATTCATCAGCTACATATTGGGTGTGAGTTAAATATAATGTATTTCATTGCATGATTAGCCACAGATGGACATGAGAACAGGTTCATTCAATTTTCAACAAGAAAAGGATCTTTAAAATGCATACAACATCCATTGTCAGTCCCCCATTTAGAAAAAAACACGAAGTATCTTTATTATTATATCAAAGTGAATCCAGTTTATCTTAAAAACTAGATTTAATAAATCAACATTAATTATCAGAATGACGATTAAATTAACAATTGTGTTGGTTTTTTTATCAAACAGTTTTCAAAAACGTTTTACACAAGAAACATTTTGATTGAAAATTTTTGAAAATTCAATTTATACTTAAAGATCTCATACCTCCTTCATCCGTTCTAGCAGAGTTAACAGTACTTGATGGTCCACTACCAGCTAAATTATAGGCTTGAACTGTAGCATGATAATAGGTGAATATCTTTAATTTATTTAATACAAGATAGGGTTCATCTACAATTACTGTTACTTTTTCAATATCACTTGTATCATCAGTATTATTACTCCAATATTCAACCTAAATATAAACAAATAAACCAATAAAGAAATATCTTCACACACATTAACTGTATCAGATATTTCAAATCAAAACTTAGAATTTCAAAAGTATCACATGGATATTTAACATTTTATATAATTCTTTTTGTATCTCATCAATACTGTCTGTATCTGTGTTAATAACTCACCTCTCCCACCACCGCAATTAACATTTTTTTAAACGTTATATCTGGAATTTGTCTATTTACAAGAAAAGTGTGTAGTGGTTTACCCTTAAAGGAATAGTCTATGGGGGGCATTTCTAAAATATATTTCGTTCAAGTTCACACACAATAAAGATGACTCCTTTGATTATTGTCAGTATTAGGAAAAAATATCCAGAAAGATTCATTTTTTTCTAGCACTGGTAGTTATGAAATATATACATAGGACAACAGTAACAATAATTACCTTATATCCTGAAAGTCCACCATTTTGAGTATCTTCTGGTGGAGGCTGCCAAGAGAGTTTGATTTCAGAAGAACTTGTTGCTTCCATAGTAACTTGTCTTGGGGAAGCAGTTGGTGCTAAAAATGAAAATATAATCATAACTATTTTATTCTTTTCACTTCAATTTCAAACAAAATTTCAATTATTTATTTGGATAATAAAACTGTTTATGGAATAGAAATTTAGCTAATATTTATTATGTTTCTTTGGGCATTTTTTCATACTTCTTCAATGAGTAAATGATAAAGATAATAAAGTTGACTATGACACCTAATAAATGCTGACAACACAAAAATAAAGTGATATTACAAAAAATGGAAAACCAAGCCTGTACCACAACAGTATAGAACCAGGTTTTCCTTCAAAAAAGAAATAAAAGAGGAAGTTCTTACCAGCCTCTCCCACAAATATGGTAGCAGGTTTACTAGGTGGACCCCTCCCAACATTATTTCTCGCTAGTACCCGAACCTCATAATACACCTTTTTAACAAGATTGGGTAATAGGACATTGTAACGTGTATAAGCTATAATTTCTTCTGAATATTCTGACATAGACAGTTGTTTATATTGTACAATATAAGCTTGTATATCACCATTCCAGGTATCTGAGGGTGGAGGCTGAGAAACAAAAAAATAGCAAGAAAAACTGAATACATGCCATCACCATAAATAACAAAAAATTGGGGAATGTTATCAGAAAGTTCATAACTTTTTATCATCAATCCTAAATGATTCAAAAATATGATTAGGTGTCTTATAACGTAAATTTTACTAAAATATTCATCTGAATTTTGATTTATTTATCTGAATATTTCATTTATTCATCTGAATATTTCATCTATTCATCTGAATATTTCATCTATTCATCTGAATATTTCATTTATTCATCTGAGTATTTGATTCATTTGTTCATTTGATTTATTTATTCATCTGAGTATTTTTTTAATTATCACACGATTATTCTGGCAACGTAACTCTGCAAAAGATCATTACAACAAATATTTTAATATCTTCATTTTCTAAAACTAAGATATCAACAAAAAATACAAAAAATGAAAATAAAACTACAAAATATAGAAAATAAAAGACAAAGGGTACAGAAAAAACAAATTTTTTGTGTTTGTGTTTACCAATTGCTAGAGTGATGTATACTGTTTCACTCCAAGGCCCGCTTCCCTTTAAATTATACGCTTGTACATTGACTACATATGTCTCATATCCAACTAAATTAGTAATGGAAAGTGTACACACACAATCCTTAATATGATAGCGCCAAGAGTTTGAAAATTGTTTCGCATAACGTAATCTATAACCTTCAATTTTATAACTGTTCCAAGAAAATTGTTGAGGTTGCTTGTAAAAAAATAATTAATACAATTAATTTTAAAAACCAACAAATCAAATATAATTAAAGAATGAAATAATTAGGTTATTTAATGAAGGAATTTGACTTTAAATCTGAAACTAGCTTTAAATCATTCAAAATTAAGTAAATTCCAGCTACAATAATTTCGAATAATTTAATACAATAAATCCAGAAAAACAAGAAAATCAATTGAAACCTACACATAATTAAACCAATTATCACAATATATACTAAGTTTATGCTTATAATTCTTACAACACTCTCATATACTTCATCTGAGATTCAAAAGAGCAATGATAGTTCTAAATTATTTAATAAGCATTTCAAGAATCTAAAAAGTGGAAAAGAAAAAGATGAATTTTTACCTGCCAAGATACATTAATAGATGTCATAGTTACTGCTGTTACTTTTACATTTAATGGTGCTCCTTCTGGCTCTACAATAGATATTCAATTATCACACAATCAATCTTAAATCAAAAAAGACAGAATTAGCCTACATACAAAAAAGTATTGACCTCTACAATGCTCGAAGAATTTATAGCTATAGCTAGGTCATAAATAAAGATGAAATTCAAAATGCTAGAATAAACATGCTATGAATATATCTGACCTCCATCAATTAAAATTCACCATTGTTTTCAGGGTTCTAATTATTACCAATATTCTTAGATAGTTTTCTCTCTGTAAATTACTTATTATATGAATATAAGGAAAGACTTAAGTAACTTACTATCTGGTAGAGTTTGTACTTCTGCTGACTGTAAGCTATAGTCACTAGTACCAATATCATTAGTAGCAGCTACACGGAATCTGTAGTAAGTGTTAGGTCTCAATCTGCAAATAAAATTTCAGAATTATTCAATACAGTTGGAAAAGCATATAATAAACTCTCCTTGTGCTCAATACAATCCTTCACCAAACTATTGCATAAAGTCATAAAAATCACAAAATTCAGTAGCAGGGAAAACCAGAATAAACCAAAACAAAAAACTTACTCAGTAACAGTGGCAGAAGTCTGATCTGGTGGTGTTCTAGTAGGATAAGTAATCCAGGTTCCTCCTTTAGCTTTATATTGTATAGTAGAATTACGAAGTGGACCATAATTAAAGTTACCAGGATTCCAACTTATAGTAACAGTACGAGAACTCACTTGTGAATTGCCTATCTTAGGTTCTGAAGGACTATCTGGTCGAGCTGAAAAGGGCATAGGGATCAGTCAATTGATGAAAAGACAAGAAGGAATGTTGAATAAGAGACCTCCATTACATTTTCATTGGTACATAAACATTGAAGGCTAAATATGATAATACAAATTTTCACTGTTAAAATAGTGCTCAAAAAATCAATTGTAGAGCGAAATACAAATGTCAAAACAGAACCTGAAACATGTTCAGACTTCAGACAACAGACCTATTTCAGCTTGATGCCTAAATAAATAATTGGCTGCCCAATACTTTCAGAATGCTTCGATAAGCATGTCAATTGTTTAGCATATAGAATGTAGTGTTAAAAACTGGATGTATTATTATCACTGAAACCTACCTCTATCCACCATAGTATAAACTAAAACATTAGCCTGTTGTCCCCATCCTAATCTAGTTCTAGCTACGACAGTAAACATATAATATGTTTCTCTATCTAGACCACCAACAACATTTTCTAATGTAGAATGGCTGACTTCTACAGAACTAAGCACAGTATTTTCTGGTTGATTTTCTTTACGATAGTTGACCTTATATCCTGTTATAATACCATTAGGTTCACTAGGTGGATTCCATACTATTTGTACAGCGGTATAGTTGACCATTGGAAAATATATTATAATTGGTGGACCAGGCACTGAAATAAACACAGGCTTTTATATGCATTAACAAAAATGACTGGGTATCATAAGCTTTGTCATTAACTCCAGTTTATAGAAGAAATAAGAAAGAAAAAAAGAACCAAACAACCATATTGATCTTTCAGTATTTATTTTTAACTAATTGTAAAATTGTTGTGCATATTTAGTTATTTCATCAGATCTGATGGATACTAGTTGGTAACACATGGCTACTGCCTTTACTTGTGAGTGCCTTAATGATGATAATGTGTGTGTAACATCTTTCCATGCAGATAGGGCCTGCACCTATCTTAGTCAAAGCATATTTACAGGTGTCACTTTGATTTGGAGTATTTAATATATAAAGTAACAGTACAAATTGAAACTTACAATCTTCATCAGTTTGAGCTACAGCAGCTCTACCTAATACACCATCTCCCATTCTAGTATATGCTAATAAATTAAGCTCATAGGTTACAAACTTTCTTAAGCCTGTTAATTCTACACCCATAGTCATATTACCACTAATCTCTTCATATTCAGCTGCTATACCTTCAGACTGTGATTCATATTTCACCTAAAAAAACAGATCATTGTCAGTGAGAATCAATAAATGGTGACAACTCAAACTTCTGTGGAACATTATTATTCAATTGAAGGAGAATTAATCAGGTTTTAAAGTTGACAAGAGATACATATATAGAAGTGAGCTCCATCAGAAACTAAACCAAATATGAAGTTGACTATATTGATAGGGATTGACTGTAGTCTTACCTTATAGCCCTGTATCATACCATTTTGTTGTAAGAATCTCACAGGGCCCCATGTTACATTAATACTGGTAGAACTACTTGAGGTAGCTACAACATTAGTTGGTGGACCACTTGGTACTGAAATATAGTACATGTACATATATCATTGTTATAACTTTAAATAGTATTTAAGACCCAGTCCATAAAAATAATAACCAAAGTCATCATTTCATTCTATCAAATTCACTGTAGACACAGGTAAAAAAATATCAAATTTGGTTAGGTTAGTATAAGTCATGACATTGTAAGGTCAAAGTGCAATTGAAGTTAATTCACAGGATAACTTAGTCATATCTACATATAGAAGAAGTACAAAAACCATGTAATAACAATCTGGAGCAATATTATAATCAGAGAGCAATAAGTAACCCACCTGATTCTCTAGTACGTTCTTTAGTAACAGGTCCTACATCACTGACACCAACATCATTATAAGATGACATACGGACATCATATTCTATCCATTCTTCTAAAAGTGGTAATATATAGCTAGCAATATTCATACCATTATCTAGTTTTAACAGTGTATATATGCTATCTGTTATAGTAATATTGTTAGGTGTCATACGGTATTCTAAATTATAACCTATTTGTTCTGAATGCCATTCATGTCTGGGTACAGGCTGAAAAATAACAAAGAAGAGAATTAGTATTCAGTTATCATAACCAATTTCATTTACAGAATCATTTTGTTTTTGCAGATTGAGTACAGATTTGGAAAGAGAACAAAAAAGGCTCATCCAAAAGAATCAAGAATTGTTTCAAGAAAATTTCTAAATCCTAGAAATGACTGAATATATTGACATAATTCTGTCATTATTTTCAAACAGGATTAATTTTTGTTTAATAGTCTGATTTTGAATATTATTGTTGTGAACCACTAAGATTGTCAGAGGTTCCAGGAACATTACAATTATGGACAACTTTTTAAATATAAGTAAAATGCTTCACTTACTGTCCAACTAATTCTAAGAGCTGTGGAATTTAAAGCACGGACTGTCACATTTCCTGGAGGAATACCAGGTGCTGCCATCTTGGTTTGTATGACTCTGGTAGGATCACTAGCATTTGATCTACCAACAATATTCTCAGCAATCAATCGGAATGTGTACTGAGTAAATGGTATCAGGTTTAATACTCGGATTTGATTTGCTGACGGATCTGAGATGGAATAGATTTCTATCCATTTATTACTAGAGCCTACTAAAGCTTCCACAATCCACAATGTTATAGATGTTTTACCATTATAACCTGGTAGAAACTGTATTAGAACTGATGTTGTTTCTATATTGGTTATACCAAGATGATGAGGAGCTGTTGGTAATTCTGGAATATAACAAATCAAGCAAATTGAAATGAACAAGTTTTGAAGACTTCCTTTAGTTATCTGATTTTTTTTTTTTTATTAAATTGAGGATCCTACTTTAACAAATAGAACAGTTTTCACTGAGCTCATTAGTAACAACTTAAAATGTCATTGAAAAAATTGATACTTAAATAGAAACTGGGTTTTACATTCTACTTTTTCTGCACTTGATGGAGTTCATAAAGTGGGGCAATACCATTAAATGGGCAGTGAGGGAAGATTTGTGTAGCATATGGGGATTCTGTTGAATTCCATTTAATGTGTCATTGAGCTATTTCAGTCTGACAGACTGGATCAGACTCCCAAATAATACAAGAAGAATTACCTGGTGGAACACCAGATTCTATGTCAGCATAAACTGAAGGACCAGGTCCTTTTTTAGTAGAGGCATAAACATATATAGTATATTTAGTAACTGGTATTAAATTTTGTATGGTATAACTATTTAATGTAGCAGGTAAATCTATTTGTTTTCTGGTATCTGTTTGATTTTTCTTCTCATATAATATTGTATAACCTACAACAGTATAAATACTGAATCATCTACAGACAAAATATTGTTACAGCAATGTTAAAGATAGGATAAGATGTGGGTATGTTTCAAAGAAACAGTCAACTGATTGGTTGATCTCTAAAAGTTTTAAATCTGGTTTGTTGACCAATCAGATTTAGATCTAGAGTTTTATCTTAGTTTTCATAAAACAAATCACAGTATATCAATAATTTTGATATTAAAGCATGTTACATAAGACAGACTTTGACCTCACAATGTATTAAAGATATACAGCAAGGAATCATGTTACCTGTTAATCACCTTATTGAATTATTGACAGACGGCACTATTTATCATGTCCAATAAAACAAGTTCCTAACAAATTTAAACCCAAATACAAATGTGTATCAATACAAACCTTGAAGTACACCATTGACTTCTGCTGGTGCTGACCAATTTACCTTCACAGTTCTATCTAAAATCTTAACAAACTTTAAATCACCTACTTCACCAGGTACTAAAATATAAATATATCAATTTAATAGTCACTTTTATAGAAGACAAATCAAATGCAGAATTCAAAACTCGGACCAGTCATTTGCATCAAGATTGTACACTTGTTGACTATACTGTGTTTCGAGCCATGGTGAAGGATTGGTTGATTTTGAGGATATGAATAAGATATAATCTTCACTATATTTGCTTTTATCAAAAATTCCATAATTAATCTACTTACTATCTTCAGCAGTTCTAACAGTTTGTTCTGGACTAGCAGGTCCTGGGCCTTGTGTTGTTCGACAGCTAATAGTTATAACATAATCTGTATACTTCATTAATCCATAAATATTGGCAGTCATATCTCCTAGCAGATTATCAGGAATAGATGGAACAAATATTGGTCTTTCTACTTGTGGTACTGATTTACGTCTTAGTTCTATAGTGTATCCCTGGATAATACCATTAATCTCTAGAGGACTAGGAGACATCCAATAAGCTGTTATTGTAGTTGAATTAATAGTTTGAAAAGTGACATTACGGGGTGGAGCAGTGGGAGTACCCTCTAATGTTCTCACTCTAAATTCATCACTAAACACCCCTACTCCTTTCACATTCATAGCAGCTATTTTTACTAGGTATTCTTTATTAAATACCAAACTATGAAGAACAAAATTAGTTGTAGACCATGAACTGACGTTTTTAATATTTTGAGCCGAATCAGGAAATCCTGTTACTTTGTATCTGATTTGATAGCCAGTTAAATCACCATTCCATGATTCTTCTGCTGGTGGCTGCCATTGTACCATGATTTCTCTATTTGGCCTGGGGGTACAGTAGAAGTTTTTAGGTGCTGCACTTGGAGCTGAAACAAAAAAATCAAAAACAATGAACTTTAGGTGGCTAATGTTGAATTACACATCATATAAACCTTGTACCAATCAAATATTTGAAAAAATTACAAATGAAAGATCTTCAGGATAACAATTAATCATAAATATGATTGCTTTTTGGATCTACAGTGATGACATATAAATACCTGATCATAAAGATTTATAGAATGTATATTGAACTAGTGTATTTAATACATACGTTGTGGAGGTAATTGTATTGGTGTATCTGGTTTTCCTGAGCTACCTGGTCCTTCACCAACTTCATTTATGGCACTAATACGAAACTTATAATATCTGGATGCTCGTAGATTACTGACATCGTAAGATGTTACATTGGGTGGTACTATAGCAGGATATGGTTCCCATCTTACATTTTCTGGTGTTCCTCCAGCTGTTAATATATAAAGTATGATTAACAAATTTAACTTGAAAATATGAATAATAATATCATCAAATATAATTTCAATAAAAGTAATTCTACATCTACTTATTGAATCTGATATTGTTATAGGTTCTTGAATGTGCAAAAATACCCAACACATGGCATCAAAAAAAAACCTACATTCCAGCATAGACGTTCACAAAGCCTGGTAAAAAGTATAGTAAAGGCCTATTTCAATTGGGTCTAAACAAAATACTATAATATATCAATTAATACCATTGTTACCTTGATCTTCTTCTCTATAACTTATAACGTATCTCAGTATTGGACTGTATCCATCAAACGGTTTAGTCCAGGTTATAATTACACTATTAGATAATGTTGGATGTAATCTAACATCAGTTATAACTGGTGGACTAGGTAATTCTATAATAATAAATATCAAACAGTTTATTTATTGTATATCTTGCCTAATTCATGAAGATCATTAAAACTGAAGTATGCTTATCATTTAATTCTTAAGATAACGAGTCAATTACTCACCGACAACTAATAATGTAGCAATACGACTATCATTACCACCTTCAGAAATAACTTGACATTTATACTTCCCAATATCAATACCATCAACACCACTAATAATCAAACTACCATCAGCAGTTATTATACGTCTATTATCATTCTCTATTTTCTCTTCTGTTTCTGTAACTTGTTTCTTATAAAAATACCATTCCCATACTGGTGTGATAACTTCATCATGTGATACACCACATTTTAATGTCACAGAAGTACTTAATATTGCTGTTTTATTCTCTGGAGGTCTAACTATATGAGTTTTGCCTAAAATGTTATATATATATATATTGCTATGCACAAAGTCCATTATATCACGGATAAAATAAAAAATTAATGTCAAGAGATGAAAAAACTGCATTGGTATCAGACCAAAGAACAAGTCTGCAATAAGGATCAATTTGGCAGATGCAATTCTGCTGGAATTCACATACATCATTTGTCATGGTCAAGTTCATATTGGAAATTATCACTTCATTGTATTTTGTATATTCATACAATAATTGTTATTCTTACCAATCACTTGCAATAGAGCTTCAGCTTCAGCTTGACCTTTTAAATTAGTAGCTATACACCTATAGGTAGCTGAATCAGATTTCTGGGCTGTAGTTATCAATAATTCTCTCTCTAATATCTGTATACCACCACTACTAGTAACATCTGTTTCATCACCACTAGCAGTTACTAAAATTATATCAATATCAAAAAAAGTAAAAATGCCACTAAATTTACTAAGTCCAGAATAAACAACTTTATATTATTCAAGTCAAATTTAAGCTTCAAAAATTTGTAATATTTAAAATGAAACTTTTATAAAAAAAAAAAAAAATTTCGATCAATTTTTCATGGATAAAATGATACATCAAAACAGAGACAAAATTCAGCAAATTCTTCACAAGTCATGTTATCACACAAGGTTGACTCACCTTTGCGCCAAGATATAACTGGTTTAGGAGCACCAGATGCTTCACAAGGAAACCTAGCTTCTCCACCTTGTACCATTGTTATATTGTTGGGCTTTCGAGTAAGTTTAGGGGGAGAACCTAAAATAAAACAAAAAATATCCTTTATCTTATCTTTTCTTGAATCAATAACTATCATGCAATTTGACTTTTGTCATCATGTCTGTGTAACAATTTGGTTAAACCTAAATCATACTCTACAGCAAGATGAGTCAGAATCTAGCAATATTAGATTCTTTTCCAAAAGTCCTGTTTTAAACAATCCTTGACTTATTTGAATTTATCAATGACCTATTAGTACCTCTTTGGTTACAAAAAACTGATTAATGGTAAAGTTAGATATAGTGGGCAAGCAACAATCTATAACCAAAATGAATAAAATACCACTTACTATTGATTTTAAGCCAGATAGCATCTGAAGATTCACCAACTACATTTCTGGCAAAACATTGATATATACCAGCATCTGGTAAATCTACATTCTCTATTACTAATGTACCATTCGAGTAACCTTTATGTCTAAAAATATCAAAAAAAGTTGTTATTCTGTTTCTGACCTGAGTCTTTAAAATGAATGCAAAAGATTTAAGATGGAGGATGGTAACCATTAACCAATTATAAAATTTAGCCCCGATTGCTGTTCAAGAAAACTTCAAGTGAACAGTTTGAAGAACTTTGGTTTTGGTTTGCAATCAAATGTGGCTTGAATTACAAGTACAAGTACAAAGACTGAGATCCTTTACACTAAATGTTGTGGAGGGTGTCTGAAGCTATACAAAGCATGCTCTCTCTTTTGTCAAACCAACAAATAAAATTGGAATAACAATACAACGTATAATTTATATAACCAACCTTGTTGAGGATAATGTTTCTACAGGTCTGCCATTAAAATACCAATGTAAAGTTGGTGCAGGAGATCCAACAGCAGCACAATTAATTACTGCTGTTTCACTAAAGTCTTTTTCCATTCCATTGTTTAATGGTGGTGCAAGCCTTGGGGGTTCTGTAAACACAAGAGAACTGCTGATTCTATTGAAATTTCTGGCATTTTTTGAACTTTTTAACAATCCTTGTAGGCAACAATATCTCAAATATGCATTTATAGATAATGGTACACAACCAATTACATGCTATTGCCAAACCTCTGAATCCATAAGAAAAAATGTTTTCATCAATTTTACAAACAATACCTACCATGAATAGTAACATTAGCTCTAGCAAATATAGTATCATAAGATGGTCCACCAACTATATTTAATATAGCTTCACATTCATATACACCTTCATCTGATTTTATTAGGGTTATTATTTGTAACTGACGGAAAAAAGGACTAAAACTATATTTAGCACTCTCTACTATTTTACTTTTTGTTCCATCAGCTTGAACTCTGTACCAGCTTATCCTTAAATCTGTCAACGGTCTGAAAAATATAATTCATGTACAAATAACATATCCAATATTCATCAGTAACTTCTTTAAAAAAAAAAAAAAAGTAAAGATGGATTCCCTTATTTTCATTTTTAGAGGTGTTCTAATGACTTGGAAAAATACAAGTTTGTCTCACATGTCCATAGCTAATTCATAATTAGTTAACTTAGAAGAGAATTACCAGAAGAATTTCAATGAGTTACCGATCAAGAAAGGTCACAAAGTCTTATTTTGTTTATCCAGATTGTACATACATGGACATTTATGATTGGTTAAAACTATTTTTATATGCTAATACATGATAATTCATTAGAAACACCAATTAATCAAATAGTTTGCTTAATTTGAGAATAAAAAATATGAAAATTCTACAAATAGCTGAAATTGAACTCCATCATCTTGTAAAGCAAAGATGGTTGTATTCCTATGAATATAAGCAAATAGGTATTTGCAAACTCAATAACAATTAAGCCAATAGTTAGTTTTTCCCAATAATCTTTTCCTCATCTTGAACTCCATAACGCCAACTTTATTGAAGGGTTATATGTAAAAGATAGTAACACTGACCTAGCATTAACAACACATTCTAATGTCACTTTTCTATCTTGAGTTGTAGCAGTAGTATCTTGTGGAGCTACAACAAACTGAGGGGCTATCTGGGATGACGGATCACCAGAACCTGAAACAGATCAAAGCAAGAAGTTATGTCAGGTATAAGGTATAAGATTTGATAATAAAATTTGGTTAATGAGTCATCTTGAAGACTTTTCGTGTTGATGAAATCTCAGTGACTATTCTGTGATTTTGCTTGGATTCATATACCCTTTGATGGGATTGAAAAGATGTTTTCTATGCTTCTATTTCCACCATTCCAATTTTCAGGTGATGACTGGTTGTAGATATATCATCATTAATATTATGCAGATAAGCATTTCTATGATTACAGACGTGTTGAAAAATTTTAATTGTGTATAAACACTACCGCTACACATATAAAAAATTTACAACCTCTTAAAGTTAAATAATTAAATTTTAATTTCCCTATCCATGTATATCAATGTGTCAGCAAAATTACATGCCAATATAGTTTGTATATTATATTATTGATGGGCTGAGATTTTTCTGTGCCTGAATGCTTCATTTAAATGATCAATCTATCAATACATGTCTTTATCACACACTCATTCAATATTCAAATTGCTCAAGGGAATTGTTAACAAAATATGTTGAAATTATCAAACATTTTAAATATTAATGTATGACAATCTTTTATGAGGAAGATGCTGTGATTGATTTGAAAAAGTTTATAAGTTAATTTGTACTAAAACGTAATTATTGTAGCATACAATACAATTTCATAACTAAATATAAATTATAATGGGGTTCATTGAAATAGCAACTGAAATTCAAGCGGTTGGTTTTCTACAAAGGTATTACTCTTTTATTGAGATGTCATTGATATAGTAAGTTAGATTCAATTAAGATGAACTTACTTGTTACTGTTAAAGTATAGTTTTTATGTAAATAGGTTTCTGTGGCCACATTATAGATTCTAGCTACAAAACGTTTATTATTACTAGTAGAAGATAATGATAATAATATTAAATCTTGATTTAAAGTCACTTGATGGTACATATCCTCTTTAGACATGGTGGTTCCACTATCTAACCATTCTACTGTTGGATCTGGTACACTATTTATACTTGGTATATTAAAAATACTATGGTTTCCTTGGTTAGCTGATTTTGTTACTATGCTGATATCAGATAATTCATCCATGTCTATAATAAAAAAAAAAAGAAATAATTACATTAAATCTTTATATATTTAGCAACAGAATGTGAATGGATTTGAATTGGTGAGAGCTGTTAGTAGTCTGACTACAAAGAGGTCTACTCCGAGTCTGGAAAGTCCAACAGAATCCAACAATTTCAAATGGACTGAGATGAATTGACTTTTCACACGCCTGATAGGGTGGGGGGATTGCCCAATGGCCCACCCAATAAATACGTCTTTGCTAACAGCCATAATTTACAGGTTCGGAAGTTGACTTTGCTTGGTATAGGACTTTTTTTTGAAGATTTTTTTACTCGACAAAAAACATTTGTGAGCCATTATTTTGATGTGAGAGTAAGAGGAAAAGTAAATGGTTTTCTACAATTTGTAAATAATTAAATAGCTGACTAAGAGAATGATGGAGAAAAGACAAGTTGAATGTGTATTGTTCTATTGATTGTTCTATCCTTCCATGTCATGTTACACCACGTACCTAGTTGATTTTTATTCATTGATTTGTGAACCTTATTTGCTTTATACAAAAACAATTCAAATTACATGAGGCTAGATTATCACTAAATAGATATATCTAACTAGGTCAATATGTTTATAAAACCGTCATAATGGTTAGAATGCACTGGCCAAGATCACCAAGAGCCTTGTTCATCTTTAATCTTTGAACATGAATAAATTTGGTAACTTGTTTTCAAAAATTGAAAAAATTAGCAGACTTAAGTGAACAATACTCTGCAAGTGTAAGCATTTAAAATTTGTGTGACATAATATGTAGATCTGTTAAATTTAGTAAAGAATTTTTCCCACAGAAAATAAAGTGAATTAGACAAATTACATGTTACTATTTACAGATAAAGCTGATAAAGGGACCAGTTATAAAAGGATTGGTATCAAATAAAAATATTAAGAGATCTATTATCTCATGCCCTGTAGTCAATGTTTAGTCATGTGTGATCTGGTTATTTCTACCAATAATAATAATCATGATATTCTAGTATACTGTTTTATAGTCAATAAATATGAAACTTTGTGAAATATTACAAACTCTTATCAATTATTAATCATCTTTATCTATTACTAATTACACTTAGATATCGCCATATATATTGTATATTGACATATAAAACCTCATATATACTATATCACATAACTAGGCTATCAACTGATGATTTAGGTAATGAGTAGGTCTGTATTCATGTAAATAGTGAATAGGTTATCTCAAACTTGAACAGAGAATACTTCTATTTAGGATGTAAAACAGACATTATTTTAGAACAATATAAATAGGCCATTGTTTGTCTCCTAAAACAAGTTGAATGATTGCAGTTACAACAAATATACAAAATATCATGAAAACAACCATCCAGATTATATAACAGGACCTAGTATGCATATCTGAACTTAAAAGTACTATCAAAAGGTATATTTATGTAAAATTAAAGATCAAAATTGTGAATATGTGATGTGGGATAGATAACATAAATATCTTGTTGTAGAACAGAGAGCATATCTAAATATCTTGTTGTAGAACAGAATATATATATAAATATCTTGTTGTAGAACAGAATATATATATATAAATATCTTGTTGTAGAACAGACTTTATCTAAATATCCTGTTGTGAAACAGAGAACATATCTAAATATCTTGTTGTAGAACAGAATATATATATAAATATCTTGTTGTAGAACAGAATATATATATATAAATATCTTGTTGTAGAACAGAGACTTTATCTAAATATTCTGTTGTGAAACAGAGAACATATCTAAATATCTTGTTGTAGAACAGAATATATATATAAATATCTTGTTGTAGAACAGAGATTGAGAACATATTTAAATATCTTATTGACTTGTTGTAGAAGAAAAAATATATCTAAATATCTTGTTGTAAAACATATCTGAATATCTTGATGTTAAACATCTAAATATCTTGTTGTAGGACAGGGAAAAGGTAATATATTTTGTTGAAGGACAGAGATTATATCTAAATATTGTGTGATAGATCAGAGAATATGTTTAAATATCTTGTTGTGGAACAAATAAAATATCCAAATATCTTGTTGAAGAACAGAGAATATATCTGAATATCTTGTTGTAGAACAAATGATATATCTACATATATTGTTGTAATACAGAGAATATCTTGTTGTAGAACAAATAATATATCTAACTATTTTGTTGTAGAACAGAGAATATATCAAAATATATTGTTGCAGATCAGAGACTTTATCTAAATGGTTATCTTGATAATATGTTTACCTGAATAACTTTCAGGAGGAGCAGACATTTTGTTGACTATCTAAATATGACTATCTAAATACAGAAATATATCTGAAAATTTTTATGTGAAAAAAAAATGAATATTTACTTACAGGCTACATCAATATGCACAGCTTCACTTAATAGAGCGCCTTTAATATTGCTGGCTAGGCATCTATAATAACCTGCATCAATACGTTGTAAATTTTGGAGGGTAAAAGCTGTACTAGAAGTATTTTGAGATACAACTGTATTATCTTTAATCCATGTATATACAGCGGGAGGATAACTATATGCATTACATGTTAATCTTTTACTGCCACCTTCTGGTTTTGGAACACCTTCCACTGGATTTTCACTAAATACTCTCGGGGGATAATGTTCAACACCTGAAATTCGAAAAGAAAAAAAATTATGGACTTGATAAATGGCAATAAATGTTTATACAAAAATCTTCTGAGTCTATAAAAATTTAGATTTTCAAATAAATATCAAGCATACCCAGAAGCTACTTCCATTTTTAGGTCATATACAGGTCATGACAATATCAATTTATCTTCTTATAACTGGTTATCTAATGATATTAAAAAAAAGTTCAGTTATCAATTTATAAATAATTCACTTGCTATACACTCACCTGTACAGTTATTGAAGAGACATAAATAATAGATAATAAAACAGTATCCACCAATTCTAGATACTAGAAACTTCTTCTTATACATAGTTTTTATTTATAAGTAATCCACACAGTTGAAAACATTCAATCTTCACGTTACACCTGACTAAACTTCTTGCACCTTGATCACTTTGGCTCTTTGATGTGTCAATTACTTCACTCTACACCTTAACTTATAACTCAACCGGCCACTCAATATACACATTATTCTTACACAAAATAAAAACAGACCTTTAAGGCGATTTTTTCCGAGAATAATCCATTCCGAGAGATAAATTAAAGTTTAAAAATTGATGTCAAAGTATTTGTTGATATTTGGACGCCATGATTGTTTTCATTATGACAAACCTGTTGCAGTCCCAACTTAGTAATTTTCTCACACCGTATCACGCCTAATAAAACACTTCCACTTAAACTATTCCATGAAATATCGGCTAGAAAATTATAATCCCATTAGAACACATCTAAAAAAAATGTAAAATTCAACTAAATATTGAAATATTATAACATTTTCAAGTCTTAATTAACAATCCCATGCTTTGTGTTCAAATACAATTTATCACGTGACAGATGGGAGTAAGTTGATTGGTCAAGAGATGATTGACATTTCAGGTAAAAGGTGAATACCTGTGTCATGACGTGTTGTGTCTGATCACAATTATTAATGGGGAACCCTCTTAATGTGATGGATAATATAATATATTGATGTAGCCCACACAGCTCTTTAAACCTTTTCACAAATTTCTCCTTCAATGGAATGCAGATCTGAAAAAAATTATTAACGTTGTTAACTTTTCTTCGCGGGACACATTACTTTCAAAAATTCCTCAGAACTTTAATTGACATAAAATTGATGGAAAAAAAAAGACGTTGCAGATTTGATTTGATAAAATATTGAAATGGACAAAATAGGCATTTTAAGATTCCCAACAAAAACTGATACAAACTGTGCCAGTGCCAATTCGAAATTTATCAAGGAAGGCTTCGAATATGTCGTACCCCAACTAAACTGTAACAATAAAAATAAACGTCCACCCTTTATCAATAAGTATTAAATTAATTGGTTAATATACCGAAGGGTTCAACATGTATCAGACATTCTTTTCATTTCATCCATATGATAACACTTGTCTAGTTCAGATAAAGAGGTGAATGGGGTGAATAATTGTATTGTCTTGTAATTTGGAAGGTTAAAGAGGAGAGGGCACTTAGAGTCCTATATCACATTGTCTTAGATCAGTCTCGTTATTTTAAACTCCAAGACTCTTTTTACTTGGGGTTCAAGAGTATCGATATCAAACCACAGAGAACCACTAAGACATTTTGGGAAGGTTAGGAATCATCTTTATAAGGCTTCAAAGATAATGTGATGGTTGCATCTATATTGCATGTAGAAAACGTAAAACATTTTATTGCGATTAGCGCTCTAGCATTATCTAGAAAAATAACAAAAATAATTAACTGCTATAAGCGCTCTATGTCTTACATTATCTAGAAAAACATAAAAGATTTTACTGTGATTAGCGCCCAATATAACATCGCATCTAGAAACAGACTTATAGATCATTTTTCTGCGAAGAACGCTCAAGATATAACATTGCACCTATTTTTAAAGGATCTACGATGATCTCTCAATACATAACATCGCATCTAGAAAACACTGTCTTACCAGATGACATATAACACCTGTACTTAAGGTACTACCAAGAACTATTTAACAGGATATCATGGCATGTGAAAGGTGCTCTTACACCCTAGCGATTACCAGTGGTGCATAGTTGCAAATAACGATAGTGGCAATGAGTTTTCGAACACAACTCGCAACTCAGTCGCATGAGAGATGTGTTCTAAACTTATAACCGCAATACTAATTCGCAACTCGTGATCGTTACGGTGAGAGGGCCGCAGGGAAGGCAGCAAAATAAATATTGTAGATTACGTTAAACACTGTTATACCCGTGAGATATCATAACTGAATAGAGACCTCCAAGTATTCCTTACATTATTAAAAAAAAAAAGCCCAATGATATGGTTTGATGAACGTGATATATCAAAGTAACGGACAGGCAAAAAATCGATGAAGCCATATTTCCAGTCTATACAATAAGTTAATAAGCCTACATCTGTGGTTCAACATTAAAAAGGCAATTATTGTCAGCACGTGCACTTCAAAGTCAGTTTCAGAGATAAACAGATACAATCAATATCTCCCTCATGTAACAATATAGAAAGTGGCAAAATGTGGAAATATGTTACCGACAATTTACATTTATCACATAACAAGACAGTTTTTTTTTTTGCTCAATAGCCTATGTAGCCTATTTAATTTTCACCCAGATTTGCATTGCACATTTCCGAATCATTCTCTTCTTGGATATTTTCTTTTATACAGCGAGTAAAGAAAAAAATCAAAGAGCCTTATAGATCTTAATCGAACCTTCAACTTGGCATTCGATTGGTTGATTTTTCAGGGAAAAAAATTGAATACACTTCAGGTAGGCCTATGCACCACAGAAAAGGGCGCATCTACATGTAATCAGCAATTTAAAAGATTATAGTCCATTGGACATGTTTCTGAAAGATGATAATATCTATATCAAGCACAAGTATATATCATAGAGTCCAGAGTATCGGCATAATGAATGGCCCATCATTGTCAATACCATCATGAAGTATTTATTGATTGAAGTATGGACAAAGCCAACAAATGTTATTTGAAGGAAGAATTTGCGAAGTTTAATTCCTTGTTGAATAGAACAGAAACTGTATGTTGAAAGAGGGATTATATTTGTTAATCGGAGATCAATGTCAATGAACTTTCATACGAGGAAGTAGTACCGTACTATATAAGTCATAAATGAGTAAGCATTTTATATTGAAAGTTGATGTTCAGAAGAGTTAGCATACACTGCGTGTTGTCGTACTGCCCAACATGGTGCACGACAAACAGGAAGCTAAAAACTCGAAATAATATTGTTCAAGGGAGGTAACTGATGAAAATATTAATATTTAATTTTGAGCAGTTCAAGGGAGGGAACTGATCACAAAAGTTATATTATGATAAAAAATTTTTTTTAAAGTAGCCTACGCACAACAATGAGTAAGCATTTTATAATGAAAAATGGCACCAAGTGTCCAGAAGTTAAATTAAGCACCCTGCCTTAGGCCACGTACCCGTCATTGCTGCACAATACTAGACCTAGCTAGACTAAATAGGGATGCAAAAGTACTGAGTAAAAGTCGACATAACAATAATGTGATGACAACATATGATACGTCACATGTAAAAAAAAACATGTAGGCCTATTTAAAAAGAACTCTTACTGAAAATGATTTCATGATGTCGAAAATATAACTTTTTCCTAAAACTTACAATTGCGTTCAAACCCTTAGAGATAAAATCGGCGTGTTTTGGAGCAGCAGTTGAAATTGCACTGATTATTCCAGACCTTTTGCTGATAGTACAGCCTACAAGTAATAATATTTCAGGCCAAATAGTGTTTTCGGCGCGTTTTCGGAGTTTAGACTCCACCGTCTACTACATACTAAGATTAACCCTGTGCCTGCTGTTCTTCATCGACGGATTATGACTTTACCATCAATCAACATTTAGAGAGCTAAAATTTTACATAAAAAATAGTTTTCTTTCAAAGGAAATAACATTATAATTTATGACAAAAAATAATAATAATGATTTACATATCGATATTATGACTTTCTCATCCGTGTTCTTTTTTCTTTTATGCCGACAATAGAAATTGATTTTAGGTGGCCATGAAAACAAATAATCTGTTGAAATGTTTTTTGTACAAGCAAATATTTGTGTAAAACTGTTTTCTTAGTTGATTTTCATTGAATTTACTCAAGTGTTGTATTCAAATTGACTCAGTCCTGTCTTAATCCACTCTGCTAGGTTGGATTACTGTAGAAAGGAATAGCCTGTATATCTTATATTTATTATTTATTGGGTTTTGCTATTTTTGTATACTACCGAGAAAAAGAAATATAATTCAGATTATTATTGAGCAAATCTAAATTATTTTAAGGGAAAAAATGAAGGTTATTTTCCTTTCATTCTACCTAGGCCTATAAATAGGCCTATAATCCCCATGTATCATATTTTTTTTGCACAGACCTTCATAAGTCGTTATTGGGCTATATTAAAGTGACAGTCCGCTTTTTGTTGGTCGAAATTTTTTTTTTGGCTCAAATTTGTGAAAACTTTAAACCAAAACCTTTTATTTAGAAATCGCAATAAGTAGCTAAAAAAACCCAAGCGTTCATTTTCTAACGTCAAAAATTTACCGAAAATGTTACGTAACCTTTTAAAGATCGTTATGCTTTTTTGCGAGTTGTTAGAAAAATACCGTACGGATTTGATAAAATAATGTCTCAAGATTTCAACTAAATATAACCAGCCATTATAAAGCCAATCAACGAAACTAGGTCAAACTGTTTAATTAACAATTAGTAGGCCTACTCTCAGTTTTAAATTAACCCTTAACAAATTCAGTTTGATCAAGTAGATATACGGTACATAAATATAAATAGCATACTTCGGGTATTATTTACGACGTCTTGTGTCCTACAAGAAAGCGGAATGCCCCTTTAATATATATAACAAGTGATGACTGTAAAACAAAGCCCGAAATCTAAAATAACAATTTGGGAATAGACTTCAAAGTAAAGTTTAGATAAAAAAAAAACAAAAAAAACAGACACAATCGTTTCATATCCAGTTCTTAAATTTAAATACAAATATTTCAAAATTCATGCCCTGTAAATTGGCACTCATTACCATTTTAATTAAACTCATTTTGGTAATATATTCACTAATATTTTTGTCTTTACAGTACAGTTGTGCTTTAGTATTGTGATTTTAACTGAAAACTCGGCATTAATTTTCATCTGTATATTTTTGAAAACGGAAGCATTGACCACATCTTGGTGTCTAGTTGTACCCTACGAAGGGAAGTAACTCTTAAATTTTAAGGTTAAATCATAATAAATTGAGAAACGAAGTTTAGGTTAGACTGTTTTTTTTTTTAGGAAAGACTTCAGATTTCAAAACTTCTGAAACCTTCACTCTTGTGGAAGGTGTATTTGGAAGTTGTAAGAGATGTTATGAATCTAAACCTGAATAATATATATGTTTTGCCAAAAGAATCTGAATCCGGATTTAAGAAATATGGGCTCTGACCACGTTTAATTTCCCCTTTGCTAGAAATGAATGGATTTTTACGTCCTACTTTTTTGCACTATGTGGGCTAACGCCATACAGGATACGAGAACTATTACCAGGACATAGGCATTAGCCTGCTCTTTTTCGATTTCCATCTGTTGAGGGATGGTCGATGTGAATAGCCTGTAGACGCTTTTACCATGTCAGAAGGATTATGACAAGCCTTGTGTTATTGTGAGCCACCCAGTGACTTAATTTCTTAATATATTACATTTGAGTCAAATTTTTGTTTCAGGTACAAGTGTAGTTCTTTGTAGACCTAATGTAGATAAGTTGTCTATTCTCAAAGATGGCAGGCTATATAAAATCATTTGTGGGTGGAATATTCAATGCTGCAGCAGCTAATATTAAACCTTTCAAAGTACAGATTACAAATCAAGACAATATTAAAGGGTATTTATTGATTATAAAATACTTTCACAAAGATAAGGTATAAGATGCAATTAAAGGGACAGGTGCGCCATTTTGTAGGTTGATTTGAGGCTTGAATATATGTAAATAGTCTTCAAAAGTAATAGCAATCTCATAATCCCTAAATATCATAAATATCTAAAACTCAGAATTTCTTTTCCTATTTCTATGTATGTCTTTTCTATATATGGCAAGTTCTCAAGATAATTCTGGACACACATGGATTTGAAGGCTCAAATATGGATGGTGAGCTGTGAACAGTATGATTGGTCAAAAAAATGTGACATCTGTTCTTTTAAGTGATCTTTGTTTTTTATTTTCAAATTTTTGACCATTCATACTACAGAAATAAAACTTTAATGTATGTTCTGGTTGAAAATGTCTTTGCATCTTCTATGTTTTAGTTTAACAAAAGTGAATGAAGATGATTTTTTATATCTATATAAAAGACCAGGATGTTTTGAATGTGTGTTAGTCGGAAATGGTATCAATAATAAGATTTACAGGTAATATCACAGTCATTCACAGATTATTTTGACATAATCACAGAATCTTGTGATTTAATCAAAGATTCTTGAGATTTAATCACAGATTTTTGTGATTTAAGCACAGATTCTTGTGATTTAATCACAGATTCTTGTGACATCATCACAGATTCTTGTGACATCATCACAGTTTCTTGTGACATCAGTTGGATATTGAAATCTGTTCTCTTACCATTTTGTGGGAGAACAATCAAGTTTGGTACCTTATGATTTGAATAACTGTATTGAATTTTATTTCAGTTTATTTCGGTTGACCAAAGAAGAAGAAGCAAAGAATGTTTTTAATAGATTTTGCTCAATTTTATTACCATTGGTAGTTAGTAGTAGTTCTGTTTTTCAAGAAGATATTCTACAGAAAATATCAGATACTATTAGAGAACACAATGGATGGAATGTAGCTCATGTTGCAGCTTTTGTCGGATTGTTTGAAGCTTTTCGACATCCTTCTATATCGAAGTAAGTAAAGGAAAAATGGTACTGAACATTTTTAAGTTGTATTTTTTTAAGTTGGGTAGGAATCTTGACATCATAAGTTTGATATGTTTCAAACAAAGGTGGAAGTTTTTCTTTTCTCATTATTTTAGGTAAACCTGCAGATGAATACAGATTAGTAAAGAGTGCTGGTAAATGGGATCCTTGTAATCCTAAGTTGTTATCCTTCTAAAAAATGGATGTTTCTTTCTTTTTTTCAGGCTCTATTTTTGCCTTTTTTGAAATAAAAAAATTCATGCCATAAGAGTAATATTAAAAAATTAAATGCTCTTGAGTAAATCTGTACGTCAAATATACAAGCTGAGGTGACTCAGTGAGTTAAACACTTGCTCACTAACACAGTGGTCCATGGTTCAATCCCAGCATAGTTTGAGATTATATCTTGAGATTTGTCGACCTGTTTTCCCTTTTTAGTAATTCAGGTAGAAATAGCTGACATCGAAAAAAACATCTAGGCATCAGGGAACAATAAACTAAGGTGTCCTGTGTCCTACAAACTATTAACAATAAAGAACCCTTGACAGTTGGAAACCTAAATAGATTATGCTGCTGTCCTGGCAAAATTTCCAACAGTGCACACTGCATGGCATTGGAGTCTTCATTAGTCCAATCAGGTGCTGTAAAGTAGAACATAAAATCCCAGTGAACTGTGTGGAAGAGCTACACAAAATTTAAACCTTAATAAAATAGTTATTTTATTGCTTTTTTCAGGTATATAAATTCAACATCTACAGATAACGAAACCAGTGCTCTAGGATGTGCTATCTATGGTCTACAAGTTCAGTGTGTACAAGAATTAATGAAATGTGATTTTAAATTAGATACTTGTGATAAGAATGGCAATACAGCCTATCATTTAGCTGTACAACATTTACCTTCTGTCATTCCAGTTAGTATATTATTCTGTACATCTATGTTTTGAATACTAAGAATACATTGAATACAAATATAGCATGGTAGATGCTCTGGGTCCAACCAAATTACCTTCTGTGTACACTGCATGTCATTGCCCTTTTTTATTTCGCCCAATTCAATTGAAAACAATTGTTATTCCTTGTAGAAAAATTAAATATTTCTTTGTATAACTGCTGTGAGGAGGCACGACTTTAGATATTTGAAAGGGTAGATTTCTTTGTTTCCACTGGGTATGCATGCATAGATAAGAAAAACTACTAATGCCTAACTAGCTTTTATGAGTATAAAATTTGATATTTCAATTGTATTGGTTGTCAGTCTGCATTCAAAATATTTTGTTATTATCAGATATTAATGAGGTATGATAAAAATGAAGTGATACAGTGGGTAAATGGAAAAGGTGAAACAGCTCTATATTTATCATGTAAATTAGATTTAACAGATGCCACTGAGATGTTGTTACACGCTGGCTGTGATCCTAGTATTTCTACTACTGATGCTTTACCAATACATATAGCTATACATGAAAATAGCTTGAAGTAAGTTTCAAATTTCTTCTTTGTTCTGATTTGTTCTTTGGCAATAAAGTCATTCAGTTGGTTGCGTTTTTCTTATGCCTGACTATTGTTCTATTAGCTGGTATAGAAAATTAAGGTAAAATTTTTTTTTGTAGATCAGCTGAGTTAATTCTAAGGGACCATCCAGACCAGTTATCTGTTGTAGATCATAAATATGGCTCTACTGCTTTACATTGGGTACAAACTAAAGAAGTAAGTTAAAACTCAATTTTGTTGACCTCGGTAAATCTTTAATATTAGGCCCTAGACATGCAATGACTTAAAGAAAATGTGGCCATGGATTCTAATCCCGGTCAGTGACAGTCTAGTGACCTTTAATGCCATCATTCAACTGTAAAGGGTTACAGATAATCAGGGAAAATTAATGCCAAGAGGTTTGATCAAGGACCTTGTGAACATTATGGTGTTATCTTTGTAAAAAAAAAAAAGATTGCTTCTGTCTTTTGTTCATTACATGTATTTTATTGCATTAGGCTGTAGAAATGTTGACTAAATTTGGATGTAATATGAATGCTGTGAGTAATTTTGGTGATACTGCTCTACATGTTATTGTTAAGAAGAAACTATTAGATATTGTTATGTCTCTGTTATGTCATGGTACAGACTGTAATATATTAGATTCTAATCAAGAAACACCACTTCATTGGGCTGTAATGGTAAATATTATATTTTCACGTTTATTTTCTTATAACTATATTTTGAATGAACTGAAAAAACTTTGAAAAAAAAAAGTAATCCAATAATATATATCCCACAACACCCTTCATTCTTTGCAATTTAGAATGTCAACTTAATGATTTCAGAATGACGATGTTAATTTTGTTCAAGTATTTGTTGTATTTGGTGCCAATGTAAATCAAAAGAACAAAAATCAACATTCTCCAAGGCATATTGCTGCCACATCGCGAGGAAAGAACAAGTAGGTATATTAAGCAGAGATTCAGGAATCATAATCAGAAGTAGAGACAATAAATCCTCTAAAATAAAATGGATGAATAGTTATAACATAATCTAAAATCAAGGATGAACTTCTGAATTTCTTTTCAGGTTTCTCCCAATTTGAAATGTCCCTTCATAATCCAATAATCCTTTTTAAGATCCATAACTTGAAGATGATTGACCTACCTCCCTCTCCCACCATAATACTGGACTAGAAATTATTCTTTTGTGTTTTAATTCTAGTATAATTTTAGAAACTAGTAAAATGGTTAACCTATATTACTAAACTATTGTAGAGAACTGATATTATACTTACTACATATAGCTGGGGCTAAGAGATGTAGTGTGGATATTAAAGGATGTTTACAGGGCTGTGTAGCAGAAGGCTCTCATAATGGTATAGCTAATGATACTATGAAAGGTTTACAGAAACTAGACAGTGTAGGTAAGTACCATCATTTTATTTCATTTTCTTCAAAGTTTATTAATGAGTTCAAGAAGAATGACATGTCATGTATAATGGTCTGAAGTGTATAGGAGCCCATCATTTTGATCTTGACATCTTCCTGAATTGAGCTCTTTAATATGTATCTTATGTCTGATAGCGTTACTATCTTGGCACATTCAGTTGATAAATCAAATTTTACTGATGTTTTCAGAGAATGATTGTAAACTTGCAAAACTTTATATTTTCATCAATCAACATCATTCTAAAAATATCAGTCTACATTGAAGTTGAAATTGAAATTGACTTTTGAAACATTTTTGTCCAGCATTATTTGATGAACTACTCTCAGCTCATGTTGCTTGTGGTGCTACAATGAGTCATAAAGAAGGATCTGTATTAGATATGGTTGGAGCACCAGTTAATGCTGGAGATAGAGTAAGTTATATTTGATACCATCCACTTCTGATGAAAGAGTATCACCAGCTGGTTAACACTATTACATGTAATTAGAAACCTTTCTTAATGTTTGGCAAACAGGCAACAATCAGATTCATTTGTATAAGAAAATTAAATGTACTCTTATGATCCTAATTCCACAAACATAGTCAAAGTGCTTTAAGTCTGCATAAGATTGGAGGAGCCTTCAAAGGTCCTGAAAAAGTATGCTCAAAGAAGTTTGTCATCAATTTGTTATAGGTGCTATGTTTAGATGGTGGTGGTATTAGAGGTCTAGTATTATTACAAGTATTAATGGATATAGAACAAGCCATTGGTAAACCTATACATCAATGTTTTGATTGGATTGGTGGAACTAGCACAGGAGCTATATTAGCTCTTGGTATTGCTAAAGGTAATATGGCTCATTTAACATACGGTTATATCTCACTTACCTTATATATACCATTGAGTCTTGTAGTCAAAAATCAATGTATCTGAAATTTGACAGTTTTTGGCTGTCTCCATGTCCATCCTAAACGAGACTTGTGATTATCAGATATTTGGGATGGCCTACGGACATGTCCAGAAATAGAGTCAAATCAATAACCCTAATATGAGTATTTAAAGACAGTATCCTTCTTTCCAATATAGGTGTATCTCTACAGTATATGAAAGGGCTGTATTTCCGACTAAAGGATGAAGTACTTGTTGGCAGGAGACCATACCCTTCTGAAGCTTTTGAGAATTTATTGAAGAAAGAATTTGGGGAAAGTGCTGTAATGTCGGAACTGAAATATGCCAAGTATGTACCATGTTATTATTTGTTAGATCATCTGAATGTCCTGATAATTTACAGGTTCATACATTTTTCCTGACATTAATTCTATATTTGAATGGATAAAGGACTGTTTTCTTTATGACTGTATTGTGATTGACATATAAAGCCCCGCCTTTAACACATGCATAGACTTGATTCAAAAATAGCAGTGTATATTTATGTATTAACTGATCAAATGAAATATTATTTCAGAGTAATGGTAACTGCGGTAAAAGCCAATACCTTTCCTGCTAAATTCCATTTATTTAGGAACTACACCAACCCATTTCAAATTCCACATACCCATGATCCACCTGCTGGTGATGAACAAATTCCACCTGAAGGTACAGTTAAGATTTTCTTGATATGCTAATTTTATATTATATCATCTTTCATTTAGAAGAATACAAATATTTCAAATACTATTTACATAAGAATTTCAAAATATAAACTGTATTTATCGATTTTCATTATATGAGCTTTTGGCATCACAGTCCTGAGAAGCTTTTCTAATTGATTGTAGCAAATTTTTTATTGCTTTTGACATGGTATTGTCTTACATAGACCAAAAAATGCAGAAGAGTTCCTGATGTCATTTCATAATATGGTTGTTATTTTATTAGAACAATTAATATGGAAAGCAGCCAGATCTAGTGGTGCTGCTCCAAGTTATTTTAGATGTATGGGATGTTTCTTAGATGGTGGTTTAATGGCTAACAACCCAACTCTAGATGTTTTAACAGAAATAAATGAATATAATCAGGGACTAAAGATGGAGGTAAGGAGAAAAGATAGTCATCTTATTTTTTTCTTACATTTCGTATGAAGTGGTAGGTAGGTAGAAATTTACATTCGCTTCCAGTGGATGCTGACATTGCAAACTAGGTGGTTGTTGTAGTAGTTGGTAGCTGGATTGGTTCAATTTGGATTAAGTCTTAGATCTATACTTCCTTTATGTAGTGAACAGTTCACTGTGAACCACTCTTCCTTGTCGAGGTAACCATGCTCATGTAAGCAGGGCTTTACTCTTTCCAGGTTATAAATATCATTATACTGTACTTCTTGCAACACTTTTTATGAAACTTTGTTGATGCATGCCAAAGAAAGTGTTTGACCTGTAATATTTTATTTATAGAATAGATATGATGAAGTACAACAGATCGGCTGTGTATTATCAATAGGAACTGGTAGAGTTCCAGAAGTAGTCGTTAAGAACTGTGATGTATTTTTTCCTGATGGTATATTTGATGCTGTTAATTCTGTAATGGGTTTAACAGCTTTAGGCAAACTTCTTGTTGACCAGGTTAGTTCTCATGCTTTTACTGAATGGAAATTCATGTATATTTTATGAGAGGAGTTAGTATCATTAACCACTTTCTTTACTTGCTGTATTGGTAATTTTTTTATCAGTGGTGTTATATTGATTTATATGTGGAATTGTGTATAAAATATGACCATTTTGATTTTTTTTTTCAAATTTAATTTCATTTTAGGCAACTTTATCTGAAGGTAGACCAGTAGATAGAGCTAGAGCATGGTGTAATATGATAAATGTACCATATTTTAGATTTAGTCCCCAGATATCAGAAGATGTACCATTAGATTGTTCTGATAATAAAACATTGATTAATATGATGTGGGAAACAACGTGTTATATGGTGGCCAATAGACAACGTGTTTTAGATATAGCTGCTTTATTGTCTGGGGAACAAATACCTTGTAAAAATGACAAATAATATCTTAGGTTTGATGCTAATTTTTATCTAGGAGCACAATCTGATTATAATACAGCTCGAGTAGTATGTTTTTTTATTGATCATACTTTTCGTAAAGATCTGAAAAATTTATTTTTAACTTGAAATTAGTTTTTAGAAGTTTTGATTTATTCACAATTTATTCTCCTGAATTAGAATTGTTCTGTCTGATTTCTTTAAATTAGTAGTAGGCCTACTTGATAAAGCTCATATATAATAATATTTCTGTTTTAGTAATATAATCAGAACTAGAAGACTAAACTTCTGTCAAAGATATTTTATTTGCAGGAACCCAAATTAAGGTTAGGTTTACTTGAATTAAGCATTCCAAATACTATCATCTTATGTCGACATTCTAGAGAATTGAAGGTTGAAATTAACAAAATAAAAGATCTGTATTTTAATCAGATTGACAATAGTTAGTTTAACAACAATAATGTTGATGGAATAGTTTAAATGTTGCTATCACCAATATATTGCTTTTAAAACATGCAAACAAAAAGTATTATTCCTTTTCAATCTTATTTCTTGAATATTACTTATATCAGCCTTGTCATTTCTATGATCTTGTTTTGTTGATAGAAAGCTGGACATATAAATATGTTGAAGATCTATACCAAATACATTAATGTCACTGAGATCAAATGACATAATTATTTTGGTATTTCAATAGCTGGCTGTGTTTAATAAAGAAAACCAATTAACTTGAAGATCAAATTTTTAAGCCCAACACAGACGAGGAACATTTCTGTCTACGAACAGAAACATCGAACAAATATATTTGTTTTCAGTTATCCGCAGACGACAAACATAATTCCGCAAAATGACCTCAAAATGGCGACGTCCGGGAGAAAATGTAAAATTGCGTTAGCTATTTTATTAATTTTAAAAAGACGCCAACGTAGACGGCGAAAATAGGAGCATTTGGGTCCGTACCTGGATTCAAGGTCGTAAAGAGCAAGGTGTGTTCGGCTACCTTGTACAGGAGCTGTCTGCTGACGATCCAGCAATGTATCGGCGATATTTCCGGGTTGACAAAGATGGGTTCAACACAATATATTGAGGCAGATTGCAACCACATATTTACTAAAATCTGCTCGTTCTCCACAGTCCAAAATTTTGTGTTGGTGGATTCACTGGACGTCGCCATTTTGAGCGTCATGTGGTCTGGCTTCGATCGCTGATTGGTCTTTCGTCGATGAATGTTCAGTGCTAATGTTCGTCGTTAACGCAGACGGCGAACAAAGAATTGTTCGGGAGGCGAACAATTTTAAAAAATCAAACATGTTTGATTTCATGAACAATTCTCTCGAACATTTTTGTTCATGTTTCTGTAATCTGCAGACGGTGAAAAAAATGATCGATGATTGTTTGCTTAAATTGTTCCTCATCTGCGTTGGGCTTTAGAAATAATTAAACATTTTACCTCAATAATTTTTTACCTCGATTTCGTTTATAGGAATTTTAAGCGGAAACATCTTAACTTAAGACTCTTTTTGTTATAAAAGTTGAAGATATTCGATTAGTTTTCATAATAACTACAACAATAATAACAAACCATCAACAATATTAACAATCAATAAATAATTTGAAGAAGAGATCAACAATGTTAACAAATCTTAACAATATGAACCTTGTAAATTTCAACAACCAGGTTAACAATTAACATAGGTCAACAAGTTTTGATCTTATGCAACAAGAGGATCATTTTGTCAGATCAACAAAACTTAACACATCTAAGATAACAAATTTTAGATATTCAGGGATCAACAAATTTTAGATAGTCTGGTATCAACAATATAAGCACTATGGAGCTCAACAAATTTTACCAATCAGGGATATTATATATGAACAAATAAAAGAACAAAATATGTAAACCTTTAGAGATCAATAATTATTAACCTTTACGGATCAACAATATTATCAAAGTTGGAAGTCAATGAACCACTCAAAATATTTAAGTTATATAACTGGAATCTTAAGGAAAGACGTTTTCTGGTGAAAAGATCCTGAATGTTGTTTTTTTTTTCTGTTTTGATTGTATTATACAACTTTTGTGATCTTAACTTATGATTTATTTAAGTTCAAGCATTTATTCTAAAGGTGCATACCATTTCTGTTGGCTTATTATAATCTTATGTACATAACCAGATAAGACCTCATATGTGTACAATTCGACAGAACATTAAAGAAATTGATACATGAATTGAATATAGATATTTAAGATTTTAGATTCCCTTTATTTTCATATTAAGAAAGACTCTATTAAGTGCTATGTTTGTGTTGTATACCTTATATTTTTATTTTGTTCTTATATCTTTTTGTTCTTTAGTATTTATGTTATAATACCATGCACATTATGTTTATAATTTATTTTGTTAATACTCAATCATTGTTTTATAGCAGTATTATAGTATTCTAATTTTCTAGTATATTTATTTATATTTTTTTTTTATTTATATAATCTATGTGTGCTTTTGTTATGTTTTATTTAACACTCAAAAATGACTTAAAAAATCTCCAAAAGTTGATTATTAGTCTAATCCTCAGTAAAAATGACAAATTATATAGATATTGTGAAATTTAAATTTGAAATATATACTAAAGATTATAAAATATGAATTAAAAGTTTCAATTATAGTTTGAATTATCAATATATATTTTAAACGTATAATGTATATTGATTGATATCTGTAGTCAAATGCTAATGATATCTGTAGTCAAGTAATACTGATAACTGCAGTCAAGTGCTACTGATATCTGTATTCAAATTTTACTGATATCTTTATTAAGTGCTACTGAAATCTATAACCATGTGCTAATGATATCAGCTGTAGTCAAGTGTTACTGATATCAGTAACCAAGTGTTGCTGATGTCTATCTATAGTAAAATATTACTGATATCTGTAGTTTAGTGTTACTGACATCTGTAGTCATGTGTTACTGATATCTGTAGTTTAGTGTTACTGATATCTGTAGTCAAGTGTTACTGATATCAATGGTCGAGTGATACTGATATCAGTAGTCAAGTGTTACTGATAACTAGTCAAGAGCTACTGATATATGTAGTCAAGTGCTACTGATATCTGTAGTCAAGTGCTACTGATATCTGTAGTTAAGTGCTACTGATATCGGTAGTCAAGTGCTACTGATATCTGTAGTCAAGAGCTACTGATATCTGTAGTCAAGTGCTATTAATTGTTACTGTCACCTTTATTCAGATATTGCTGATATTTTTGTTATCACTGGTTTAGTTAAATGTTACTGATATCTTATTATATCTGTCACTGGCTAAATATTTTAAGGTAGTTGTTGCTTATAATTTAATCACAAGAGCTAATATCTTTAATAAGGTATGAGTGTTATTAGTTGGGTTTCTGGCCCATTTTTCTTAGCTGGAAGTTCACTGGTAAACTATCACTGGCATCCTTTAGCTTATGTCTTATTACTAACAAAAAAAAACAGGTTGCTGTCTGAGATGATTTATATTTTGTGATGTGTTATAGATATAAGATTCAGTCTTTAGTGAGCTACCATTGAAATGATCAGTAATGGTAGTAGGCCTATATGCTATATAATCTTATTCTTATTAAGTTAGCTCTTGTACGATATAATGTACATGTGTTCATTCCATTGTTTGATGCTTAGAATTTGCTATTAATAATAATTTTAATGTATTCTTTTCTTTCTTATTTATATAAATGTGTGTATTTTGTGACACAGTCTAATAGAACACATTAAATGTGTGAAAGAGAAGACTCCCATTAAGTAGTTGGATTTGACCATCACATATATAATAAAGAACATGCTATTCTGTAGGCAGTGGAAGTAAAAGGATCTCAGCAAATCTTTTAATATCACTTCTGCTCATTATACCAGCCCATGGTCTTCAATGAGGAAAAAGACTTTATTCAAAATGGTTTCCATTGAGATTAAACAACCGTTATCCCGTATAGGCCCCACAATTATACAGTGGTGTAACCTATTTTCGTGCATATAAGGATTCAACACCGAATTTCGTCAAAGTTAAAAAAACGAAATTATTTTTTTAAGTCTTAGATGTTTCCTTAGATACTGTACAAAATAATTAAAATTGGTTTGTTTCGATTTTCTCTATGAACCCTTCACTTTGACCCATTTTTCATGAGCAACCAACTCAGCTACGGCGGCAAAATGCGTCACCTATTTTCGTGAACAATGTTTGATACTATAAATAAGTTGAGAAAAACACGTTTTATGGATACCCAGTGGTATAATTAACTTAACTATCGTTAATATCAATTCATTATAACTAGTGACAATTCCTTCAAAGAACCACGATTTTAAAGAAAAATAGTGACTGACAAAATAAGATACGTCACTGAAACAACATAAGAATATGGCCCACTTTGCGTTCCATAGAATTTTTCTGCTGACACGGAATCCGCTAGTTGATCACGTGATTTCATTCGTTGGACTACGTTCTAGCAGACGACACTTGGAATTCCGATTACCGCTTGGGATTATAAGGAAATTCAGCCGATAAAAAATGGTGACGTTTGGTAATAACTGAAATCCGCCATTTTGTATTTGTCAAAGTATACATTAATACATTTTCCCTTGCTTGAAACTACTGGATTCATTCTGCTTGCTGATATTGTAGAAATAACCCATGTTTATCAAAACAAGCAAATGCGGATTTCACGCGAGGCCGCACATTTAAATTATTAATCCTTTCCGTAAATGCACGAAAAATAGGTTAGCACGAAATTAGGTTACTTGATTGTAGTAACATAGACAACGGCTCTCTTGATAAATGGACTGTAACAAAATTCATTGGCTAACCTGTTGATACGCTACTCTAATGCTGAATTATGGCCGTGGCCTGTTATAGTTAAATATTAGTGTCAGAAAGTGAAATGTTGTATTAGATATCGGTGTATTACTAAACCAGTGCGACAGATTGTATTTCAGTGTGAATGTACGGTGATAACATATATTGATAATAATGTTTGTTTACTATATCGGTATACCGGCTGCCGTCTTCTTGACTGTGCGCTTCTTTCGTTTTAAGCAAATTCCCAAGGAAAATGTCGACTCATTTCTTAACTCATTATGGAACAAAGACGAATACAAGAGACCTGGCATCATTATGCATAGAGGTGGAGCAATAGAAACGCCAGAGAATACTTTAATAGGAATACAACAGGTATACAGTATTAGAATAAATATCAATTTCTATATTTTACTATCCAACTTATCGCATTAGATGCCGAGCTTGCGTTGATGAAGTTAGGTCGTGATAATCGGGTACAAAAAGGTCCGTAGGTGATCACCAATTTTATCATTAGCTATGTTCTAAAATATGTATGTATGCGCTTATATCTTCGTTGTTGAAAATATTTATATGATATCAAACTGACTACATGTATAGATAATAATAATATTCCATTGATTTCATATTTCATTAGTGTCCATGCAAAAACTTAATACTGTTATCAACATGATTGGATTGTGGCGTTTTCTCTTGGAAATCGGCATTTTATATAGGCTTCTGTAGGATAATCTCAAAGAAAATATATTTATAGATAAAATAGAGTAGAAAGTCTTAGAATAATACATATTTCCACCGTGAACTTTGTTTTAACTGAAGGCAATTTGTAAACAAAACTCTTGACTATTGTCGATCGAAATGTTAAAGGACAATGTAAAAAAAAAAAAACTTTCAGTAAGTTATGATGAAGATGATTTTCCAATTCACTTAAAAATAATTAGAAAAAAATATCGATAACCTTATACTGGCAAGTGAGAAGACAGTATTATGATTTTTCACAACTTGTGTTTGAAATGAAATTGGGTGGGTCTAAAATTAACATTTTTAATTGTGTCTTATACAAATATTAAGGACAAAGATTGTTATTTCTAGTGCGACCTAAAAAACTAAATGGCACAAATTAGGTCACATAGGTTATCAACCCTAGCTTTGTAATTCATTTCGGTCGAACAATGACCAACTTTGACTATATATTCAAAGTCCTAAGTTGTTCAACCATGACCACGATCATGACGTGGTAAATAATCAAAAGTTTGGCCTACATTCACTCTTCACTGGTTGACCAATCTAATAAAAAATAGATGATATTTTGTAGTTTCTTCTGATATTTTTCTTCTCTAATGTAATCTAGCAAGTTTTTTACCACAATCCTGTTCCAATTTCGCAGTGTTTCTGTAACATAGAGAATTGTGGGATAGCGAAACCAAACGTAGAGCAATCTGACAGCCATGTGTCCAAACCACACCCCCATTCGTCGGATCTGTGGTAATACAGTTGAGGAAAATTACGTATTCATAGATAAATATTGATCAATCAAAATTGGCCCTGGAATCTTTGTAGGAAAATTTCAGCCAATCAAATTAAACGCAAACGTAAACAAAACAAAAACAGCACGTCATTTAATGTTTTGACTAATATGAACGATACAGAATTAAGTAAGATGTTGAAATTAAGCCCAGAGAAAATCAAACCTTTTGGATATTTATTTTAGAAAGTGGAAAGAATTAATTCTTATCTCTTTAAACGAGTGGCAGCAAATCGATTTTGTGTTTTGTTTTCCCAATCTACCGATCTGATTGGTCAGATTTGAATAGCACCAATCTCTTTCCCACGCCCACAAACCGAATTGTAGTGGGCTGAGTTTATAACGGGTTAGTAAGACCATGTCAATACCCGTATTCGGGATACGTTGTCTGACACTGCTATCAAGAAACAGGTCCTGTGTGACACGATTTGATTGGTAACAAATATCGTCATCAAAACAAGACTTTGAAAGGTTGAATTTTTCATGCTGGTGATTTTAGCAGCTCTGCTAAATGCTCTTATTTAAAAACAAACATATTAGTAGGCGTATATTGACATTCCTGCCAATTTATAAGTATTTGATTCAGCAATCAATATTCGACCTTTAGATAGAATCTATTTCGCCCTAAATTTTATTATTTCGTTGATCAAGACGTTATTCTATGTACATGCCAAGAAATAGATATTTATGTAACTACCAACTACTATCACAACCAACAACTACGAAGCTTGCATTATCAGCATCCTCTGGAAGCAAACTGTAACTTGTAATCTACCAACCAAGCTTTTGTATGTATTTCAGGCCAAGAAAGACGGTTGTTGTGCTGTAGAAATTGATTTAGAGTTTACTAAAGATGGTGTAGGTGTTTTATTACATGATGATACGGTAGATAGAACTTCAAATGGTACTGGTAAAGTATCAGACTACACTTTCCAACAACTACAAACATTAGATGTTGCAGCTAAACATCCGAACAGGTTATTGGAACGACATCGTTTAGTATTTATTAGTCCGACACATCTGTCTCTATTACAGCCTCTGATAGTTATTGTCAAATGACATAAAAATCATAGGTTGACTCGGAAGGAGTAGTGCTACAGCATGAAACGTAGTATACATGGCATTTCCTGATACTAACAGTAGCAGCATTGTTTCTTTACAAATCAACCGACGCTGATTGGGTGATTTAAGACTTTGGAAAGTAAAAACAGAGACTCCACCTTTGTCTTCTTTGGAAGATGAGAGGTGGGGCGTTTCCACTACATATACTGTCCTTTGTCTTTGGCACGAAGTGGTGAACCAAACACTCATCTTGGGTTAGGAAAATGGCCCGACCTGCTTCAAAAAATGCCAAGTTTTCCTGTGGCATGACCAGCATGAGTCCTTTTGATCAAAGAAGTGTCTCTGGTTCTATTTTTTCTCGACTCACTCAAACAGCGTCAGTTGATCTAATATGAAACAATGTTGCTAGTATAGGGGAATTTAATGTATTCCAAGTTTCTTTGCTGTATAACATCATCCGAGTCAGCTTAAGAACTTTTCAGACCACTCCAAGTATTTATATATGGTGGTGATAGCGGAGGGGATGATTCGACTCATTGACATGACTTACAAAATTTTCTAAGATTCTATTCATAAAGCAAATAAATGTCTTGTTACATTAACTGAGCCGAAAGGGTTGTGTGGCTTTGATAATTGTTATATTAACGTAAAGCCTAAAAGTGCGGTTGTACCAAACAAAGCTGGCAAGCTTTTGCCTGATATAATGCTCTTGTTTTATATTTTGATAATTTGACTTACTGCCAACAACTAGGCTCTTAACCATGGGTAAACATTTCCTGCTTGGGTATATTTAATTCAATTGAATTCATTTAATTTAATTGAAAATTGATCTGAATAAAGGTTGTGTGTTAAAAGCTTGGATGAATACTAAACATATATGTGTATTGTGTCGGCCTTATAATTGCTTTCATTGGCTATAATTTTAATAATAAACACATTAAAATCAGAATAAAATCAAAACTAATCAATGAGTCAATGAGAAAATCCCCGAAAATTTTGATTTTTAAACTTCCTGCTAATATCGTGTGAAAACACGAGTAATCTTTTTATTGTGCTAACAAGCTGATTTTAACAATTTTACGAAGATGAAAAAACTATCAATATCTCATTATATCTGCATCTACATACAAAAGTTTTATGAAAATCGAAAAAAAACTCTATTCTACTCGGCTAAATTCTGAAGAAATGAATATGTAGTTTTTTCCTATATCCTGTTAAACAGAAGCAACACCGTTTTATATCTTGAATTTGAATTAAATACTGATCATTTCATTGATTCTGATTTCAGTAAAAAGCTAGGACCTCATAAAGTTCCAACTTTAGAAGAGAGTTTAGATTTGTGTTTGAAGTTAAATTTGAAAATATTTATCGACTGCAAAGGTAAAGCGAAAGAGGTAAGTTCTACAATGGAAAGAAATAAAGTATGATCTACAATGAAATGAAATCAGTTGATATGCAGACAGTATATAAGACCTTGACCTACATAATAGATGGATCATACCTTAATTCTGAGTACACATGTACATGTAATTAAATTCTAATATATTTGAATATTAAATTATTATCTACTAAGTTACGCCACTATTGCAAAAGTTTTCATTGAAAAAAAATTATTTAATGCATTTTTTTGTTTTGCTGAGTTAACACATGTTATCTGTATTGTGACTTTTCATGCCTTTTAATCGCTATCATTAGTCAAGTCATTATTTTTTTATATACATTTTCATGACTACTCAAAGATTAATTAAAGACGTGGTCAGGGGAAATACAGAAAGTAAAATCATACTCCCTTTAAAGGTTGAATTAACCAAAATTATGTTGATTTTCTCCTTGCTTTTCTTCTCCATTTTCCTGATTTCTATTTTAGACTGCCGAGCTGATCTCCAGATTATATAAGGAAAAACCAGAACTTTATAAAACAGCTGTAGTGTGTTCATTCTATCCAAGAGTTATATATGAAGTTAGTTTATCGATATTTTATTTAGGATTTATTAAGGGTCAAAGAGTCGGTTGAACGACAGCGATCTAACCCATGATTAACAAGGTCCATATTCTTGTTATTATGTTTGACTATGTAGGCCTAGATTCACTAAAAGAAAAGACTTATTATATATTACTTTCACGTGTCGTTACCTTGACTGATGCTAATGCAACATAATTATGAGACCTAAAATATGGAAATCCTTAATGAAAACTGTTCTGAATATAGTATAGGCCTCATATTAATACAGAATGGGCGTTGTTAATTGCAGGGCTAGGAGTGCTGTTATTATCCGTGTCAATTAGGACCTACATATACAAGCTGAGATATTCTCAACTTCCATCATTTCAAAATGTCGCCACTTTCGACGTTCGTTTGGAGAGTTCTTTAAAGAATCAAAACAAAACTACCAACGTTATTAACTGCATTTAAATGGTATTTTTGGACCAACTTGGAACATTTAGTTTTTAGTTATGACCTACATTGAAATATACAATATCTAAAAATTCCTGCATAAGTTATCTGCTTTGAAGTGGAAAATTTATAACGATTTGTAAAGAATACTTGCCATTGAGATAATAAAAAAAGGTTGCAAATTGCCTCCCTTGAAGCAGTAGCCTACAATAGTAAATATGTTACCTGCCTTTTAAGGACCAATGGTGGAAGCCTAGTATAGTCTCCAGCACATCGAACAGGCAATTTTATTCGGTGCATTTGCTTCTTTCCAATTCGCAACATTATCTTAACGCTGTTAACAAATAGCTCAGAAGCTGTGCCTTTGCAGTAGTCATTCAACGGCAGTTATTTATTTCCAATGAGTGAAAATCTTACCCTAAAATTTCTTTCTTTCTATCATTCTTTTATTTTTATGCCGTTTTTGTATTTAGGTAAGGAAAAAAGATTTAGCTATTATGACAGCGCTGACTTACAGAGCAAGATTCGTCAGTTCAACTTCCTCTGACCCTGGTGCTCCACCACGATTTACTGGAATTAAACAAAAAACAGCTTATGCAGCAGATTATGTGGCTGATTTTGCCCATGCATTTGTATTGTGGTATATTTTTGGAAACTCATTTTTTCTTCTGAATAAAGATCTGATATCGAAGTGAGTAAAATTTTGAAATTGTTACTTTAACATATCTCTTTCCCAGTCTGTCTGCTTTCGGCTCAATACTATTATCTGTTTCAAGCTAATTTGTCATATAGTTAGTGTAACTATTGCAGACTTTGGAATGTAATAATCTCAATGAAATTGGATTTCTAAATAGAAGTCATTTTATATTGATTTTTTCAATCACTCAATAATATATAGAACGTTACACTTATTACTTTTTGTCGATTAAATGTCATTGCATAAAACAATCATTTTAAAGGAACTGTACATTTGAAGTCGTTATAGTTTTAGAATAATATATCATATGATGAACATGTTTATTGGTCCCATCCAAACGACTAGACGCTTTTTCCATGCTAGCCCCTCTTACCTGCATCACTGACGGGGAGACCGAGTTGAAAAATCCGAAGGTATTATCTCGACCTATGCCGTGATTGAACCCTGGTCCCTGAGGTTAGCGAGCAAGCATCTAACTCACTGAGCCACCGCTTTTAGAAATATGAGAGACACTGTTGTTAAATTTACTTTCAGAGAAATGATGAATAGATGGGAGAAGAATAATGTACATGTTATAGCATGGACTGTAAATAATCCAGTTGAAAAAGACTATTTATTAAAATCTTTAGACTGTCCTATTATAACTGATGGTGTTAATTCAAAACATTAATCTATTTTTCATCTCATTGTTGCTCTTGCATATTCAATTTCTCTGCGTGGTCCAGCTTTTAACAAGAGCCACGAGATATTCCTTCTAAGGGCAGTCTACAACATGCATTACCATAGATTGCGATCAGTTGTTAATTGAACGGAGATTGCAAGTATGTTGCTAGTGGTCGGTCATTGCAATGACATTGCTCGTAAAATGTAGGTTCAAAGGGATACAAACATCGCATACAAATAATCCGCATTATAGATAATTTCATACATTTATTCTTTAAAAAATACTGTCAATGTAACTGTCATTTCACCTCATTTTGTGTGTCTGTAATCGAATCTTGACAAAGCTTTGTATAAAAAACATATTTGTATTATCGTAACATATTTTATTACATTGTCTTGTAACTAGATGTCTATCCATTAACAACTCTCCAGAAAGTACTTTGTGATTATGATTTATTTCATAAACATTTTATCTACGCATTTTTGTCATTATTTTTGTGTTATTTCCCCATGGTCGTACCCAGATTCTTCCCGACAGGAAGAAAGTCAAATGCACTAAAACTCTCTACCCAGGATTCTTATCAATAAACAACCACCAGTAATTCCTGTTTTAGTTGTTTACATCATACTATCTGGTGACCATTGAAAAATGAAATCGGGTATATCCTCTCTAATTGATCGAAATAATTAAAATACGACTGAAACGTATAAACCATAAAAAATTAACATATACAGATATTTCCTTCAGATTGATAAATTCCTAACAGATCGAGATGTTGCGTTTCGTGATTTTTGTGGTTACTGCACTCGTAATTATCTGTAAAACCACAGAACGAAACTTCTGCAGATTACGTAAATCTTGTCTAAACTAATATTGTTCAATGACACTTTCATGTCCGCCATAATGTAAGGTATTTTCATGTCTTGAATGAACATTAAATGGCACTGTTAAATATTTCTCAATGTCTTCAACTAAATTCATAGGATCCGTGTTGGGATTAAACCTTTTTCTGGTCATTCCCGATCTATCCACTAGGAAGGTTTCATAGTTCCAACTAATATCTCCAACTCTGATAGGTGAATAGAATAAGTTAGATTCGTATGTATTTTGAGTTTGTGGGCAGTATTTCTGAAAGGTATAAGTATTATCTTAGTTAGGGACACAAACTTATTACATTTGAGAATGTTACATATAGAAGGATTGTTCCTATATTGAACATAAGACACGTTCCATGCAGCGGACGAAATATGGTTAAGAGAACCATTTTCGAATGGAGCACATCGTTGAAAAGCTATAATAGTTCTGGAGAATCTGAACTTTCTATGCAATCTGAGTTATAGAAAATTCGACAATGGCTCATTCCACTTTCCCTTTATAAAAGATAAAAAACTAGTAGACTAATGCTACTGCGCCAGTACAGTTCATCCCAATGCGGAGCACAATATTAGTTTTCATTGATATGAAATACCCTGATATACCAAATGATTATTCTGGCCTGCATACATCTAACTAAGACGTCGGTATCTCACCTTTAAATAAGTATACAATGGTTCTTCTGTCTGACCATTGACTTGTATTTTGTGGAACATCTGAAAGTTTGGAACAAAGCCACCACCAGGACGAACATATCTGATAGCATTCATAATCTCTGTACCATTAGCGCCTGGTTCCAACTAAAATTGATATAACATTTTGTTTCGTGGTTGATTTGTGAAAAAGAATGTCATTATGACATGGATGACAACTGAGAAGCCATTCCTTAAAGAATTGTACTATTTGCCATTATTGATCTCTATCAGTTGAAAAGAATTTTGTAATAATGCAATTCTTTGTCATAGTATACGCGAAAAGAATTGCTTTAGGACATAAGAATAAAATATAGATAGACTTACCAGATTAAATTGATTACAAGGGAATCCTAGAATTTGGAATCCCCTGGACCCATACATAGTCTGTAGTGCATTTAGACCATGGTAATGGGTGGCTAAACCTCAGTAAGTCGCAACATTTACTATTAATATAACATCACCTCGATATTTACTTAATGTTATATTCCCCTTCTCATAGATATCAGGAATACTAAAGTCGTAAATGGTACTAGTAGATTCAGGATGACAGTCGACTCCCTCACCCTGGCTACCCTGAAGGCCAATGCAGGCCGGCAGTAGTACCGACAACAGCGAATTCATTTCAGGTGGACTAAAATCATCGACAATATTTGTATCTTATATACATGTAGCCTAGTAGTTTCAGATATTTTCAATCTTAAAGGGATTTTGCCTCTAGCTTTCTGGTACTGAAATATAAAATCGATGGGGCTTAACCACAAAGCAGTTCATTGTCGTAAAAGAATTGTTAGCTGTAGAATCATCGTACTCTGTCTTATACTCTTATTTTAGGAGGTTGTGGCATTATCGTAGAATGTCTTCGTGGAATGTCTTGAGCATCGTTCCAGAATAAGTATACATTACTTTAGAAAAGAAATATTGTTCTTTTTTTTTAAATGATCCCACTTTAAAACACCTTTATAAACATGTGACTTACTCAGTAAAAGATTAAGATAAAAGAAAAGTCATGATTGCTATGTCATTCATCTTGTGATGAAGAATTCTTTATCTTAATAGATACATTTCGTCTTACAATCTACATCTTAATTGTTATCAGTTTCGATATCTTTAGAAAACAAAATTATCTCATTCGTTTGACTCACTTTGAATTCTTTTGACCTTCACCCTTCCCTGAAATTGGTAAATTTCGTCTGATGACTTCGTGGGAAACACCCCATATTCTTTATCATGTCCAAGCGAGTGTAGCCAAATAATGGGTTTGGGTCTGGTATACAGCTTTTTTAACTCCGCTTATTCACTTTTCATCTCTACAGAATTTGTAGTTTACATGTGACAATATTGACATTGAAGTCATTTTATTGATTGTTTCTTTTTCTAGGTAGTGATAATCAAATTTTGATGCTCAAGGAAATCGCATTTGAATAATTCCACCATTCCCCCATTGCCCCTCCTTATAAAACACTTATATCTCTCATGTCATGTTCTCAGTCATTCAAATCAAACATAACGGTCGTAGCCCTTTTTCAAATGTTTGCGGTATCTAGTCTAGACTCAATCTTATTAACTTAAGTCCGGCGCACACACGTGCCATCTGCTCAGGCAGGATTCATTCATGCACGTCTCCTTAAGGCGATAGATTCCGTGTGCGTAGTTGAAAATCATTTGATAAAATCAGCCACGTTTGATTTTCAACTTTTTGCCACGAATGACCAAAATCTTACATAAATTTACCCGTACACGGATTCTGCCTAATGTATAATTGGATAACCAATAGTCAAAATATAACATTAACTGCAAATGTAAGTGTCAGAATTATCTCCCAAAGTGTCGAAATTTCTAAGCCTACATATCACTTGACAAATCACTACTATATATCGGAAGTAAAGAGTCTCGCCCAAGAACACACAACGGAATTTCACCATTCGTTACCGAGTCAGATTCAGCTTACGGAAAACTGCCGAGGATAGCCGAATGATCTAAATTATGACAATGAATTGCGAAATAGCGAAACCCAAAGTAGACGAAATGATGACAAATTATAAGAGGGCCGAGACCTGCTTGTAAATGGAGAGTGGTGCGTGATTGATTGCTAAAATTACTTGTGACGTCACCAGGTACGCGACTTTGGTATAAATATCGTTAGATTACATTGGAAATCGAAAAAAAAAATTAATGAAACGAATTTGTAATGTAATTTTAATTAGAATGTTCTAAACAGTTCTCAGTAACTAATGCATAGGTTATAAAGATCATAGTTAATGTTCGCTTGATTCCAATGTTCTCGCTTTTTTTACAATTTTTGTGTCACTCATTATTTTATTAACTTGATGACATTTTTTTCTTCTGTTCTGTACCATGACTTAAATTATCTTATAATCTTTTTAAGTAACAAATTGATTTCCTATAGAGCATTAAATAATTAATGTTCAAAAACATATTTACATACCGTGCATGACGTTTTTCTGTTGTAGTCGGAATTGATTTTCAATGGAAATAAAAATAAGCATAGAATGAGAGGTTTCTAATGAATTAAATTAAAATGCAGTCGATCTATAAATATGAAGATATTTATTTCTTGGCTGACATATTGCCAGATTGCGTATCTATCCAGTGTCAAATTTTTCTAATCTGGATTAGTGCACAGCACCTTGACTATGAGATATAGATTGTCCAAATTATCAACCAGTGTAAAATCTATCAAATATTGCTTGATAAAAACTTTTCCATCCTAAACGTTTGAAACCATTGACAAATGGTGAAAAGATGATTTCGGTTCAAGCATTTTGATCTTTGAGACTTTTTGAGTAGTTTGGATTAGTAAAACCGCCCTGGAATCATAGAACAGTATACAGTTCTATGCTGGAATGGTTTGATTGAATCTATTGGAAGAACTCTGTATAAAAAGTATTTATTAATAATATTGAAACATAGCACGACTGATTTGAAACAGTTGAATTCACCGCTCAATATGTTTGAATGTATAACGAGTCATCATAGTACAATGATTTCAATAAGTAGAATAAATGAATTTAACTAGCACAGAGTTAGAATTAAGCAAACATTGATTATTGTTTATCAGTAAACAATATCTACTTGATTAGTATTATAATTGAGTAGCGCAAATAATCATATCAATTTTCATTCGTTTGGAATATAATATCGATTTCCATTTCTAATTAATAGTCTGAGGCTTGGTTTCAAAAAAAGTTTAAACAGAATTCAATACACCAACCTATTGACTTTGCCACGGTATACTGAGAATTTTTAATTTTGAAAGTGATGGTAAAGTTGAAATCGATGTTTTCATCTCTATCACAGCATTGTCGATTACGATATTTTCTGTTTATACCTCTATTACGATAGTCTCAGTTTATACCTCTATTATAATGGTCTCAGTTTATACTTACATTACAGTATTCTCAGTTTATACCTTTATTACAATAGTCTCAGTTTATACCTCTATTACAATAGTCTCAGTTTATACTTCTATTACAATAGTCTCAGTTTATATCTCTATTACAATAGTCTCAGTTTAAATCTCTATTATATTGGTCTCAGTTTATACCTACATTACAGTATTCTCAGTTTATACCTCTATAACAGTATTCTCAGTTTATACTTCTATTACAATAGTCCCAGTTTATACCTCTATTACAATAGTCTAAGTTTATACCTCTATTACAATAGTCTCAGTTTATACCTCTATTATATTGGTCTCAGTTTATACCTCTATTAAAATAGTCTCAGTTTATACCTCTATTACAATAGTCTAAGTTTATACCTCTATTACAATAGTCTCAGTTTATACTTCTATTACAATAGTCTCAGTTCATACCTCTATTACAATAGTCTCAGTTTATACCTGTATTATAATGGTCTCAGTTCATACCTCTATTACAATAGTCTCAGTTCATACCCCTATTACAATAGTCTCAGTTTATACCTGTATTATAATGGTCTCAGTTCATACCTCTATTACAATAGTCTCAGTTCATACCTCTATTACAATAGTCTCAGTTTATACCTCTATTATAATAGTCTCAGTTCATACCTCTATTATAATAGTCTCAGTTTATACCTCTATTACAATAGTCTCAGTTCATACCTCTATTATAATGGTCTCAGTTTATACCTCTATTACAAAAGTCTCAGTTTACACCTCTATTACAATAGTCTTAGTTTATACCTCTATTATAATAGTCTCAGTTCATACCAAAACTGCACATACCACAGATTATCTGACATCATTACCTCTTATACTTAGCGTGTCGCTATTGTTTAAACGTAAAATGACGCATCTTCGCCCAACCGGAAATGACGTAGGACTTTAACCGTTCATTTTGTCTTTCCAATACCTGCTATTATTCTGAATCTATTTTGAACATAATTTTTGTGTTGTTCATTACTTTGAACTAATGTCTAAAAGATAGCAATTTAAGAAATTTCAAATTTTGACTTTTGTCGCTGACTTTTTGAGATTTTATTTAAAGCATTTTTTAAACTTCCACAATTTTATTTCAATCGGTCTAAAAAATTAACAGTAGATAAGCATTTTGATTCCCGACAAAAATCTATTTTCAAAATTTCGATATCACTTCCGGTTTTGACGTCATTCGCCTCTAACCTTGAAATTTCAACTTCCGGAATTTTGTAGGTATTTGAAAAATTCTTTTTGAAATTAGTTAAAATTGTCCCTATAACAATTTTGGAATCAAAAAATTTGACCCAGAAGTATTGTGTAAGACGCCATCTTGATATGACTCATTTTTATAAAACTCAAAATGGGGCCTCAGGGTAAAATTGGATGTGCGTAAATTTGATGTTTATGTAAACTACAATCGATTGCTAACAAAACATGGGAAGCCGATTTTTGAATTTTGGCTTTGTATGTTTTTTTATTTCCGGTTTTATGTTTTCAGTAATTGTCAAAACTATTAAGGCTGATATCTAGTGACTTTGACCTTTGGTGACCTTGTGACCTGAACAAAAGTTGTTGCCTCTTACGAGATCTATCCGATTATATCCCCACTTTTGTTGTGCATCGTTAACTTCCGGTTCTACAGCCATTGGAAAATCGCGATTTTTAACTTTGAAGAACTCTGTCACGTGACATGATTAACATACGACAAAAATTCTTATATATTCTTAGAGTGCATGATCTCTCCTTTTTGGCGATATATCACATTTGATATTTTGATCAAAATTGCGCGTTTTAAAAATTGAAAATTTTGTACTGACTTCTATAGTAACTGTGCGTAAATTCACGGTGTCTATAATTTACCGACAGTCACCGTTGCCTTAAAAAAACATTTAACTACGAATATCTCATGATCTAATGATTGTAAACACTTGAAATTTTGAACATTATTCAACAATGTACACAACATCACAGACAAATTGAAATTTTTTAAGTAGGCGTGGCACATCCGGTGTGCATTTACCGTTACCTGAAATATTTGCATTTGTTATAACTCTCATAGTTTTCAATGGTCACCCTAGAAATTTTGCATGAAAATAGATCACTGGTTAGGACAATTTGTGATAAGATTACAGTTGTTTGCATTCTTTACTTTAAAAAAGGGAATAGGTTTAACAATTTTATAAATTTTCATTTTTGATCTTTAACATGAATGACCTTGACCTTTGCATGGTCAAGGGTCATTGACTAAGGATGACCATTCTTACTTTGATCTTTGATGTCCAATATATACTTCCGGTTTT